TCATATAGATTCTAGTTTGTTCAAATCATAACCCCCAGGGATAGGGTGGCCCAAAATGGGGGATCCAAGTTTTACATTAAAATATATATTTAAAAGAATCTTCCCAAGAATAGCAAAGCCATGATTAGTAATACTAGTATCTATATGGAAGCATTTTCAGGAAGTGTAGAATTAAATTTGTTCAAATCATAACCCTCAAGGGTAGGGTGAGGCCACAATGGTGGATCAAAGTTTTACATAGAAAAATAAAGGAAAAAATCCCATGAACAGAAAGGCTATGTTGACATTTAAGCATCCTCATGTATTGAAGATTTAAATTTATTCAAATCATGGCCCTTTGTGGAAGGGAGGGAAACAATGGGGAATCAAATTCAAATTATTATGAAGTTATATATTAGAAGAAAATTTTTAAAAAAATCTTTTTATGAAGAACAGCAAAGTCATATGCTCTTTTAATATGAAGCCATTCTCAGGTAGTATTAAAATTCAAGCCCCCCCCCCCCCCCTTCAGTGAACTTTTTCAGTTCTGATCTGATTTGTGCTTTTTCCTAGCCGATTTGCTCAGGTGAGCGATGTGGCCTCTGGGCCTCTTGTGTTATGGCTATATCTAATGCTGAATGTTTGGCCCCCTTGTGTGATGGCTATATCTAATGCTGAGTGTTGAGTCCCTTGTGTGATGGCTATATCTAATGCTGAATGTTTGCCCCCCTTGTGTGATGGCTTTATCTAATGCTGAATGTTGCCTTCCCCCCCCCCCCCTTGTGTGATGGCTATATCTAATGCTGAGTTTTGAGTTCATTGTGTGATGGCTATATCTAATGCTGAATGTTAGCCGCCGCCCCCCCCCCCCCCCCCCCCCTTGTGTGATGGCTATATTTAATGCTGAATATTTGCCCCCTTGTGTGATGGTTAAATATAATGTTGAGTATTTTGCCCCCTTGTGTGATGGCTATATCTAATGCTGAGTTTTGAGTCTCTTGTGTGATGGCTATATCTAATGCTGAATGTTGGCCCCCCCTTGGGTGATGGCTATATCTAATGCTGAATGTTGAGTCCCTTATGTGATGGCTATATCTAATGCTGAGTGTTGAGTCCCTTATGTGATGGCTATATCTTATGCTGAATGTTGAGTCCCTTGTGTGATGGCTATATCTAATGCTGAGTGTTGGGCCCCCTTGTGTGATGGCTATATCTAATACTGAATGTTAGTGCCCCCCCCCCTTGTTTGATGGCTATATCTAATGCTGAATGTTTGGCAGCGTTGTGTGATGGCTATATATAATGCTGCATGTTTGGCCTCCTTGTGTGTTGTCTATATCTAATGCTGAATGTTTGGCCCCCTTTTGTGATGGCTATATCTAATGCTGAATGTTTGGCCCCCTTGTGTGATGGCTATATCTAATGCTGAATGTTGCCCCCCGCCCCCCTTGTGTGATGGCTATATCTAATGCTGAATCCCCCCCCCCCCCCCCTTGTGTGATGGCTATATATCTAATGCTGAATGTTTGGCCCCCTTGTGTGATGGCTATATCTAATACTGAATGTTGGCCTCCCCTTGTGTGATGGCTATATCTAATGCTGAATGTTGCCCCCCTTGTGTGATGGCTATATCTAATTAAATACTGAATGTTGGCCTCCCCTTGTGTGATAGCTATATCTACCGGTAATACTGAATGTTTGTCCCCCTTGTGTGATGGCTATATCTAATGCTGAATGTTTGTCCCCTTGTGTGATGGCTATATCTAATGCTGAATGTCTGTCCCCTTGTGTGATGGCTTTATCTAATGCTGAATGTTTGGCCCCCTTGTGTGATGGCTATATCTAATGCTGAATGTTTGTCCCCTTGTGTGATGGCTATATCTAATGCTGAATGTTTGGTCCCCTTGTGTGATGGCTATATCTAATGCTGAATGTTTGTCCCCTTGTGTGATGGCTTTATCTAATGCTTATACATACCATGATCCATGTAATTTTTTTTAAGTTTATCAACACCTTTAGTAAGTGCACTTCTTAAAAATTTAAAAAAATGACAGTTAGGCCATAATAGATAAATTGCTAGAATCTCATCCGAATTTTTTTAAAAATCGAGGCGGGCGGGCGGCTTTTATTTTATATTTTTTATTTTTTCAATTTTGTAGATTTTTTATTGACCTGGTCAATCGGTGTAATTATCTACAATACCCAAATAAAAGTCATAGTAAAGGTTCAGTTATCTCTTACTTCACATCGTCTCCAATATTTTTCAACCAATGACCCTTGTTTAAAATATGTACGCATGTATTACAGCAATTAACATCTTTTCAGCTGTCAAAATCATGTCAACATTTTTAAAAAAGTAAAATGGTAGATGAATACCGATCCCGATTTAAAACTAATAAAAACAGAAATAAAAAAAAATCGAGGCGGGGGTATAAAATCAGGGCGGGCGGGGATGAGAATCTAGGAATATTTTTATTATGGCCTTATATGAGATGATTAAGCAAAAAAGCAAATTTAATAAATGATTTTAAAAATCTTCATATAATGATTTAGCATAATTTGAAAATTATTCAATGGTATTTATAAAAAAGGGTAATAATATTTAAAAAAAAAATAAAGTTGTGGGTTGCGTGAGGGTTGTAAATTAAACAAACAGTAAATGCTCACTGAAAACTTGATTGTTATGAGTTTCAGGGTCAGCTCACCAGAGGCTTATCAGAAATCATTGATAACATCACATTACAAAGGAGGAATATTTGTTGAATGTAATGCACCTTTAGCTCCAATGGGCTAGGTGAAATAAGATTGATGGTGAATTCTGCTTGTGGTAGTGTAATGATTGTATGATTGACATAGCCCACCCACAGAAGGCTATACTCGACAGTCTGTCTTTGTTTGTTCTCCGGAATCAATCAAGCCTGACTAAGTACTATTTGATTGATAATGTAATGGGATCTGGCCTTAATACATAAGTATTTCAAGTAGTTGAGGAAAAGTTTTTTGGGCCCCTTATTTCCCTATCCTTTTGATTCATATGTTTATCCAAATTTGATTTTTTTTTCTTTGGTTTTTTTTTTTTGTTGTTTGGGTTTTTGTTTATGACTATGGATAGGCATTATTAATGCACCTAAATATAGGCAGAATTTTTTTGCCTATAAACAACTGAATAATTTAACTACAGAAATTAAATGTACATAATGTAAAATACAAAATATGGCTATATGTATTCAATTTCATGCCTTTTGCAGAAAGCAGCTTCTGCAAAATTAAGTGCTTTGTCAGAATGTCTTTTGCATATATATTCATATATGTCCACTTCATAGTTTTTTCTCCTTTATTTGAGAAAACCATTCATTTGCCATTTATCAGTTCTTAAACAACACTAGGCACATCACATAGTGTACAGATTTCTTGATCAGTGGCTGTTCCATCAATGAAACGTACCATGGCGTACATATTATTAATACAATAATTAATCTCTTTGAACCTACTTTAAATGTTTATTTATACAGATGTAAATATAACAATAAAGTGTCTTTCTTTGGGTGTTAGTGTGTGTATTAATGTCCCAGCTATTGCAGAAAAAATAGACTAAACTCGCTAACTCTCTAACTCGGGTTATGCATTTTTTTTCTGCAACAGCTGTGACATTAATTTCCATACTAACAACCAAAGAAACTATTTTATTGTTTAAATAAAGTGTATTCAAGTAGCACCATTCCAATCAAATGTATGGGAAATGTTGAAAAATCAATTTTTATCAAAAATATATATTTTCAACAAACTTAACTGACAGAGACATACAACTTATTCAGTACTAGTTATCCCCCTTTTAAAGAAAAATTGAAACATTGGGCATAAGAAACAAAGTACATTTGATAAAAGTTATTTCCCTTTAGAAACAACACACTTGGGGATGATCAGATACAAAGGTACATTTTCTAAAAGTTATCCCCCTTTTAAAAATTAAAATTTAAACATGGACTCAAAGTTGATGACTAAAATGCAATAAAGGGTTTCATTATCTATGTTTTATCTATAAATGCATGTGAATAAGTGCATTTAAAATCTGTGCAATCTTACTTTTTCAACTGATTAGTGCAAATATGAATAAGCACACATGTGTCTTACAAACAACATGTATGAGTTCTAATCATGTAACATGCACCTGAATTATCTGACAAGAACTGGCATGGACTTAGGCTCTAAAATATAATTACCTCTAATATATTTGTGAAGGATATTTCTTTGTAACTTGGGTTAGCTTTGTGTCCCATAGGCCTCTTGCTATTTACCCTGTTTAAGGATATCCAATCCTTAGCCAGGAAGGATATCTAAAAAAAAAAAAATAGATATTTAATTTAAAAAGCATTGATATGAAGCTTGAAAATGAAAATTTTTCATGCAACAATTTTCATGTTATTCATCTTTATATGATTCATGGTTTTTTGAAGTCTTAGAAAAGGTCTTATAAAAAGTTGACATTTGTACCTTATAAATGGAAAAAAAATAAATACATTTTTAGAAAAAATAGATTTTGTTCAATCAAGCCTTAGATACTAATGCTTATTAGCATAATATGAAATTAGAGGTGATTTGTGATATCTTGCAATGATAGCAAAAGCATTTTATTTTAGCACTCTGTATTATATAATTCATGAAGGAAATAGAAGAATAGAATACTATATAAGTATAAAATTTGTGACAATTTCTCTGAATGCCTGGATACCTGTTGTTTTTTTTTTTTTAGCCTAAAATATATTTGTTGATCAATTGTCAATTAGAAAACACATACCGGTAGCTGATACATGTTGTATTCCTATTAACGTTTTCTGAATATATATTTGAGATTTGACAATTTTCCCTATATAATATGATTATAAACTTAAATGTTTAATTTTAAAGAAATATTTTGGGTAAATTTACATTACTTTGTGGATTCAGAGATATTTTTTTTGAACATTTACAATTTATTTTGATGATGCAGCAGCTTTTTGTAAATTATAGCATTTTTATTTCAGGGACCTCAGCCACAACAAAATAACAATGATAAAAAAGGGTGCTTTCCTGGGCTTGAAAGAACTTGTAAAATTGTAAGTATATACAAGGTCTAAAAGTTAAAACTACTTATACCCTTTTCACATGGAAAGTTGAATTTTCAGTGAATGAATAAGATCAAAGTAAAATAAAGGGAATTGAATTGCACTCTAATGACAGCTAATATAAAGTAAGATAATGTGAATTACTTTGTATTCAAATTAAACTCTAAATTAAACTTAATTATACATTCATGCTGGAAAAATTCTTCTCCATAACTGTAAGGCTATGTTAGTGATATTGATGTTAAACCATCTCACTTATTCATTGGAATGATTGGATACAGACTTAATTTTTAGCTGTAATATTGGGGCAGGGCATCAATTTTTTTCATCAAAATATGAAAGATGAAAATTTTTGAAAACCAGCAGAACTAAATGTACGCAGGTGGGCATTTTGGCCCATAGGCCTCTTGTTTTCTAAGCTGGATTTGATCAAGATGCTGAGAGATGGTCGTCATCCAGAGAGCAAGAGAAATATGGTCTGAGAACTGCTGCCCAGCAACTGGCAGCAATATTTCACAAAATTCACATATTTTTTATCCATGTTGTCTAATCACAAGTACATTGAATGCTATGGATTTGATTTATCAATTTTAGGGATCTTTCACACAATAAGATTGGAAGCATCTCTAGTGCCATGTTTGAAGGTCTGATCAACCTAGAAAAACTGTAAGTTTCTTTTGCATAAATATGATTAAAGCAAAACCACATTGATTTGTATATTATAGCTCACCAGTAATTATTGCCAAATTAAATGAAGTTTTATCATTATGCCTCCACCTTGAAATTGCCAGGGCATACTGTGGTTTCATCAATCTTCGTTGGCATCAATTTTTGTGAATTTTGTAAAACAGGCATTTTCAAGGATACATAATTTCATGGACAAAAGCATTGCCTATACAAATGAATAATTCAATGAACATTGAATTTTGTGGATCTGCTCTGCCTCAACAACGAAATCCTCGAAAATTGGTGCTCAACATGTATTGATGAAACCACAATATACCATAGTGTTATCATTCTGTCATGGCCATTCTGCGATAGATAGCTTTGGCTATGCTGTTAGATGTTCATTTATCTTTGGAAAACAATGATGTAAACTGTCTCATACTCCAGTCCAGACTCCAGGGCCATAAACCTAAGGTGAGCTCACTTTTGATCTCAGTCTCAGTTTTCTATTATATATGCCTTTTGTACTTTACAAGACAGAGATCAAAATGCCTGAGCTCCTCTAAGTTTGATGGCCCTGGTAGCCTAGTGGTTGGATGCTGGCTGTGTAACCAGCAGGTCCAGTAGAGACATTTGATATTATTATGCTTCCTGTCAGTTTGTCTCTATATAACCCATACCCTACTATTCTCGCATAGTGGTCTAAGGATTTATATAGCATAAGCATACTATGCCGAAATAGTGCACGGCCTTGTTTTCTGAATAAAATTCTTCAATGCACACACCGGGAATCGAACTCACAACCACGAGGTTGCCAGTCCGATGCCTTATCGATTACGCCACAGAGACGATCACTGATTGGAAGAATTTTATTAAATATATAAACTTAATTTATACAATTGACACAAGAAGGAGAAAATAGACAAATATTATTTGAAAACAGTTATATTTATTCTAAGGAATCTTAGATAAATGTGTACAACAAAGTTTCAAACTAATTACATACAGATCGTTTGATGAATTGATATCATGGGGTCATTAAAACGCTTTTTATATAGCGCTTGATTGAAGGATGTAAAAGAAAATTATCAATATGAATCCACGTCTGTAAACAAATCAGTCTTACTAACAAAACAGAAAATAAAGATGGTTGTTTAGAGAAAATACTAGTAACCAAAATAACTAAGCATGCAACTTTTTAACATGGAGATTTTGAATGAGTTTTTGCAAGTGCGCTGTGTTACCACCATTATTTTCAGGAAAAAATCAAATGGATTGCCGCATAAATAATAACAACAGTCAGCATAATAATAACAATAGTGTTGCATTATGCATGTACTATGCCTAAATAGTAGGCAGGGTTTGACACATAGTGCACTCGCCTCCGGCTCGTGCACCATGTGTCAAACCCTGCCTACTATTTAGGCATAGTACATGCATAATGCAACACTATTATATAATTGGTAGTGATCTGAGACATAACGGAATTGTCCTGTGTCATGGCAGGCATTCAAGTGATAGAACCTTTACTGCTTTCAGACCAAAACACCATCCATAGGTTAAATCTGTGGCAATTCACTGAAAATTGGTGATGTTTCTTCATGGATGTAAAACAACAATCAATCAATCAGTAAAAAAAAAGAACAGTCCATCTTGATAAAAATAAGCTAAATACCTCTGTCTTTTGTGATTAGATTTGGTTCATGCCTCAGCAGGTAATGAACAAAGCAGAATTCTTTGAGTCTTAAAAACTGTTTTTGTTTCATTGTGAAATATGTTGTTTGTTAATAAGTCCTCATCACAAGACACAATCAATAACCATCACCCAGTGTATCACTGATAATTGTGGAAAGTCTTTTATGTTACACACCTAGGAAAATCTTTGATCCTCCAAAAAGAGATGAAAATGATTAAAAGGATATAAGATAATGAGAGGCTGTGTGCCAGGTGAAGCAAAACAGATGTACACATTCAATAACAGCCTCATTGTGCACAGTCACTGACAAACTTATTGTACACTGTGGAAAGTTTTACCAGATGCCTGCTTGTAAAGGAGTTTGATCTGGTTGTCAGAAATCTGTTTTTGTTGAGCTACACTGACTGACCCTTTAACATATTATTTCAAAATAGTTTTAGAATTTTTGACTTTGGTTGAAAAAATCTATACTGCTTTCAAATTATTTTATAACTATAATTGTTAACAAGCAAAGCATTATGGTCCCCTGCTGCTTTTAGTGTCTTAGTGTATGGGATGCCAATATTTTATAGCTTATTGTGTCAAATATAAATGCCCAATCATATGTCATTCAAAAGTAATTTCCAAAGTTTAATTTTTTTTCATTTTAAACATAAGGTCATGTCAAGGATCAAAAATCATAATTATCTTGGAAACATCTTGTCACACTTAATTGAACATGTCAAATATGAAAACCCTATCTTTTCCCAATCAAAATTTTTTTTAGGAAAGATAACATATTTTTAAAGTAAATTAAACCTCTTGGTCAAGGATACAGGGTCAGAAGTCATAGTATGTTTGAATAGGTCACAGAAAAGTAGGTCATACTTCAAGGTCAAGGTCACAGGATAAAAAAAATCATAGTGTATTTGAAAAGGTTTTGTCACAGGTGAAATACTTGTGAAGTATGATAACCCTATTAATCTCATTAAAAAGTTATGGCCAAGGTTAAAGCTTTTTTGACAGACAAATGAAATTTAATGTCCCCTTGGTTTCGCAAAAGCAGCTGGGACAAAAAAAAGTGTGGTGGGGGGTTAAAGAAGTTTAATTCTTGTATGGCTTATGGGCAATGTTCCAATATCTCCTTACAGGCGGGTTGATTTATAGTCCATATTTTATTTATTTTCGTTTTAATTCTAATAGCCATATCACGAATATGCAAAAGAATATCATTGTTAAAGTATGTGTGTATAAGTAACCGTAAGCACTGTTTGTAAATGAAAAAAAAATACATGTACTATTGATTTAAATATTTTAATATCCAATCAAGTAACCCTAGTAAAATTTTGCTTTCTTAAAGCATGGAACTCTCAATCACTAGAAGTTATACCATGGTCCTCTGGACTATGAAGAGTCACATGTGTTATAAAGCTTGCACACAAAGCTGAGAGCTGCACACAAGCTCTATGTAATCTTAGAATACTATTAAGATAAATTTTCGCGAGCACACTACATGTGATAAGATATTGATGTTTTCAGGGGAGATAACCTTCAGATCTTTAAAGAGTGACCATTCCTGACAAAGTCCTGTAAATAGAATGACAAAGCTGTTCATTGTTTTTGTGTGTATTTTTTTTTTTTAATATATTGTCAGGTCTCATATTAAATGTGATATTTCCCTTTTATATTCTTGGGAAATTCTTATTTTTGCAGGAATTTCTCCAATAATCGGATTAACACTATTCCAGATGGAACATTTAACAATCTACATGCTCTCAAGAAAATGTAAGTAGAATCAAAGATTAAAGACCATTTTATCTTGTTGAGAAAGAATTCTACTCTGTCTCTCATAAACTTTCTTTACAGTAGTACAGCAGGTGCACTTGAATGCAGAGGAAAAATTCAGTTTGATTATACTGCTATATAGCATTGCTTTATTTGATGACTACTGGGTGAGGGAGGGATTGTGTTGTGGCACAAAAATAGGTTTCTAGGGCCTCATTTTGTTATTTTAAGTTTATATCTTGTCAGATTGTGTCTTCATTTGATGATATCTGTAACATTTTGAAGCTTATGACCATCAGATATTGACAGTTAATGCATTTTGGGGAAAGATGTGTGATTACTGAATTGAGTTACTTCACGAGGATCAAATCATGTCTAGAACATATGTTGCATACTGTCTGGACTAGGTTATCATACTTGTTCAATTGATGCATCTACATATATGGTGTGTCCAAATTTCACATAGGAATACAGATGTATATAAAAAAATATCTGATGATACATAACAGGCATAATGACTAAGGTGAATGTTGTGGCTCAAGGGCTTCTTGTTTTAAATTTTAATTTTTTGAACCCTTTTCTACAAACCTGATTGCTATTTCCTTGTTAAATGTGACATTATTATTACCAGTGATTTCCAGTCGGACTACCTGAGATGTGATTGTCATCTTCAGTGGATTGTCAAATGGTCCCGTGACAAAAACGTCAAAATACAACAATCTACCACCTGTGGTGTGCCTAAGGACCTGAAAGGAGTCTCCCTCAGAAGCCTGAAGAAAAAGGACCTTCACTGTGGTGAGTAGAGGAACTAGAGTATTCTAAGGAATATATGTGTCACTTGTTTGTAGCTGCATCAAATATATGATAAATTTAATGCCCTGTTCACATGGAGAGTTTAATTTGAATTAAACGTTAAGTTAATGCGAATTAAATTTGAACTGCGTTCATATGGAGAATTTAATGCGAATTAGTTTTATTTGAATTAATTTATTGCGCATTAAATTACTTCACATTAGCTCCATGTGAATGCTAATTAAAGCTAATTCAAATTAAATTTTGATGCATGTGTAAAGCCCAAATCACCCAGTAAGTCATTGGCCACCTATACAGTGAATAATTCTTTAAAGATTTTTGATTTTTGGGATAAATTGAAATTTTGTTAATTACTAAATTGATTACAATCACTATGATTATTATTTCAAATTGTCTTTCCGCACACAAAGGCAGTAATTACAAATGACTTTATAATATTGCTCACTGAATAACACATAGTTGACGTTATTAAATTTTAATTGTTATTAATTTATAGCTCTTTTTTGCCATGTCGTTTGATGTAATTTAATTATCATTACATTACTTCGCATTAATTTAATCAAGTTAATTACGTGTGAACAGGGCATAGAGAGAGATTTCAGCTATTTAGTTTTGCTACTACATTTTTTTTCATGCATTTTGCATGAAAATAAAAAAAATTTTAATGCTATAACATTGTTTTGACTTCAAATCAGGATCAGTCATTGTTTCGTTGTTATTCAACCCCCTAAAAATAATGATATTGACATTAGAAATAGTAACTATATATTTGAGATCAAGTTCATCATAAGGATTTATGGAATTTAATCTCGTGACCAACCCGTATTTATATCACACATTATATACCTAAAATGATACCTTATTATATTTACCTTTGTGAAAATGCTATATATTTTTCCTGATTGTGACTTTTAAGGTGTAAAATACATTATTTTTCAAACCCAGCAGCATGTATGTAATCCACTATACGCAGTTAGATTTTATGATCGTGCTATTTTTGAGAAAAATACAGAAAAAATTATGTTAATCACTAAATTGTATACAATCATTATGATTATTTTATACAGTTATAAATACGCATTGCTTTCAGTAGTGTTATATAAATGAAAACATTACAAATATAAATATTATAATATAAAATTTTAATTCGCATTAAAGATTTACTTTTTTGCTGTACTGTGATGCAATTTACACATTCAATTTACTTCATTGTGTTAAACCAACAACCATGTACTTTCATAGTATTTAGATTTCATTTTATATACTATTGACTTTATCTTACAGTTTCAATGTACAATGTAATGAGCTCACAAACATATATGACTTATAATTATCAAGCCTGCCTTCCAAAATTCAAAAGATATAAATTAAACTGTCCAGAGTAGTTTTGCAAAGTAGTTCAGAGTCAAGTGAAGTGTAACTCTGATATTTTCATAATGTTTTATAATAAACAGTGCACATGCTAAAAAGGATAGATTTATCTCTTAAATGTAAAAAAAAAATGCTATATATTAGCACTATGACTTAATGAAAAGTTTCATTGGTACAATGTAATGGGTCACTAGGTTGTATATGACATAATTATCAAGCCTGCCTTCCAAAATTCAAAAGATAATCCACACTGTGTTTTATCTTTGAAATGATTATTTCTTACATAATTATATATTAAAAGTAGAGTATCAAGAATCTGTTTATGTTACATTTGTATTTTTAGATCGTCCTTTAGAGCTACCGGAGTTTGAGATCCTCCCCAACAAGAGTCAGGTGGTGTTTGAGGGGGACAAAATCCCCTTGATCTGCCGGGCCTCCATCATCAACAGGAAGACTCGAATGGTATGGATGCGCCGTGGAGAGGTGGTGTCCACTAACCGCAGTGTAGGGATCTTTGTCATCACAGAGAAGACGCCGGACCAGACCATCATGATCCACACTCTAATGCTTCAGCACCTGACAGAAGGGGACTCGGGGGTGTGGCAGTGTATGGTCACCACCCCTCAGGGAAACGTCTCCACCAGCATCAACATCCTGGTCATTTCTAACAATGCAGCCACTTGTCACTCCAAAACCTCCAAAACCAAGAAGGGTGTGTACAAATGGCCCAGGACTGTGGCGGGGGTCATCAGTGATCAGCCCTGTAAGAGGGGGAGGGGGAGGGCCACGCACCGCTGTAGTGAGAGCAGTCGATGGGAGAAGCTGAACGTAGACCAGTGTGAATATCTGGAGGACCTGACTAGAAAACTTGAGGCATACGCCCATCTGAAAAATGTGAGTGACAAAAAATAGAATGATGAGGAATAATAGTAGGATCATACTATATATATTACTGACATATTGTTAGGATGTTATAGGAATAGTAGTGTTCATTAAGGCATGACATCATTTTTCCTAATGCAAATACTTTTGAAAGAGATAAATTTAATTAGACAATAATATTTCAATCAGTATATTTATATATACATGTACTGTGGAATTATTAAATTTCATGGTGGAATTTGTGGGTACCCTGCATCCAGGAATTCGCAACATAAAATGAATAAATAGGGAAGAATAAATTAAGAGTTATCTTTCTTTTGGTAGATATGAGCAAACAAAACTACACTCCTCCAAACCTATGCAAATTTCATGATTCCACAGTAGTATAAATAATTATTCCCAGTGTAACAGCAGGCCTAGTCAAATCTTTTGAGTCTCAGTGTTTTCTTAGCAGGTTGACTTTTCATTTCCTATTAACACAATGTATTTGTGTTTTTGATTTCAGAAGCATATGAACCAGTCGCAATTTACAGGGATAGCAGATGATCTGATGAGAATCATTTCAGTGCCAGAGAATTTGGAAGATTTGACTCATTTGATTCTGTCCGCACAAATTGTGGAAAATCTGGCCAAAAACCTTCCAGAAAAGAATCAGGTAGGAGTGTGAGGTCCACAAAATAAATTACTTATGGAAGAATTGTGCTTTTTGATGACATCAACTGTTTAATTGTGAAATGCCTACAATACCTGTAAATTTAAAGCTGTCTTTTGTTGGGCCGTATTCTGAGATCTGATTTTCCTCCCCTGTAATAACAGGTATCAGTCATGCTGAGGTTAGTCAATACTCTGATGAGGGAAGGCAGTACCAAATTACATGAGGCTCAACTCCAAGACAAAACCTGCTCCAGGCAAGACACATCAAATAGAGGGGGATCACTCATACAAATTCAGAATATCAAACATAATTTGAATTAAAAATCTGATAGGGAAATATATGTAGTTAAGATATTTTGTCCTTGTTATTGTAGGTTAATTGGTGCAGTTGAAGAAATCCCCAAACATGTGAATGTGTCAGATTATACTGAGAATATCGTCATGGAAACCATCAGTCAGGACATTGAAGAGTTCCAGGGCGTGACCTGTATGGCGTATTCCCAGATTTTTAGCTGTCAACACAGATACATCAATAAAACCATTGCAGAAGAGGTTTGTTGTTTATCAATTTCAATTTCCCAAATAAGATTCACAAATTCAAAAATTTCAAATGGAAGGATGGCCCTTGATGAGAGTGTTTTCGTTTGAATTGAGGATTCATAATGGAGTTGTGTTAGTGAAATTTAATTCACACCATTAGTTACTAGGTATATAAAGTTTTCATATTCATCTATCTCCCATCTTCTCACCTACCGTCATCTGATCTATATCACCATTTTTTACCTGACTTTTTTTTCAAGATGTACACATTGCTAAATTTGTCACCATGTTTTTACCTGGCTTTTTTTTTTTTCAAGCTTTTGCATTATCAAGTGTTTGCAGTTCGACTATCTGGCTATTTGACCAGAGTGCTTTTTCTGATTCATAAAAATTATTTACTTCAAGATGTTGTATTCCAGTTCTGTAGAACACTATATTTGTGCAGCACCTTATTTTTCTGAGATAGGTTTTATTTACAATTAAGTGAGGAAAAAAGGCTGTGAAATTTGTATAATTGCGATATATTTAATCTAAATATTTATGAGAATAAAATCTTTGTGAGCTAGCAAACAGACTTGTAATATTACAGGAAAATAAAGTTCTCACAAATTAAAAGTGATATACATTTACAGTATAAAATTCATTAATGATAATAAGGAAATTTAAGTGTGACATTTCAAAAAAATTCTTAATCAGTTATGGCCTGAAGAAATATGGTTCCAGTTTGAGAATAACAATGCCATAGCCAATACCTTATGTTTCTACCTAATGGAAGAGATTTAAGATGAATCAGATAGCATTTAAAAGATGAATTACCTTGCCTAAATGCTAGTACACTGTGAACCTAGAGATGAATTAAATAAGATGTAATTAATTTATATATTCATCAATGAAAGTGATTCTACAAAATTCTGTCAAGCTGATATATCTGATATAGACAAACTTCTGTTGATGAATCCCCCCTAGGGTGTGTGACTGTCACAAGAGTTAGTACACATATAGAAATTCACCTCAGAATTGAAGGAGACCAAGAAAAAATGACATGGTAATTATTTAAGTAATTGTTGTTGAATGACGGGGCAGGAGAAAGAGGAATAGGAAACATTTTGTTTGGCCTTTTCACTTAGAATGTGATCAGCCAAGCGTGAATGAGCCTTTGAGTTTGACGTTTTACCTGACGGGGGTACATGGTTCAGATTTATCACCAGATAATGGACGGGAACAGTAGCTGGCTATGGTGGTGTGTTTTTGTTCCCAGTGAAAGGATTTATTAACAGCTTGACAGCAAGAAAATGGGAGGAAAATCACGCTAGGTAGCTAATGAGCTGTAGATAGAGGTGTATATTCCAGGAGGAACAGGGAATTTTGATAGGATGTGCTGGAGTTTTCCTTGGTTGTGTGTTAATTGTGGACAAGATCAGTCTGTGTTTGATCTTCTGATTTTTTGATTAATAAAGAACAACAGGGATATGTCAGGAGTACAGTCTTAAGGTAAACATATAGGGAGTATAAATGTGTCAGATCAGAATGCATGTCTTCAATAGGATTAGGCATTGTAGCAATAAACATTCTTTATTGAAAATTGTATCAATACCATTGAATGTCAGTTTTACTACATTTGTTGGATATAAAGCAACAAGTTCTTAAAAAACTGAATGATTCAATTTGTCCATTATTGCCTGACATTACTCATGCAGGAGGGTAATGAGATAACACAGGTGTATATTTATTTTGCAATCCCATTCATACTGATGGTGAGGGGAAATGCAGAAAAGATGTCAGTATAGCTTAATTCAAGTTCAAATGTCAATTCAAAATGAGATTATAGTTTATTGGCAGCAAATTTTGCTCAATTTAGATAAAGTTATTGATTAAATCAGTAAGCATCTAGACAACATTGCATGATGTTCAAGATTTAATACAAATGCTTGTATGCAAGGTAGTTGTCATATAAAATATTGCACACATTCTCAGTGTTATAGTAGTTTATACCTCATTAACCCAAATAGTTTTCAGGAAAACCTTGTTTTCTTGGCATCTAGAATATACCTGAATATAGTAAACTATGTGATGATCTGATTGAAATCCTGGGGGGGGGGGGGGGGGTTATTGTAAGATCTAGCTTTATTGAATTGAAGATTTAGAACCTGCATTTCCTTAGTAAAAACAAGGAACCTAACATTCATGCTCCCCTTCAGTATAAATTGTACATGTATCACAAACAAGTGGTTTACAAGTTTCTGTGATTAACATAATTTCTGTGGCTATATGTCTGACTGACAGACGTGATGTTACAGAGATTTAAGTCGGGTTGTTTCGTTCATGCTTTTATTTAAATCTGGCATTTGAAGTATGATCCTTGGCAAGGTAATATCACATTAAAGAGGATTTTATCTGATCGTCTAACTCAAGTTATGATGGGAAATATTATGTAATTTTAGATGGATTAACTGGGATGTTTATGTCTGGGTGATAGTAATACATTCACCAAAGGCCAATTCCAAATATCAAACCAAACTGCCTGGTCGTCTTTGTCTCTGTAGTGGGATTGAGGACTAGTTTGTGTGATCCCTTTATGTGATTTTTTTAATAATTGTTTATATATCAATAGTTATGACAGTGACATAGATCAAAATCTTACATAGTCTAGAGAAATATTAATGTCAAATTAATTGAATTCTATCTTGTAACAGGTATGAGATTAATTTGCATTCATTAACCCTGTTGAAGACCTGAAATATGAAGGTTACTCTAAAATTGAGAACATAGTACTACACAAAACTTCAAGAAGAAAATTCAGTGTGCTTGGTCCAGCCCATTATAAATGCATTAAATAGAAATAAATGTGGTGGACTTTTATCATTCTATGAATAATTCATAAATTGGTGTTAAAAATGGTTTTAATTTTCAGTGTGAGGCTTTTGTCATGTTATATAGGAATTACATGGATTTTTCTCTTGCAGAACTTGCTAGGAACAGTTCATCTTCCTTCCACTCTCTTCAACACATCAGAAGGCCCGGTGGTCCAGAACAGTTCCACCACGGCCAGACTGCAGTTCATCCTGTACAGAAATGACCAACTGTTCCCCTCCCTGACCCTCCAACATGACGACCCTCGGATCGGATCCAAGACAGTCTCGGTGGTGTCTGCCATCTTGTCCGTAAATTTATGTAAGTATTAAGAGGGGCTGATGAAAGGGTGTGGTTTGGAGGGTGGCAGAGAAAGAGTTTAAGGTGAATTGGGTGTGGAGTGAGTGGTGAATGCACATTGTTGTGCGTCTTTGGTGATTTTAATTTGGTTAGCACTGGTCTGTGAGGAACATTTACATAGGGAAATTAGAATACATAGTTTTGTTGCTTGCTGAGCAACAGTTAGTGATTAGTTTGACTGTCCATCAGTCAGCCTGACACACTAAATTTTCTTTAGGGGGTTTAATTTTCATTGTTTTTGAGGTATGATGAGACCCACAAATTTAAGTCTACCACAAAATGTAAAATGTTACATATCTAAGTACAGTAAAACTCGTTTAGTACGAACACGGATATTGCAAATTCACGGATATAGCAAAGTCATTTTGGATCCCCAGCTATATAAATTTAATGGATTTCTTATATGGTTATAACGAATTACGGATATAGCGAAGTAGGAGTATTTTACCCTATCTTTGGACTTTAAATCAAAATAGGGCGTGTTTGTTCGGCGCTACGTAATGGCAATACTAGTTATTCTCATTGGTTACGAAATTACATAGGAACTTAAAATTGTTGTTGATAACGATGAGACGACTTATGTGCCACCTCTGTGGCGTGAGAGAACTTTTAATTGGCTATTCACTACACCAGTTGACATTCGGCCGCATTTCTATCATGTGTATATTTCAACAGTGAAGGGAAGCTGTGTAAATTTCAGAAGCTTGCAAACTTAAATGCCACGCCTTACTGAAAGTCCATACTAAGCGTGTAATTCTTCTAATTTCAAAGGTCCCAGCGACTTCGTTATAACCGAGTTTTGCTGTACTTATATTATTAATTCTTGATCCATGAAATCAAATCCCCACGAACCAAAAGATTTTCCTCAAGCCTTGAAAATCTGACCCCATGAAAATACGTGATTTTACAGTAATATTTTACTTTTATTCAACAGATAAATTACTGTTTCACTGTTGAAAATTTAATTAGAATTTGAAAACAAACAAGATACAAATTAGGAATAAATGAAATCACACAATGGGATAAAAGACATTTTATTTTGGTACTTCCACAGTTGATCTGGTTTAGCATTATTCACTCACTAGTTCTAGGTCAAAATTAATTTTACGTTTACTAGAACTAGATACCCCCACCCCCTTTCAGAGAAAAAAATCCCACACAGATTTTGAAATATAGAAAAATAACTTGGATGAAAATTGGCATTCGTATTTTCCTGATTTTGCACTGACCTGTAAAAGTCTAATTTATGATAAGACGATTCAGTTCTTGTGATTTATTGTAGGATTTGTTCATGTCTCTGTCTTTTTCAATTTGATTATTCACTTAATGCATGTATTATTCATTTTGTCTTTTCTTGATCTTTAATTCAAGTTTTGGGACTATCTCAAGTGTAACGCAGTAGAAAAGACATTTTCTGAGTGTGCAATGTTTTCAAATCATAAATTATGATGCAATAGAACATAATCATTTCTGATAAATTCACAGCTTGATAAATCAAAATATGATGAATGTTTGTTCAATTCAGTAAGATGTGCAACATACTATAATTATTTACATGTGTATTAGGTTTATGTGGTCTTAAAATTCATTTTTATAGCATCGGCACCGACTGCTTCCTTTACTTTTATCCCCAATGCCAGTTTTATGAATCTCTACTCCTGCTGTTTTCTGTATTCTCCATAATTCTCTTGTTCTCATTCATGCTAGAATTGCAAACTTAATATTTTTGGCTCTTATTTATTTTATAAGTTCTGTGAACCTATAGTGTTACTTATATACTTGTATAATAACAAAGTTTGACCAGTTTTGATGTACTAAAAGTTATGTATTTACTTACCGGTAACCGTAAAATGTTTAAAATGTTTTTTAAAAAAATGCCCATCAGAAATTTTATTTATTTTTAAATTTGTCGACTTTTAAGTCAGCAGTTTTGGAAAACAATTAATAAACAAAAAGGTGGCCTTAAGACATATGAGCAGACATGATCCTGTTGGAGACGTAGATGAGTGTCTAATGGACACTGTTTAGGAACATCTTTTTTTATCTTTCTTTTAACACCCCCCCCCCCACTAAAAAAAAGTATTTCCCTTCCAAACATTTTTTTTACCGTAATTGTAATGCTGTTTACTTTTATGCTATAGGTAGTTTCTATTTCATTGTGAAGTTTATAATTCTTGGGTTTGATTCGGTGAGAAATCAATGGTGAAGAATTTAGCAATCATCACTTTTAGCTATAGAATAGTTCAAACATTTAAGTCGAGTGCTACAATAAGACAGGAGGAAGGTTGCTTTGACTTCAGTGCACTTGAATATGTGTTTTATTTACAGCTCCTGTGGTGGTCAACCTGTCAACTCCAATAACCTTGACCTTCAAGGTGAAGGCTACTTCTGAAAATCTTCTAGCCGTATACTGGGACGCTGCTGCTAATGGTAATGTATAGCATAAGCTGAAAACATTAGACTTAAAATAACATACCACAGTAAAACATGATTATATTGAAGTGGGATAGGATGGGGCTAAATGATCAGTTTTACATATAAATTTTTTACTTATTTTAAAAAATCTTCTCAAAGAGCAAGAAGAGCAAAGCCATATATAGTCATATAGGAGCATTCTCTTGTAGTGTAGATCCAATTTTATTCAAATCATCATATTAGGGATTTATAAAGTGGAAAATCTGTTAAAGAACAGCAGGGCCAAAGTGTGGCCTGTTGTTGATTTTGACCATCAATAATATGGTGACTTGAAATAGACATTTCAATGAAAATGCTACTCATTTGAGAGTTGTACTGATAATCTGATTTCATACACTATTAGTCTGCACATAAATACATAGCTCTTTGCATCTTTAAATTTAAATTTCCAGTATATCAATGGTTGCTGAAAATTTAATGTTTATTTTTTTTCTCAACCACTTCTTGGTCTGATTTCAATAAAACTTGGAACAAGGGTACATGGGTAGACTAAACCAGGGATCATAATTCCATTTTAATATTGGTGTTGCCAAATCCACCCAGTTTTTTTTTCATTTATTAAATAGAAATCAATGAAGCTACAGTCTTGTCAGAGATTTTGGTTTATAAGCTAGATACGTGAGCCAAACATTAATTTGGGTCAGTAACGTTAAGGGGTATTTGGATGATTCAAAACATAAGATAAACATTAGGTTAAAGGGAGAGGGAAAAACTACTAATAGACAATGTAAATACTTCAGCATTTAAAAGCAGGTAAGAGTATTTGAAAATATTTGAAATGTATATCTGAAGGATATATGAATTAATACTTGGTTTCTACAAGTGTTTGTTGACTTCCTGGGGCTACTAACTAAAATCACTGACTGGAAATATTGGTGAAGTCTGAGACATTACAATCTAAAGCATTCTATGTGTCAGCACTGGAACTTAGGCATTTCAGGGGATTTCTTTCTCTTTTTTTATTGAAGTGAAGAGGCAACTTTATATTGGGAAAATGGTGAGATGATGGTTAAAAATGGAGAGGAGTTAAAATTCTCAGAAATATTTAATTTCTTTCTTCTTTTATATAAGGTATTGCATAAATTTAGAGGAAGAAATAAAATGTGGGAAAAAAAGGATTTTTTGTGCATGTTTTTAAAGAGTCTTTGTTTTAACAGGTGGGTTAGGAGACTGGAGGACTGATGGCTGTTCTATCAAAGGAATTGTCAAGAACTACACCACTGTCCAATGTCAGCATCTCTCTATATTCGCTGTGATTGAGGTACACAGTATTGTTTTATTTTAAAGATGAAATGCATTGTTTACAGGAAAGCAGAGTTTATTCAGAATTTCAAAAAACTTACACTTTTTAGTGTCCTTTGAAAATTTAGTATAAATTTCTTATAAGTAGAATAAAAAAGTTTTAAAATAATTAGGTTTGGTAATTAGCAGTACATTGTGAGCCATTTAGATGTCAGTATGAAATTTGTGCCTGTATTTACAGACCTCCCCTGGGACCGAGGTCCTCTCTCTGAAGATGTTCCAGCTGATGCATGTAGCGGTGTACGTAGGAAGCTGTGTGTGCCTCCTGTGTCTAATGGCTGTCATCATCACTTACGTGTCCTGCTTCAGGTATACATTATCAGCTGATGTGTATCACATGTTGTCACTGTCACTTTATTGTTTACAAATCATATGAATAGGCCAATAATTGAAGCAATTCTTTCTTTTTATTCAAAACAGAACTTTCATTATTTTTGATATAAGAAAAAAATCTTTTAGTATTGAAATACAATTTATGCTTGGATTTAATGCTTTTGATGCTTTAATTATGGAATACAAAATTTGATAATTTTTTTATAGAGAGAAACATTTTTACTTTTAGATTTATTAATGTGCCCAACAAAATGAAGCACTCTGTGATCAACATCAGTGTGTGTGTCCTGCTGCTCATCATAGGCTTTACCATGGGAGTCAAACGCACAGATCACCTACTAGCATGTCAGATCATTGGAATTTCCATGCATTATTTAACTTTATGTGCCATCTTCTGGATAACAATCACTTCCTTGTAAGTATTCAACATTGTACAAAGTGACCGTATAAAGGGCCTGAGGTGAATTGTTCTTTTCTTCGTGCCATATGCATGAAAATTATCTCACTTATAAAACCCCTTAAAATAATCTGCAAACTTAAATAACAAGAAAAAGAACAGCACTTAATGACAGACTTAAGCTGATTTACTGATAAATTTCTGCACAGAACCAAATTACTAAATTGATGTTTCCTTTTGTAGCAATATGATGAAGAAATTTTCCAAGGCCAGTAAACCCCCCGCCCCACCCCCAGATATGCCAGGTATGCCTTTACCCCCCAAACCAATGATTCGGTTTTACCTGCTGGGCTGGGGTGTTCCTACCATTATCTGTGGCATCACAGCTGCTGTCAGTCTGGATCACTACTCAGAGCCCTCATAGTAAGTGTATCTGACATAGGAATTGTACTTCATACAACTGAATACTCGAGTACTTATTGAAAAGTCCAGGCATTGATTAATTAAATCAATATTTGAGTACTTAGAAAAATAACGATACGTTATCTTAGAATTACAGTTGAACTTTGGTATCTCAAACTCCAATATCTCAAATACCATGGATATGTGGAAGTGATTTGGAAGTCCCAACCACATATTCTTTAAGTATTTTACCTTCAATGTCTCGAATCCTCGGATATCTTGAAGTATTTTCTCAGTCCCATGAGGTTCGAGGTAACGAAGTTTGACTGTATTATAATTCAATATCATTGTTATTTGTCAAGCACATTCTACTTCTCATGATACTTACATGTAGGTGAATTATATTGTCTTTGGGCTTTTCCAATTGATGTACTGTAATTTACTTTTGTTACAATTTCAGCTGCTTCCTTGCCTGGGACCCCAGTCTTGGAGCATTTTATGGCCCTGTGGCTTTACTGGTGGTCTTCAATCTTGTGTTCTTCCTGCGGATTTCATGTGTAATTCAAGGAAGTACAAACAATCTGAATGAATCTAATCGGACAGAGGATATCAATGATATCGAGCTTACTCAGAATGGCGACAACAACAACACCGAGATTGAGGCGCTCACTCAGACCAATAACAACCCGAGTAACATTGAGCCTTCTCTGGGGGACGACTCGGAGATTAAATCTCTGGTGTCCAGTGTGGCTGACCAGGAGAAGAGACCTCAGTCACAGCTATATGCAGTCATATCTATCTTAATTCTGTTTATTTTATTCTGGGTCTGTGGGGCAGTGGCTGTGGCAGAACCTTTTAAATTCATTATTCCTATGCAGGAGTTAATTTTCAGTTATCTCTATGGATTTACCTGTGCCATATTTGGAATATTTATGTTGTGCTATTTTTGTTTGTCAAGGAAGGATTCATGTTCTAGTTGGAAAAGATTTTTTCTTTGTGAGAAACATCCTTTGTATGATTTAAACTACCAGGCAGCCGCCAATCACAGTGCATTAAGTAATGGTCATGTGATGCAGGAAAATGGAAACTTAGATCCTGATGTGAAATCATACAACATAACACATGAGATGCCCACTGACAGTGTAAAGCAATCCAATATCAATCTAGTCCCTGCCAATTCTAGTTCTTTTATTGAAGATTCAGTTAATAATGGTGCTCATGACAGTAATATTAAAGTATTCTATAACCCAAGACAAAATGGCGTGGCTAAAAAGTTTTGGGAAAAACAGAGACATAATTCCCGTTACATCAGCAGGGACGCAACCAAAGAATTCAATGGAAGTATCACATCTTTTTCGGGATCGGAAGCCAATAATCGTCAGCAGACAAGTGGTAATCTTAGTGATGGAAAATCTCACCTTAGTATTGAAATTCAGATTCAATCTAAAGGAGTACTGAACCATCCACAGAATGGGAAATCACCTCTTCCTCCACCATTCAGTAATGCTATGGTGGTCCCTCACAGCGGAGTGCCTGGGCACCTCACACCAGTGTTCTCTATGGTTCCACCAAATAAGACCAATATAACTGGAGGATCAGGATCTGTTAATGCTACGAGCCCGTGCTGTAGCACTGTGTCCTATTGTGATTCACACACTGTGTCCCAACATACAAGGTCACCTAGTTCATGTTCTCTGGGGTCAAGGTCACATCCAAGTGCCTTCACTCCTGTGACTCCCAGGAATAACACTTTACCTAAACCTCATAAGACCTCAGATGGCAACATCCCACAGTTACCCCCCTCTTACAATGATTTGATAAAAAATGGATCCCTGTCAAGAATACGTGACTTTGATGGACAGAGCCAAGTGGGTGACTCTCGTTGTCAGAGTCCAAGGGTTCAAGGTTTACACAGTGAACCTCATCTAATATACCCCCCTCCTGGGCCCCTCAGTACTCAGGAAGGCTGTACATATACACAGTATGGATCAGTGGATGATCATATTACGTGTGAACCACAGCGTTCTCAGAGAGCTCGTTCACATTCTGGTGGATATAGTTCTGATGCTGGTGCAAAAAATCTCCGGAAAAAGGAGAGTTTTATTCAAGAAGTACAGCAGAGGGTTCCAAATATGGAGCCTCTTATGATCATTCAGTGTCGTTCACCAACAAATCAGCTGAATCAATCACAAAACAGTAACTCACGATCTTCTATGCATCAGTCGAACCAAATCCAAAATAGCAATTGTCGGTCACCTGTTTGTCAACTAAACCAATCACAAAATGGTACTTACTTGAGTCCAAATATGAATGTTGGAAAACAGAGTAAACTTTATACACCTGACAGTGATAGTGGTATAAATTACAAGAAAACTCCCGACTCAGATCATAACTCGGAGCCGAGCAGCTCTCGTCATCACCGAAGGTCACATGACCACCGGGGTAACTCACGTCAAGCACGGGGAAATCCAAGGACAAAGTTTGAGTGGGACAAGGGTATTAGTAAAGCCAAGTCAGTTCCTTATGCATATGTGAATCATAAATATGCAGAGAGGGTCAGAAAGAAGCTGAACAACCAAACCCCAATGGAGGCCAAGAATGACTGGGGTTCCCCTAGTCTGGATGAGGATAGCACGTCCTCGTCAGGAAACGAGGCCTGCTTTGATCACAATGTGTGGGTGCTACAAAACCAAAGGAAGCTTAAACGCAAGAAAGAAACAAGTGTATAACTGTGTATATTTATCAGTAACTTATTGTGACAATGTATTTAACTTACTTATCAGTGCAATTCCAGTATTGTCTTTTTTTACCTTGATGTAGACTTCATGTTTTCAGTCACAAGATCAATATAAGATATTTTTTGTGTTTCAGTTGTGAAACACAAGGCCAAAATTTTATCCAGTTTTGATACAAGTATGTCGTATTGAATATCTTAAAAATTGTGGATAAATGTATTTTTATTCAACAAATTACATAGTTAAATCTTATTTGTACATTTGATAATCTATTTATTTTTTTGAATATTGAGATTTTTTCTGTAGCTATTATATTTAAATTGTGCATGTACACCTAAGGAGACTGTTTTATACTTTCTTTTATACATGTATTTATGAGGTTGTGTGTCTACTAATTTGAAAGGTTGATCAAATTTTTAGAATACATGTACTTGCAGGCTAATTCACATATCCATTATTCTAAAAATGGGACATTGTTATTCAAATTTTTTAGATGGAATAAACTCTGAGAATATAAACATGTGAATAAAAAATGAACTAATATTAGGTTTTGAATACGTAAACATCATTTGGGATGATTAAATGTGAACAAATTCAATGATAAATGGAATCAATGATAATAAATGTATTTTAGGCATTAGGTTTGTAGTATAAGAAGCCACATGAGCTTAGAGACTTTATCAGACAAGAGTATCATTTTCAGTCCATTTTTCTTGGCATTATTTTTATTAGCTGAATCTGGGTGCTGACATCAATGTATTTACATAGAGTACATACATAATTATTATTATGTGTTATTTATTTACCATTTTATATACATGTCCATGTTATATGTTAATGATCTTCAGACTGAACTTTGTAGTTTTGTATTTGTTCCCCTTTAAATGTGATTGTAAATACATGTGTATTTTAAACAAATAAAAAGCCCTTACTGTAAAAAAAAAAGAAAGAGTATTTTATGATTCACGTTAGCGTCTCCTTCCAGTTTCAGTTTTTTTAGCGTAGGTTCGTTCCCAAGTAACTACAGGTATATAAGCCCTACTGACCAAACTTGCATGGATTAAGGGATGGACACTAACAGACTTTCTTCAGATGCTGGATGCATTTTCCAGATGAGAATTTTGAGCTTTGAGCATTTTGGGGCAGGTTTATTCCCAAAAGATTCTTAGCCTGGGCTTGACCAGGCTACATGGATGATGTACATAGGGATGCAGTCTAACAGACTTGCTTCAGATCTGGGATCTACATTTTCTATATGAGAGACCAGGGTAATGTACCCATAGTTATACACGTAAAAGCACTGCAACAGTATGGCCTGTTGTGATTCAACTTGGATGGTGCAACTAGAGATTTACATTATCAGAGACTTTGGTTGTTATTTCTGGATTTTTGGAGCAGTTTCATTCCAAAGGAATGATCTACCTGAATCAAACTAGCATCGAAAATTTTTTTTATCTCGTGAGCTTTCTGTCTAGAAAATTTTGCTGGGAGATTTACTTCATAGATACATGTACTCTTAACATTCATCAAGGTGATCTTCATAATCATTTATTATTTTTTATGTTAATTTATAAATATTAATTTGCACAATGCTTTGTTGAGATCAGAAGAGCTTATGGGATAGTAAGGAGTCCGTCCTCTGTCTGACTTCCTGTAAACAATTTTTCAAAATGTTACTCCTCCTAACAGTTTTGGTCTGATTTCGATATAACTTGGCACATAAGTAGACTACACTACAATACATAATTTTGTATATCAGTTTTTGATTTTGGTAAATGGGGTTACCATGGTTTCTTAAAATAGATATTTCTGTAAAATGCTTTCGAAATGATACGCCTCCTACAGTCTTGGTTTGATTTCAATATAACTTGGCACACATATTCTGAGATATATATTAAAGGTATTAATTGTTTTTATGATGAATGATGTTGCCATGGTAACTAAAATTGAAAATTTCTAAAAGATTCTTTCAAAAGGCTATTCCTACAGTTGTAATTTTATTGCAAATCTTGCCACAAAAAGAGACTAAATCAAGAAACACTGTTGTATTCACGCTGCTAATTTCTTGTTATCGATGAAAGCTGAAATTTTGTATAAATAGAAACTGCTTTTTTAAATAAAACACTTATGCCCATCCCCCAAAATTGACATTTTTCCAAGTTCAAAAGGGCATAACTCTGTCAAAAATGGCGCAATTGTACCCAAAACAGAACTTGACCTAGATATTCATCTGATAAATCTGTACACTAAATTTCATTTCAGTTTGTGCAATGGTTGCCAAGAAAATGAATGGAAACTGCAAATAATTGGAATTTTTCTAAGTCTAAGGGGCATAACTCTATCAAAAATGGCGCAATCGTATCCAAAATAAAAGATGACCTAGATATTCATCTGATATATCCGTATACATGTACCAAAATTCATTTCAGTATGTGCAACGGTTGTGAAGAAAATGAACCGAAACTAAATGGACCAGCAGACAACAGCAAAGCAATATGCCCTCCCGTCTTCGAAGGGGGGCATAAAAATATAGTTAACACTAGTATATGCATTTCTTTGAGAATTAAGATATGTTTGTGAGCATTTTCAGTCGTTCAACTCTAGATTTTCAGACCCTGGGGATCAGACTACCTTAAGATTCATAAACCCTCTGCTCTCTTATATAAAATGTTGCTTGAACCTTATTGATTTTCCAAAATAAATGTATAAGTAAAATACAAACAACTATAACATAGCTTGCAGGGCAAAATTGGACAAAACACAGTCCAACTTGGCAAATCTATAAAGGAATAATAGACATTTATGTCATTAAGAGATATAAAAACAACGCAATAGCACATTTTATCTCCTTTTATTACTATATTCAAGTCTGTTTAAAAAGAATTCTTTTTGTCTCTGTTGAAAATTACAACAACAAAAAAATAACTTAAAATAAAAGGGGTATGAATGAAAAGTACCCTGTAAATCACTGATAATGAACAATAAATATATGGACAGCTATATGTGTAAACTTGTGAAACGAGACTTCTGTGGTAGAAAAATACATTGACGTTGTACCGGTACATACTGCCAGGAAAGCACAACAAAGTTAAATGAAAATTGTTCAGCATTTAAACATAAGCAATTTACCAAATAAAACTTTGTATGTACATAAAATCTAACATTAGGTGTCTTTAAGGTTGTATATTCAACTTAAAATAAAAGCTTTTAACTCATTTTCAAATGTCCATATTAACCAGTATCATAATGTACCGAAACAAAATAGTTCTCAATATTATGCAGAAGTTGAGCTTAAGGATAAGCACTATCACATGATATCCGATATCATTGTTCTTTACGTGTTGGGGCTAGCGGCTTTGGTGTGTTGCCTTCCTTCTGGTCAGAATTGCTTTCTGGTCCCTAATACTGACATCTGGTAGAGCTGAGATTACACTCTAGATGGTGTAAAAGTCAATAGATCAGAACAACGTAGCAATTGTCAACCAACTGTTGAGCATGTAGTGACTGACTCCAGTGGATGTGGACATGTTATCATCAGGTTGCCTGCTCAGCCATCAATACACCTTCTTCAATTGTTCATACATCAGGAAGAACTGAATACAAGTCAAGGTTAACAACAAAAGTTATATGTATCCAAGTTAGGCAAGTATTTGTAATAAGCTTTTTTTACAGTGTAAGCTTTTACTCTAGAGTTCAAATTGATCAGGTTCATATCAACCAGGCTTCATTGAAAATAACAAGCATGGGCATGATGGAAGCCTGTTAATGTTATTGAATAATTCATGTTTTTGTCATACTTTTCAATGTCTGCACATGTCCTTTTATTATTTTCTAGCTTATAATTTTCAGAGAGTGTGCCTTTAAATCTCTCGTAAAATAGTAGCCCTTACGGTTATATAAAGCAGTAACCACAATTCGCGAAAATTTTGTCCCATCAAAGGTGCTCAACTCTTTGATGTATACAATAAAAATTTGTAACAGTAAACATTGAATTTCCAAAGTTAATATTTTGATATTCTCATAATTTTGTAACAGAGTTAATATACTGTAGATGTAATGTACGCAGAGCAATTTTTCTCACAGATGGGTGAATTCAAATCATGGCAATTCAGAGAACACTGTATAATCTCTTACACAGAACTGTGACTGGGTGAATTTAAAACAGGGCAAAATTGTTTGCAATGTGTGAAAAGCAAATATAAGACTGGGCAAAAATAACCCTGTATATAGTACATGATGCAGTTTTATTTTCAAAGTACTGTACTTATTGTGACCATTTGCAAGTGAAATTGATGCTTTTTTGTGTATGCATTGACTTAACACCTTTGGTTGTGTGGGTCATGGATGATTGACCTTTAGAAAAAGGATACAATAACATTCCATGGGCCAAGTCGAACCCAGGTAGGACAAAAGCCTTTGTATAACGCACACGGTCCTTCTGTCTTAATAGTCTGAAAACATAAATACATAATAATTACATACACTGAAAGATAATAACAATATACTGTACATTTAGGGTGAATGTCACAAATCTGTGAGTTAGAAATACCTGAAAAAGACAGTCCATGGAAGATTTGTAAATTGGGAGAGCCTCAATACCGGATTTTAAAACTGAAGGCTTGTACCTTCTTTGGTTCATCATTCTTGTCTGAAAAAGAAAAGACAATATAAACAAACTAGTCACCTAAGATTCTAACAACATCAACACATAATTTATATCAGTGTTATACAAATTCAAATGTAAAGAAGCTTATTACAATATGCAAACATTTAAAAGGCTACACAGATTAGACAGAAATATTTTTATCTATTACATCTTCATTGTATACTACAAAATCAGCACTTATTATGAAACTACTGTACAGTAACTTTATTTCTGTACCAAGGTGCCAATTGAGCATTTGCATGTCCCTAATTTCCAAAAAATTCTGAGATGTCCTCTTCTTATATTGTCTATACAATTGTCACATTGTATTAATATCTTCTTTAATCGAAAAAAAAAATCATTTGTAGTATTGTTTGGGAAGTACTGTAATACAGAACATTAAGACTTGAGGATATTGATATTTACTGCTGCTTATGCTTCCAATTTTTCACTTACAAACCACAAGTTATTATTAATGATGATAAATAATCATGGGATGCTTAGTTTACCATGCAAATTCCAACAATTAATCTCGGTAGTTTGACAACCCCCTCACCTCAGTAATTTTACCATGAAAACTCTTTCAATAAGCTAGATGAAAAAATCTGAAGTAGATTTATCTAATTCCGCTTATTTAGTGTACATGTGTCATCATAGTTTTCCCATACTCGATATTTCGTAAAATGATAAACTTAAATTCAATATAAATTTTCAAACATGGTATGATACATTTTTTTTTGGCAAATTCCTAGAGTTGGGTATTGCGAGTGAAAACCATATTGCGATATATTGCAAACCACAATATTGTTATTATTAATAAATTCGAGCAAATGTTTGAAATGCTGTCAAGTTCAAAAACTATTTTAATTTATCTTTAAGTTTTAAAGGGGGATGCATTTATTGCACACATAATTATAACACTTTACTTTTAATCAAATACCAGCAAAATTCCCTTGGAACAAATATATTAACTTTTTTCATTTCTTTTTTTTTTTGGGGGGGGGGGGGGGGTCTTAATGAAGTAGCATGAAATGCTTTTCAGATTAAAACAATACATACTATATGAAAAAAAAATTATTGTGGTTACAGAATAAAATTAAAGCCAGAAAGAAATTGTGACCTATTTTCGTGCGTTTTGGTGTTTTAGTCTAACCTTTCACATTTATGACCATCAGAAGTGACCTATATATACTCTTTCAATAAGCTAGAAAGCAACACTACTTCACGTGAAAAAATGAACTTAAGGGTACTGAAGTATATATATTTTTTGACTGATTTTGATTTGCAATGACATAAATAATAAATCCCTGAATTCCGCTTATTTAGTGTATATAATTCATTTGTTTTTTAACATGACAAAATAGTTTTCCCACTACTTGGTAAACATTATTCAGAATTTAAATGTTCGAAAATGATAAATCCTTAAAAATTTCATCACGATGTTGATCGTGTAGATTCGATGCGAGATTTTGAGAACCACAGTACACTTTGTATACACCCTTTAGAAATGTTTTACATATTATAAATTCAATTTTTTCAAACATGGTATGATAGATTTTTTTTGGCAAATTCCGTAAGTATACAATTTTCCTTACTCAGAATCAGTGCATTAAAAAAGACTTCCCTTTTAAAATCTTAAACCCTAGTTATATTTTGAAATATTCTTAAATATAATATCCTTTTATAAATTTTCTATCATGAATAAAAATTAATTCCCATTATGGGCCCACAAACATGGAGAATCACATGAACATTGCATGGTGTGGTACATGTATCTGTCAATCAATATCTCTGAAATAGTTAGAGGCCTTACGATATAACTGCTTTAAGATATGTTGACATCCCTCTACTAAATTTTTCCTTGTAAATTCCTTGACATTTTACTTTTTACTAAATGTTTAAAGACTATAGGAAATAAAAATCATTTGATAGTTAATAATGATCTATAGACATCAATTCTCTTCATATCACAGGATATTCTAGTATGCACATCAATCTTCTAAATAGTGAAACAAATGCTCAATCTGAACACCATTGTACAAAATACCATAACCACAGAGAAAGGAGAAAGAATTACATAAAACTTTCAAATGATTCTATAAGAACACAAGTTCAGTGTTTGGGAAATAATGGTCAAGATGACATACGCATGACTTATGTAAACCCACTATGTAATGAAAGTGAGGGTGGGAAAGGGCGGCAACGCTCATTGTGCCCCTCCTTCACCCTGCTTCTTCCGCGTACAGTGGGGCAATCTGCTGTGATGTCGTCCATTTAGTCGACACTCTGCATCGGTCATATGTTGTAGCTTAGAGCACCTTGAAAACAATGAACCATCCAGCTAGATGAGTTAAGATATGTGGTCTAGCAGACTAGACCACATGCACAAGTATACAAGTTTACCAGTGTGGATACATTTTTTTGGTACATTTCAGTTCTTTGGGAGTATATACCATATTTGTATGTACTGATGTCTACCAATGTGTCACCTTATTAGCCACAAAAGTGAAATAAACAGGTACTTGTATTAGTAAGCACCTTGAAAGACAGTTTTCTCTTTCAAGGCAGCAAAAAATTATGCTTTTTAAGAGCGATTTTAAATTTAAAACAAACAAACTGTTTTTGGACACATTGGAGACATCAGTTAGGGAGGGGCTCCCTACAGTGCATTAGAACTTCTACTACTCCCCTACACTAGTTATCAAGTAACAAATTATAACAAAGTATTGGTTTAATTTTGTGATATTTTGATCAATATGTCTAGGGGAAATAAACAGCAATAATTGATATCAAATCTTGCTGATAACAACAATTTGAGATTTTAATTTAACAAGTAACAATTTCTTTAAATTAGGTAAATTTTTAAATTTAAGGAAATTTGGGGAAATCTAAGTTTAGGGTTATTCTAAAAATTAGTTCACGTAGACACATTGATCAAAAAGATTGCCAAATTTACACTGTATATATCATTCTATAATAAACATAGTAAATCTTTATATCAATGCAGACTTAGTTTGCAGTATATTACACTTTTCAAGAAATTCATTTATCAATATTATAAATTATAAGAACAATTTAAACATGGCGAAAAATGTGTCCAACACACTAACAACAGCCTCAACTCAGCATTAAATGATCTTGGAAGAACCCTAGCATCCTACAGATTAGGCCAATCCAACCTTTAGGGACAGGTAGTAGAAGAACCTATGCCAATCCCAAAGCAAGTAGATTAACCTATGTCCATTGGACCCTCGGCAAGACAAATTTCTCCTGTCACTTAACAATGCCACATTAAATCCAAACTTGGAACTTTTTTGTTGTCCCTTTTAAAAATACTGGAACAATTAGACAAGATATAAAGAACACTTCTTCAATATATGACAATGTGTTTTCATTATTTTTTCTTTTTCAAGAAAGCACCATAAGTTTTCATGAACACCAGTGTCCTCTAGCCAATAATAACATCCAATTGCAATGTTTAAATTTCCAATCAGAAAATCAAATCACTGATGCTTTTCAATTGTGTATGAGCAGATAGCATGGTAGGAGAAAAACAACTCAACTGCAACTAATGTGTGCTGGTGTGTGGACAAGTTTTTCACCATATACAAGTCAAAATGACCTAACACAAATTTAGATATGTTCATTAGCACTGCAGGGATTAATAGTCTGCCTTGATGATACACAATCAAGAGTAGTATTTAAGGCAAAAAAAAATTAATCAATAGTTTCTCAGGCACCGCCGCATCAGTTCAAAAACGGCCGCATTGATCATTTTTATTGACATATTGAGAAGGGCAATAACTCAATTTTCTATTTTTCCAACTTGTAAAAGAAAATCGAGTTATTCCCCTTTTCATAAATGCTAAGATATGCGTTTTTATTAGAAAAACAATATATTTCTTCTTAATTTACAGTATTTTATGAATTAACTTTTAAGTAAATTTTTAGAATAACATTATTAAAGTTGAATACATATTAAAACTAATTTCAGAGAACAAAAATTAAGAAAAAGTAGATATATTCATTTTATTGAACAAATGGCTTAAAAAAGGTGTAAAACTTGCTCAAAAAAAAAAAAAAAAAGGCCTGCCTGCCGCATTGAAATTTGAATTTTTTGGCCTGAGAAACAATTAATAAATTTTTTTTGGCCTAAAACATTCTTTTTAAAAAAGATAAAATGAAATATCTAACCAGATTTTAATCCAATGAATTAATTTTTTTTTTCAAAATGAAACAACTGATCCAATTTTAGAATAAGTAACTTTTTTTCACAACAAGAGCCTCAAAATTATGATTTTTTTTTTTTTTTTTTGATTTTTGTAAATAAATTATTCTAAAAAGCAATTTGTTACTATATAAACTGCAGCAAAAAATTTTTTGGCTAAAACATCATTGATATTAGTGTATCATCTAGACAAAAGAGTGGACCTGTGGTGGGCCAAAAAAAGGAGTGAAACATATAGTAAATACAGCGAGAGGTCTGCAACTGATTACCTTAACAACATCAATTGGTGTCGAAAATACAGCTCCTATCACACCAGCAATAAAACTGGCCCTGAAAAAAATATTAAAATTAAACCTAAATACTAATTCAATTTTTATTTACATTCAAATAAAAATTTCTGAAGAATTATATGGATGCATATTGCAACACAAAAACTTAAGCGATAAAAAAATCTTTAAATTTTTAAATTCAAGAAACAGTTGTTAACAATTCATTTTTGTAAATACAGTGGACCTTCAGATATCCGGACGCCAGATATCCGGACGCTTCACCTTCCGGACGATTTTTCTCGGGAACGGATTTTTTTAACGTAATTTTGACTCATTTATCCGGAATTCCGCGTTCCGTATCCGGACGGCTCTTTTTTACTACAAAATGTATTTTTACGTTATAATTTGGTTCATTTATCCGGACGGTAAATTTTAATTTGTACTTCCACTCTTGTCAACATTCACGCCTGAACTGAGTGATAATTGTTATCAAAACACTGGCCGGATTGATTGTTTTTACAAGACGATCAGCTGTGACCTGTTATGAATGACTTACGATGATTAGTCCACAGATTAAGCATGCTAAGTGGATATGATCATAATATACGAGAGATCGATACACAAATGAAAATAAACATTTAACAGTGTCGGTAACAGAAAACAATTTTCTATTCAGTTATTTGTTATCTGCGAGATATTTATAATTTTAGTACAGAGCTGGTTTTAAATATTTTTCTATTTATAGACGGGACGACATAGTTTCACAATCTCGTTGTCTACACATGTGCACATTGTGTAATTTTCATCTGTAGATTGGTGGCAGTTATCATCAAAAAAATAACCCTAAAACATTCAATCAAATTTGAATAATTTTAGACAATCATTGATTTCGCTTGGTAAGATTACTGCGTGAATATTTAGCGTGGATGAGTAATCATTCAAATTAAAATTAGACTCGAACTCGATACTGACAGCTCGCTTGGTTGTAATCAAAGCTGCAAATGAGAGAATTCGCTTGGCTATGTTCATCAATTTATAGGAAGTAGAAAATAAAAATAAGCTGGGTAATTAAAAATCTGCCCATATAAGCAGCGTTATATCCAATGTTTGTCATTCTGATCTCCAGCTACAACCATGTCTACACCGCCGGCAAAGAGAGCGCGAGTCGGCATTTCCGCCAGCTTTAAGAAAAAAAATCTGACAACGCAAAGTAGATCTTCCACGTTCTTCATTGCAAAATTTCAGGCAGTTTGTTATTGACGAAGAGAAAATTACCATTTAAAAATAATAAATTATTATTTCTATACGATAGTATTTATCTTTATTTATACATGTATATATAAGAGTTACAATACAAATACAGTATACCTGGAAGAGAAATCAATAGAATTCAGATATCCGGACGCTTCACTTATCCGGACAATTTGCTTGGGAACCAAAGCGTCCGGATAAATGAGGCTCCACTGTACCACAATGCGCATTTGGGCAGAGTATTTTAAGGGAATCTTAAGGTGATACTACTTACAGAAAATGAGTTGCCATGCAGTCCTCCATGTTCAGGTTAAGGAGCTGTAACTTGCTGATGTCATAGGCAGGTAGAATAACTCCGGCTACAATGGCCGCCCGCTGGGCAGTGGGACTGACGCCCTGTCAATCAGTACAAATACATCAGCAAAATACTCGCTTTTATCATTTTCTTATCAGATTTTTCATTATTTCTGATTATTTACTAAATATCAGGTTCATATACATCTAAAAATTGTTTTCCATTGCCATGGATCATGTGAAAATGAATATATTTTAATGGCTGTAATCTTTAACACAATAATAAAACTTTATACCCTCCAAAGGCCTGGAATTCCCTCCTGTTTGAAGATTTTGGTAAATGCTTGTGTAAAAGTTTCTCTGCTGCCATTTTCTGTCTGTGCTTGCATACGCACCTGTTAAGTAATGAGATAATTTGATACTTAATATGTGACTAAAAGCACAAACACTTTAAGTCTTTATTTTTTCCTCACTTTTAACTGATTTTTCCCCGATACTTTTCCTGAAGATTTATGTCTTTACCTTTCTCGTGTATTGAGGAAGTTTTCATTTGTACATTCATTAATACATTTTATTAAAAAAAATTGTTTTACATACAGATTGAAGAATGATGGATAATTCAATTATTACATGAGCTCTTCCAGTCTCTGACACACAAACACCATGTACCGTATAAGCAGAAATTTTAGCGAGGATTTAATTTTGGCATTATTAGTGAGGGTGTTGAGATCGCTAAAATTGAATATCGCTAAAAATCAATTAGCTTTTTATTTGTAATAGTTTCTTTAGTGAGCATTTTAAAATCGCTAAAATTACATTTCGCTAAAAATAGAATACCACTTTTTGAGGACAAATCGTTAAATTTGCCTCTCACTAAAATTTCCACTTATAAGGTATATGGAGTAACACAGTAAAAGTGCTGTTTTCCTGCATGTAATTGACTTGTTGTAGGATACAAACCTTGAGCACATCTGTGGGGTTAGATACGACACTTCCTACAACACCTGCTACCACTCCACACAGAACATTGATAGGTAAGGTCTCATCTGACAAACAAAGGGCTTCATTTGTATACTGACACGCAAAAGAAACGCAACAAACAGTAATCTACAAATGTTTGATTTTTTTATCTTATGATTTTCAAAAGCGAATAAAGTATGGCTAAACTCATTTTGCAGAACATCAGAGATTTTATAAAAATGTTAAATGTTTATCTGTTTACTTTACTAAGTAAAATATGACTGTTAAAACAATTCCAGCCATTCAAGTAAAACATGCAAGACTGCCCTAAATAACGATTGCAGCTTAACTTCTACGATACAATAGGTTCATTAATATCGAGATCTGAGCGAAGGAATAATTCTTTGACATTTCTAAATTCCCGTTTTTCAGATGATTAGGTCGAATTTTCTCTAACTTAGAGCAGTGTAGCCACCCCTGGACTTCCGGTACAAGGCCTGTCTTTAATGCATATGATACGTTAGACCCTGTTGAGGCGTAATGTAGTGAAATTTCGCATCAGCAACTCTCCATCACCTTTACATTGAAATTTTCCAGCTAGAGCAATGGAAATGTGTACACAGGCCATTTTCAAGTAGCCTTAGCATCGTTACGGGAAAAGGAAGGAGAGTTTATTTTTTGAAATATTGCTAAATTACTTATGATGAACAGTATAAAACCCTTAAAACTCCATAATATTGCCAAATGTTTTGTTCAACATGCAATTTTTGATTTCGGTTAAGCAGACACAAACTTGACTTCCGGTTATGGTATGGAAATCGTTCAAGCGTTAAATTACCGATGTTTACCAAATTGAAGATATTCATAATTTTAAGATACAAAATTTTTTACTTTACATAATTATTTCCCCCTAAAGTAGGGTGTTGCGTTTCTTTTGCGTGTCAGTATATAAACCAGTCTTTATGATTTTCTTCACAAATCAAGTCAAAATGTGAACATATCAATGACAAAAATAGATAAAGAAAGTACACATTTAGACTAAGAGCTCTAAAAACATTTCAACTTAGCAAATAAATATGCATACACATGTATGATTAAAATTTTTACTTATGCTAGCATCCATGTATATAAAATTTAAGTTTACTAAATACATTAGATACCTTTAGGATTTGGAACAACGAAGCCTTTTAACGAATAGTATACTCCAATCTTTATAGTTCCATAGGCTGATTGCCTGAACAATGCTGGAACCAACCTGTTAAAAAAATACATATAGGACACTTCAGATCTTTATATCATTTATATGGTATTATTGTATTTTCCTACATTTCACAAAATGTACATATCTTAATGGAAATGGAAACTGTACTCCTGGTGAGCTAATTTAATTCATAGATTCTTGGCATGTCGCCAGTTCCTACTTCTTTTTATTCAATTTAAAATAGCACTCTACACTTAAATGGAAAACAGCCAAGGAAACATTCTTTCCCTTATTAAAAATGTCTAAATTTGGTACGCAGTAACACATATATATTGAAAATGAGCCAACAGACATATATATATGTGTGCCAACTTTTCTGACCCAAATATATTGAACACCTCTCTTAAACTCTTTTGAATGGAACTTTACTCAAATTTGGGTAACTATTTATTTATGCAAAAGATTTTTGCACTGCAAAAATGAAAATACAGTTAAATTAATTGGCATATGCCCAGAATATAAACATACAAAGTACCTAAAACAAGGAAGAAAAAATAATGGGGAAGAATAAACAGTGGAAAAATCACCCTATACACACATTAATCAAATCTTAATGTTAGAGAGCCTGGATATTGATTCAATGTCCCTCACTACACATCCTTTACCCTGTAAAGTAGGAGAAAGGGGGAACAGATAAATTATACCCAGGATGAGAATAATTTGACTTAGGAGTTAGAAACTTAGTTCAAGGTCCATATTTGATTTAAGACTGTGTTGAGTTCAAGTATAAATAATGAGAGAAAGAAAATCTACTGACTAGCAATGTCTGACAAACTGATACATGTATATGCAAAATGACAAAACTAAACACTGAAAGGCATCCACAGAAAACTGCCCTAATAATTCAAGTTGAAATACACTTTACCCAGAATATAATGCCCTGATGCCCTCTTCAATATAAATGCGTTTGAGGGCGTGGGTCATGCCCCGATACTTGATCTCTTTAAGGCGGACATCTATTTTCTGGCCTTGCACTTGGAGGCGGGTTTTTGTTGTATCAATTGGAAATGTACCTACAAAAGAAACATCAAAAGATCTACATGAATTTTCTAGAAATGGAAATTGTAATTGGAGACCTTCCATTTAACATTTTCCTTCTAGGCTTTACACTTCTATAAACTAACTGCTCCTTAAGAATACACTTCATAATTATTCCTCAGTACTTCAAAGAATGTTACAAATATAGTAACCATACAGTATGCAACTTCAGCTTCATTTTTTAGTTTCCATTTCAACTGCCATTATTTAGAAGATTGGTAAGTGGCCTTTTAAGTTTTCTGTTAAGTGCTCATGAAAGCGCCAGCGAATAGAAACCAAGTAAGGTAAAACAGCTTACCACTTTCGGCAGCAACGGATGCAATTCCTCCATAAATAAACGGACGCCAATCGTTCATTCCTTCAAAAGCTAAGAAACTGAATGGGAAGTCTTCTTTTTCTTGTATCCAAATTATATTTCAAGAATCTGCAGAGATAAAATGAAATTTAATTTCTCTTCAAACTGATCATTTCCCTCCATTAATCTACCCAGATTTACAGATGAGTGCTACACCTCACTTCCTCAAGTCTAGACAACTGATCAGTGATTACAACATTCCTGACAAATTAAGCACATTAAATAAAATTTAAAAATATTTTTAGATAATCTTTATTACCTTTTTTGTACAGAAAGAAACCTTTTTGTAATGGGTTATTCTTTAAATATACTATTTTTTTAAACTTAACTTTGCAATATATGTATATCTCTTTTTTTTAATCCAAGACGTAAACTGTGATAAGATGATGGAAATTAATACATAATATGCAACATTTTTTTTAAAAACTTCCTTTGAAACTAAATGTGTAACTTGATTTTTTTTATATAGGCTAACTAATGAATATGGGCAAGCTATTTTAAAGGTCAAAAACTGATAATCTACTTAGTGGGAGCGTTCAGGAAAAGTACAGGTGAAATTACCGGTTGACCCTGGACTAAGCCTTAGCAGTGAATAAATCAGGTATACAACACACGTGTGCAAGTGAACACCTTTACTGTACTGATTATTTACATTGATAGGAATGAAAACTACACATTAATTGCTACTAACATCTCCTGTGTGCGACAGGCAATGCTTAAAGGAATCATTATTCATTAAATTTTAATTCATACAGTAAAAATTAATAACACTGTAGTTGCTATAAAAGTCACATAATCTGTACGCAACTGACTCCAATTGGCCAGGTTGGACATTTTAAAGAAAGGAATTGGGCAACAGTTTAAACAAATGAATATTGAAAAGGACATAATTTTTCATTGTATTAAGAACAAGATTTTGGATTATACAGCATCTGGATTAGACAAGTTTCACTGTATATACTAATATGGGCTTTTTTTGTTGTTTTTTTAATAAAAATTCCACATCTAGAACATTCTGAGACATTCTTCAAAATCTGTTTTTGTTTTACAGCAAATTTCTGCTTTATTTTCATGCATTAATTCATATATAATTTTAGATAAATCTTTCAGGGGTAATATATCCTTGTGGAACCATAATCTTTTCCTTTTCAAATAACACAGGACCCAGATCCTGTTTGGAAATGGAGCTTAAAGAAATTTATGATGCATCAAATTTCTCTGGTTACACACTGTAAGATCTAACGTATAACATGTATACATTAAATAGCAGTGTTGAGCATTTACGTGATCTTTTAACATCAGTTTACAATCTCTGTCAATGTGCCATAAATGAGATGAGAAATAATTCTCAAACACTGAATTCAATGATTAAATATCTAAACCCTTCAATGGATATGAAAAACACAATGTCTTGTACCAAGGAGGTATAGCATTCTTCTAACCAGTTATTGTGCATGTATTTGGCATTCCGCCAATACTGTATTTTTTGGCATTGTCTCATATAATCATTGTATTACTCTGTTTACCTCGTCCTTCTTGTTATGATATACGCAGATTAATTTTTATATTTTTAAATAATTTATATAAATTCATATCAATTTACTTCACAATCTGTAATATATTAGTCTTTAGTGTTGACCTTGGCAAGCATGTCCTTTTCACGTGATAAATCATGTTTTGTAAAAATGCTTTCGAAGACGCGACTCTTCCCGATTTTAAAAGAATTTACATAAAAATATACAAATTCATGAAGAAATAGAGTAGTAATTTTACTTACCACGGTTAACAACAAACACAAACTTTCCTGCTACAATATTTGTCCGTCTAACCCCGGCAATGTTGATGTTTAATTATTTCGGGCATGCGCATTCCTATGGTGAAATGTTCAAGACCGATTAGCTCACGTGTAGGAAATTTTTAACGGCCGCAGGAGTGGCCAGATAAATAACCGTATAAAATATTGCGTTTTTGTTAGACAGTGCTCATGGGGAAATGAGATGTTATTCTCAATTGTTAACTTATGAATTTTAACAAATAAATAAATAAATAACATTACAAACAATCAGTCAAAATTCACAAACGCAAAAAAATTAAAATCAACTCTAAACCTTTTTTGTGTTTAAATCTAATCGGCAATGCATCAAATTCTTTTGATATAATATATTTTGACACGAAATGACTTGATTTGGTTTACTTGGCCAAGAGAAATGCACGAAACATGCAGAACATCGTAACAAATAGTTAAAAATATACTGAATTTAGTGAGAGAACTCTTATATTAGCAGTTGGTGATGCAAATTATAGTGAGATATTTTTTGTGGAACGATTATTTTGGGGTTTACACGATTTTTTGCCATAGTGAAATAAGTGTAATAAATGATGAATGTCTTTAACATGTGTTTAAGTGTAATAAATACTATTTGTGAAAAAATGTCCCGGCAACAAGCCCTGAGGTTGAATATCCGGGGGGGGGGGGGCGTTGGTGTCCAAAAGTACCTGTGAAATTGTGTTAATTTGAACAAATAATCTTTAGCTCACCTCAACGAAGTTGGGGGGAGCTTATGTGATACCCTCGGCGTCGGCGTCCCATGTTAATAAGGTTAAGGTTTTTGGAGCATGCAGTTTTTCTTTTTAATTAAGTACTTCTACATGTTCTATGCCCTACATTGATCAGGTATTTTTACGTCGATTATATTTTGAGAATTCGGGTCAAAATGGTGTTGATTAATTTTTACGTTTCAAAATTTTGCGAATTACCACTGCTTTGTTTACATTTGTGACTGCGACTGGGAAAATGGGGCCAGATGAGTAAATTATCGAAATTTATTTTATTGTCTTTTCTAAATCACCATACTTTGAGTAACACAAATTCAAAATTTCAGGCGAATATCATTAAAAATGAAGAAGATACAGGCCCATGTATGCAGGCATCTTTCAGTCATATCGTAACGTCAGTGACGTTACCGTAACGTCGTAATTAGAAAATCAAACATATCTCAACATTTTCAGTCTACTGGTATACTAAGAACAATCTCTCCTTTTTCTTTAAATTCTTCTTAAAATTTTGCTTTGATATGATGAAAAAAAATGAATCATTAAATATACTGTTATTTTTACTTATTAGTTATTACATATGACTGTTGAAACAATTGAATTTGATTCAGAACACTGACTCATTATTCTTCCAGCACCAATGCCCAAAAAGAGAAAGGGAAGAAAAGATGCATAATGAAAAAAAAAATAATCCAACCATTTAATTTCAATAAAATAAACTCTAGAAACGTGAGACATACACAATAATTATTTAAAAGATAAATATGCAAATTGAAATTACATTCCAAAATAACAAGAAAATTATAATATGTAGTTGTGACAAAATACACCAGGAATCACAAAGAATATAGAATTACAGAGGTTCTTTGACAGCTGTACACATATTCAAAAAAAAAGATTAATAGCAGATCACTTTTTTTTTAAAACAGGCACTCTGAATATTGCAAACATGCAGATGGATAAAATGTACTGTTATGATTTTATAGATGCATGCATCTGTACTTTCTTAACATTATCAACAGTATTAAGTATAAAGATAAGAAATCAAATGGGGGGGGGGGAGTGTGAAAATGGTATCTTTTGAAATTTAAAAATCATTTTTGACAAAGTTTTGTAATATTTTTTGTTAAACTAAATATATCCAAAGTGCATTTGAAGAAAAATGTCACAGAGAAGATGCAAATATCAGTTAACAATTTTCATACTGTTACACATTTTTTAATAACTGATGAGATTGTAACACTAGTCATAGGACACAGCTTATGTGAACAGTTTGGTAAAAGTATCAATTCCAACAAATGTTGTAGAGCAATTAAAATTCGATGAACAGAAATGTACATCAAAGCAACACATTACAGGAAGTAATACAATAGGAACTACATGTATACATTTTACTTCTAATCTTTCTTACACACAATAACTCTCCCTTTCATCTAAGGAGAAGACTTTTCCTTTTCCCCAAGTGAGACGTAGAATGATCAGGTGAGTAAACTTTCACCTCTTTCTTTGGTACAAATGGTTTTGGACATGATGAGTCTTTAGCAGAGAGTGATAGACATTGTTCACGGATTTCCTCATAGAGGTACCATTGCCTTTTGGGCTCAAGACCAGATGCTGGGATTTCTTGAGGCAGAGGATCATTTACGTAGGGAAGGGTATTCTGATCTTTCAGGAGATTAACACACAAAGGCCCAATTACATCCTTACATTCAGCAATATTAATGCCAGGTGTCTCTGCACTTACTCACAAATGATGATAGCCTTGAATGTCTTTCAAGGGTTTGAAGGTACGACTTCAAGTCCCTAAACTGCACAGGTGTATGTGGATCTGACACTAGCTGAGGAATGTTATGGCCTCTGCGGGATGAATGACGGACTGTGTCTGCTATATCATTCATGGTTTCTGCTGTAGATGAACGCCATTTTACTTTCCGGACTCCAAAATTCCAGTCTGGATCAAATTTAGTGTGTCCTGCCACCATCATGGAATATTCCACAGTAGCATGGAGTCCTAATTGAAGGAAATACACTCTTTTAATTTAAATACAAATGCTACATTAAAGAAGAGTTTGCATTTCTTAGCTATCAAAACTTACATCATACATGCATGTAACACTTTGGGCATTGAACTTTCTGAATAACAAACAATGCTTTTACAAATCTTAATAATTAAAATCAAATATTTCTAATTTGATGTACACTTACCTACAAGAACTCTCCAGAGAGCAGACCATAAGAAAAAGTTGTTTTTGTTTTGCCCACTGCAGTTGTCAAAATGAATGTATGCTGTTTTTCTCCATATCCATGGTACTGAAAAAAGTGATGAACCATACTATTGACAGAATTAGTACCCTTCCCTGTGTTCTCAGCCTCATCAATCAAGTAGAACACTTGTTTTCCTGCCATTTAAGTAAAAACAAAAATTTTGATCAGAACTAAATAATTCAACCATTATTTAGCTTATATACATGCATTATGGCAAAAATAGAATGTGTAAAAATTTTGCTGCAACTATATTCAATAGAATTCGTAATATTAACTTAAATTATTTTATTCAGAATCAGTCCCATACATGTATTATTCTACATTTAAAAGCGTATCTTTACATACATGTATTTTAGATGTTTCATCAAATATTAGATTTCCAAATAAAGGGTAATTAATAAATTTCTTTTAAGAAATACATGTACACTTATTTCTGAATGAATTAAAGAACTAAGAAATATATCATGACTTATGAATTAAATACCTGAACCCTCGCAACATACACCAGACACATTGCATTTCTGGGGCGTCTTGAAAAATATTGGTCCCACTTGTTGGGCATGATGAGGAAAAGGCTCTTGTTGTGCATAGTCCCAGGAATAGTGCATTTCCATATCCATATCATTTGAGCATGGAGCACTTCCTTTAATGAAATATCATTCATGATCATTTGTGTGTATTGATAGTTACATGTATTCACAGTATATTTACAATTTCACGAACAAAGTTCATTACCGATAAATGCTAATTAACTGAAAGTATACCTTACTCTGTTACTTCTATCTATACACTAAAGAAAGAAAAAAAAATTGCAATAAAATTTTAACTAACCAGTTTGTTTACATTCCTCTGGTAAGGAAATTAATGCTTCCTTGCTGGGGGTACACTGGTGTCTGTAGTAGTCCCGTTGCTGTTTAGCTAGGGAAACATGCTGCGTGTAACTAGAAAGGATTTCTTCCTTTTCCTCATCATTCATATTAGAAACTGTCGACAGTTGATGAGAGAAATGCTGACAAAGCTGAAATAGGTCAGTACATGTTTCATGATTGTAAATGGACGCAACTCATGCCGGGTACCTGTAAAGTGCGAAACGAAACGAAACGAAACGAAATGTACCGAAACGAAACGAAATGTACCGAAACGAAACGAAACCTACCGAAACGAAACGAAATCAAGACGAAACGAAACGAAATCAAAACGAAACCCAACGAAACGAAACAAAACTATCACAAAATGTTTTTTTTTTTTTTTCAAATCAAGGTACATGTATATAATTATATATATGTAACTGCATGTGGACTTTTTTTTGCTTCAAATAAAATTTATATAGTTCAAGCACTTGTTAATATAAAATTTAAAAACCGATACATTAATTAGCTCCCTTCTCAGTCTAATGATGTATTTACATGTTTGCCAGCTGCAAATATGCATGAGCGTACTATGCATGTATAATTTCAATATGTGCAGTATTTTCTAATTTTTATATCTTACTCTTATTTTCAGTCCTTATTACAACATATCTATCAAAATTGATGTGTTACATGTTAAGGCTCGTTTATGTACGGGTCGAAATAAAGTCACTGTACTTTTGCATTGCGAATGTCTTAAAACATAGGATAAACCAGACACTTAGAGTATTTAGTATTCTATTCCGAGGTGTCTGGTTTTATCATTCAATTATACATATACATAACTCCAACCGAAATCTTGTGTATCCTTTCTACGTACATACGGTCCTATTCTATCGAGGTAATTTTCGTGGAAGAAATGAGTGGTTTGCAGTAAAGAGGCTCGACCAGAGACATCTAAAACGATTTAACTGACAAGAAAAAATTCTCTCGAAGCAAACGATGTCTTTTTTAAGTAGGTAAATTATTCAGTAAGATATTAACAAAATATGACATAGGCGTCGGAAGCGGGGTTAGGGTGGGGGTTAGCCCTCCACTTTTTTGCGAAGATATATATTATATAGGCATTGAAAATTGGGGTTTACCTTTTTTGTTGGTTAAGCCCCCCCCCCCACTTTTCAATTTCCTTCCGACGCCTATGTATGAGCTTGAAGCGAAACAACTGCCAGTGGTGCTTGAACTATATAAATTTCATATGAAGTAAAAATAGACCATATGTTTTGTTTCGTTTCGACAGGTTTCGTTTTGATTTCGTTTCGTATCGTCTTGATTTCGTTTCGTTTCGGTAGGTTTCGTTTCGTTTCGGTATATTTCGTTTCGTTTCGGCACATTTCGTTTCGTTTCAGTTCGTTTCGTTTCTATTTCGTTTCGCACTTTACAGGTACCCACTCATGCCAAGTTCCTTGAAATATCCTTAGGTGTATTTTTCTGAAGTTCATTTCTTCATCTAAAATCTCATAATTAGCATGAATGTCAGCAGTTGTCGTATCGGATGGAAGTAGAAGCACTTTCTCAGATTTGTAATTTGGTAGTTGGCCTGGTAGAGGTAGGGCATGGTCACGAGCATACTTAGTACTTAATGTTTTAATTCTGTCCCTGTCTGTCACTGATAAGCCTTACCACTGTTTCATGTGTTCTGGGTAAAAAAAAAACCATCTGTATCCAGAGATTTGGCAACTTTATGGAGTTTTTTCCCCTTTTCAACAGCATGTACAAAACAAAATTGAACAACACACTCTGCATCCATTGAAATAGTACTCTTGAAATGGTCTTTTTCGTTCTTTTTCTGTGTTTCTTTGACTGTGTGACAGAACCAGATCGCCTATGTGCAAGCATTTCAACTTTAATTATAGTGTCAAGTTCCTCCTAAGTACACTGTAAAAATGATCATGAAATACACATGCTGCATCAAAGTCAATTTTCGTGCTACATGGCTACATCATCGTCTCAATACATGGCATTCCAAAAAAAAAAACTTACACCCTCTTGTCTTGTGTCTTTCTAAAATTTGGAACTTCGTGTCGGTGACATTAACTTCATTCTGTATATGTAGGCCTACATTTCCATCATTGTTGTCATTGTCGCTTTCAGAATCAGAATCATAGTTTAAATCACCAAAATCACTCGTATCTGTCTGGCTGTCACTTGACAGATCACAAAACTGTCTGTCGCGCACGATAAATTTTGGAACAACAAGTTTAGAAAAATATAATTCATCCACACGCTCTATATCTTCTAAAAATTCATCATCTTGATAAATAACAATTTCTGATGGTAAACTTATCGATGTTGCTGTGGAAGTTTGGCTCATGTTTAGTGCAACTCCCTACATAACATTTCCAGTTTACATGTGACTTTCACTTTCAATCTGTTCTCAACCGGAAATGTAAAAACGTTTGCTGTTATCAATCGGCAATCCTCGGCTGACTCCGCTAAGCTCCATTCAAATGTGTTATGTGCGAGGTACGAGTCATCCGAGGAACTCCGAGTGTGCTGTTATGGACAGAGTTATTGCTCTTTAAAACCCGCGGTAAATTCAAAATAAAAAAAATATACCGTAATAAAATATATTGCAAAACATTACCACAATCTATTTTAATTTCATAATTAACATTTTAAAAATACGAGACAGACATATACCTTTTCAGAAACACGTGTACTGCATTTTTTTTTCTCGCGTTATTTTTTTTTCCGATTGTGACGCAATCGTTGAACTATCGCCGATTTCTCATTATGACGTGCGCCGCATCTGGCCCCTTTTTCCCAGTCGCAGTCACATTTTCTTATTGGTAATTTATTTTTAAGAAAAATGTTTTTGCAAATTTGCTAAAAATTATCTACAGCAAAAATTTCCAGATTTACGTATGCAAGATGCTTCTGTCTGCTGTGTTCTATATATTGTACTTGGTCAGTCAAGGTTTCAGATGCTGTAATTTCAGCTAAGGAATGACCTGTTTTTGGAGCAGGTTAACATTTTTGGTGCCGATGTTGGTAGAGGTCTCATTTCCAAGTATAACTATAAGCCCTATGTTGACCAAACTTGCATGGATGACACACTACCGTATCAGGCTTGCATCTAGATTTTAATGGATATAAATAACACTCACTTAAAATACCGGTTTGTTTGAACAAATAATTTTAAAATTTAGAATTAAAAAAAATCTCAAAAAGACCATATACAAATCATGACAAGGCCAGCTAGTTTTAATTGTAACGGGGACCGTTACAGATGTTACCCAGACGCTCCCCAAATCCCTTTTTGTGCCTTATTCCTGTAAGACTTTTTTTATTTGCTCAGTATCAAAGGAAATCATTTAAGAATAAAAAAGTAACAATGATGTCAACTAAATCTCATATCTAACTTTTGCAAGCGCGCGCACGTTCATACATATGCTAAATGATTACGGCATGTTGGCTAAACGATTAACATATTTTTATATAACGAGAATAAAAAAAAAATTAAACAAATATAAATGTTTACAAGCATTTTTTCAAATATAATATTCATTTTGCGCATGCGCATTCGTTTTGAAGTTGACTCGTCGCTTTATTTGAATCTTTTTCTTTTGTAGAATTATATGGATTTTAAAGAAGTCAAACTAAAGACTGCTTTGTATACTTTATACACTTCGCTAAAGTCTGTTGCACTCGCGCATTTTCATCCTATATAAAGTGTTTTTGAGTTTTATTTATAAATAATTTATGTTCGTTTGAACTGGTGAATTTAGAACATAAAACAGATAAGTAACAAATCGCATGAAGTATGTAAGCTAACACACTATCCATGGTTAGGCTATATTTGTTAACAACTTCATTCTATATAGTGATCACTGAATTCTTATCATCATTAAATTCCTATTATAAATGTGAGATCCCTATTACTTCAATTTAGCTGTCATTAGCCTGCATTGGTTTAAAAGTTGATAATACTCAGTCATAGGTGCTTGGTTTCAGGATGGGGTATTTTGTGCAAATAAAAACTTTCACCTTGGGCATTATTTTTGAACATTTAGTACGAAGGCCTTCATTGTTTTCCTTGTGACAAGTCTTTCCTTTATAAATTCAAAGTTTTGACATTTTCATCCTGGAGTTAGACCTATACTTTTGGAAAAATTTAACCTTGACCATAATACTGAACAGTTGGTGCTAAGGCTTTTTAATACTTCATATTGACAGGACCATCCCTTGGGTACATTTATATTGACCCGTTGACCCTGCTGTTTGACCCACATTTTAAAACTATAACCTTGGTCATAACTTCTGAATGGTTAATGTTTTGGCCTTTGTATTTCACAGGTTTATTCACCGAGACAAGTCCTTTGTTTGAGTAACAACATTTTTTATCTCTTGACCATAGAGATTGAGTTGCATTTGAGAAACTTTAACCTTCACAGCTGTCATACAGGGTCATGTTTCACAAACTCTGTTTTACTCTGATAATTTGAACCTCTACCACAGTTTTTTTTTCATCATTTAGGAATGTTACCTCTATCCCACTTCACTAAGAAGGTATACATAACAATCCATATGTCATATGTTATTAATGTATTTTTTTTTCAAATGCATGAGCATAACTGCTTGGAGTAGAACAGAGTGCAGTGTGCATCATTCACACTTCAAACATACCATATTTTTATTCACTGCACAACTATAGTTTTCCCTTTTTCCCATAAAAATCTCTTATTCTACTGAGTATGAAATGTGATGAAAGCTAGAAAACAGTCATACATGTACAGTGTACCAGTACCTTCAAAACAAGAAAACTGAGACAAATTTATATAAAACTGTATCACTTTATTTTGTATGCCATATATTTTGATTTTGAACATTGGATCCTTGTATCATTATGTCATTCTGGAAATGGAAATGATTTTCTATGAACTGCATAAAAATATGAAGTCTTATTACACATATTATTTGTTAATGGTTCCTGTAGTATAAGGATGGACTTCATTTCAGAATCTATGTCAACATATTCAAGCACTTATGTAACCACAAACAGTTACCATGGATACTAACTAACAAAGCAAGTTTACAACTGGAGGAGAAGAATCACTGAGACAGAGCTGTAAAATGTTCATAGCCATGGAATTCAGCACAATTAGTCGTATAATAATATATATATCTTGTTACACCCTGTGTACAAATTTGTTAAAGCATACATATATACATTATATTTAACAATACAATTTAATAAATAACAAGTTTAGGCAAGCTATACACTTAAAACAGGCAAATTCAGGAATGGGTTCTGAACAATGAAAAACTTGGAAAAAGCATTGTTATAATTAGATTTAGCCATATCCCCCCACAATATGTCTTATATACTATATAAAGAATTGATATGAAGGACTGTACAATGTATGCGAGACTGAACAAATATCTGATATTGTAAGTATACATGTTTATATATATAAAGATCCTTTAATGTGCACTCTTACAATAAATTCATATACTTGCTTTTAGAAATGAATATTTACAACAGTTCATCATTTTTTTAAGCATACTGCTACGTAAAACAAATAAAATACAGAAATTATATGTATGTATATGCTTTCTCTAAATTGTTTCTCTATCAAATCACATGAAATTATGTCATAATTACCCCCACATTGGATTATATAGCAGTACCATAACTTCTAATTAAACACATGACATTAAAGGAAACCATGGTTTTTGTAAAGAATTTTTAAAAACTTTTTTGAAAAAAGCCTATTTTCATGAATAAAAGAAAATTTATCACAGGTTAAATTTGGGACACGAGAATTCATTCTGCTGTCCTTATTGCATATATGTCTTTGTAAAGCATTAGGATTTGTCATCACTTCTTGGCACTTTTCTGTTTGTTCATGCTAGTTAACATCATACTGATGTATGATGTCAGAAGATCATCCATCTTGTACCCCTGAAAAATAGTGATAAGCACATACAGCATATTTGTAAATCAAGGCAGCATCAACATCGACCCTGATGCAAATTATGTCACTTCCATTTTGCACATGGCACAACCCACAAACAAACGCATACATGACTATATCCCCTTAAACTGTGTTTCAAGGGGAGAACTAAAGTGGAGTATGTTGTCTAACATATGCAAGAAGTGTAGATATGTTTTCTCCACAGCAAAGACCTGTAGTGCAGACACAATGATCTGCCTAAGAGCAACATTACATAAATAAATCACTACTGACTATTCTGAAGATTCACTATAGCCATATTTGGTTCCTTTGCAGTTAAACTACAACCAAGTTTAGTTGCAGTCTGTTTTTACTACACCCATGTTTAAGTACTCTGGACTTTCATTATAACCATGTTTTAGCTAACATAGGTCAAAGTATTGCTTACCAGAGAAGTTTCACACAGTAGTTTACTTCCGCGTACAAGGTTACCAATCGTCATGTGGAAATACGTGTTACCACTGCTCCAGTTGGAGATCTTTGTGAATGGGTGTGTCGCAAGTATGTCCTAAACAGAAAGAAGTGCACATAAAAACCTGAGGCTTAAAAACTTTTCCTCTCTGATTTATAGTAAAATTAACCAAGATCAAATTGCTAGAAGCTAGTAATTTCACTAGAGTTAGGTGAATTAATAATTAGATTACCTTTGTACTTGGGTGTATCAAGTTAACACCATGTTTGTTGATTGCTATCAGCAGGATTTCTGGGTAATTAGGCTCCGTTGTCTGCTTGACCTCAAAGAAAGCTGATCCAAAGGTCGGCCATTTATAGATGACCCTCAGGAATTCGACCTTGGCCTCCTCTGCTGACATGCCACCAATTTTATTGATGTATGCAATGATGTGCTGGAATGGACAACAAAAATCCCTTATAAAAGTAGTCCACTTTACAATTTACTGATGAAGCAACACTCTGTATACAGTAACACTCACTCTCTTCCAGTCGTCAGGGGAATAAGCCTTTATCAGGTCACTTGGTACAAGCTCACGCAGCATTCGACTGAAAGCAAATCCAATAGTATAATTCCCTCATCTATTACATTCAAAATAAATTAAAAGTCAGACATCTTGCAAATTAACAGTCAAATACTGTAAATCACTTTTTATTAGCGAGAACTTTTTCGCGTTAATACGCGAGAAGGTATGCTCGCGGATATTTCATTAGAATTCCTTAGTATTACATAGAGAAATGACCACAATTCATGGAAATTTTGTCTCGGTAATAAAGGGTCAATGACTATCTCGCGAAAATAAGGTGTCGCAAAAATTAAGTGATCTACAGTATTGTATAATTTTGAAAAGTTTGTTATTGAACATAATATTTAATTTAGCAGTCTTTAATAAATCCATAGACAGAAGTAACTACAGTTTGCATAAATACCTATTTAGATAATCTATAGAACAAATAAAAGATCCAGAGCTACCACTTACGGGATGTTTGCAAGGTTGGCTTTGTTTTCACCAAACTTGACGCGATAGATAAGAGCAGCCAGCTGGGCAGCCTCCTCCTTACTACATTTGTGGTAACCTCGTAGTAGTTTGGGTAACTCCTAAATCACATATTGAAATATTTGTAAAATACTTTTCCTACAGGTGAAAAAGAGCATAAAGCTTCCTGAATTAATTAAACCTTGAATTATAATCAAGGTCACTTTAACTGAACATGATTCCATGCACTTCTAGAGATGTTGTCAATTTGTAAAATTTTCTGACCTAGAACCTCTCCAATACAAGAAACATTATAACAGTGGATTAGAGATACTGAATCTAAGAGCTGGCCCTACCTGATGATAATGGAATATCTGATCAGCATGGGGGTCTTTTCCAGGCACTGTGTTTGTCCATAATTTCTTCATGAAAAAGACCTGATAGGTGAAGGATGGAACACTCCCTGCAATTTTAACCAAATTATTACTCCAAAATGACAAAAAGATAACATAGGCAAATTAGAAACTTAACAACATTGTATAGTGCAATTTTATAGTAGTGGAGATTTTCAGTAACTACAGAAAGAAAAATATACACAATGTTATGTAAAACCAATATGAAAGACAAATAAGAATAAATAAATTATTATAACAGCAAGAAGATCCAGATCAGGTGAGACTGAGAGGTCGGCGTCATCAGATTATCAGCAGTTACCGGTACATTCTTAGGAGCTGCTGATGTGGGCCTGTCAACTCAATGTGATCTGGCTCTTCAGATCAAGTTACTATTATAATGATAAATTTTATCATATACCCCTCCATTATAAACAGATTTTGCAGTCAATAAAAACTTTTTGTAACAAAGAATACTTAAAAGAATTTTTTTTCATATACAAAAAAATGTGTATTTTATGTGCAATGTCATTGAAAATAGAATAATATTATATGTTTGAATAGTACCCACCATCTCGTGTAGGCCTGGCCTTTCTGATCCAGTCTGTGAGATGTCTGACAAAGTCGAAGAAGAAATCCCCCTCTGGAACACTAATCACTGAGAAAGAAAATTAAATCCAGAGATGATAAAATATTTATATCTATATTATAAGACCCAATGCTACATTTCAAAATTAAATATTCCTTCATTGAAATTTTAAGGAATTGACAGAATAAAAGCCCTTGTTCTCACCTTTGTCAGCAATCTTTACAAAAAGACTGAATCCCTCTGAGGACTTTAACAGCAGTTTACTGGCAATGTTAAGACAGAAATCCTTGGCCCTCGTGCTGGACTCCACTTCAAATGCCTACAAAATGAAAACACAGTCAGTCAAAACTATGTCACGTCTTCTCCTTCATGTCTAAGAACCCCAATCAATTAAAGAACCAACTTTAAATATTTAAGGAAATATCCATTCATTTGAAAATGTACACATAGCTTTAATCTTTCCAATATTTTTCAAGTTAACAATGTAGAAAAGTGTGCAGCAGCAAATTGATTGGTCAGCCCACCAGAATTAAGCCAATCAGACTTAAGCATCTGTGATGCTAACTAACCTTATATACCGATTGTCAAATTAAGATTCCTCTAACAACTTGACAAATATCTTATATACTAAATGTGTGATATAGTTAAGTCTTAGAACCAGTTTACACTGTTTAGTCCCTGTGCTTTATTTATACCTCGTCAGTGTCGTCGGGGAAGTAGACTTTGTGGAGGATCTGGGTCGTCTTGTGTTGGATGGCCTCCACCTCCACCTGGTGTGGGGGGTACTTCCTCGTCCCATTTCTGAAACCAAACACAAATATCTAGTTGATCTAACTATATCAAGATACTTCTGAAATTTAATAGAATGAGTTTCTTCAGAGACACAAGCTTGAATAAAAAATAAAACAATATCAAATCTTACAGTACAGAACGAAAAATTATGTACCAATGTTGACCTACTCACTTACTGTGCAGAAAGAATGATATACTTCATGGATCTATTTACTTGCTGTACATAACTTTTTTTTTGGTACAAACTGACAAATATTCTGAAGGGCACTGTCTCTGCCCAGACTGAAGCTCTATGTTTACCTACCTGAGAGTCTTTTGCATTCTGTTGACACAGTCCGTGGCTATCTGGTTCCTCTTGGATCGTAAGAACTGCATCACTTCTTTAAGGAGGTTGGTGCTGGGAGTGAAGCACCCTGTAGCTAGCCACATCAACTCCCAGCCTCTTCTCTCACTTGTGCTGCAACAGCCATCATTAAACATTCACAACACAAGGTTTATATTAACTCTTAATTCAAGTGAAATAACATTATTTTCAAAATAAAAATGAAAGAACAGTCAAAATATAAGTGGAGCAGTGAGAAATACTAAGAAAAAAGCGCCAGACACTCACTCATTCCTGTTGTCAGTTAGCTGTTTGATAATCTGGCAGTAAATCTCGTCTCTAAGAATCTCCTGGAAAAGACAATCAACAACATATAAATCCATGAGAGAAACTGGAAGGAAACTTTTTCTTTTATTGCACAATAGACCCCGCTCCCCTTGATGTTAATGAGAAACAAAAAATCTTACACTTCTGAGTGGTGGTTCAAATATTTGATCTGTGAGTTCGTTGGCTGTTCTTCCTCTCCGAGATGGGTGATCCCCCATATATTTCAGAATAGGTAGCAAATGTTAAGGAACAAAATGTACAGAGGTCTCTTGGCGTTATATGTTTAGAAATGAAGATTTTCTGTTTAAATTCTAAATTGTAGACAACCCTGAGGGTGAGAAAACTTTAATAGATGCCAAAAAAAAAATACTGATTAATAAATTAGTCTGAATGGTTCTGTTAAAAGGATATCCAAAAATGCCATGCATGCTTCTGAACTCATTTCTTCACGCCCAAGAAGTTTTTTCAGCAATGGCTGTTTCAGTGGTTCTTTGGAATACCTCCACAGTTCATCAGGTCTTTTTCGCCTTGCTGTGGACAAGGTCTTACTTAACGTACGTTTTGGAGGAGGTCTGAAAGTCCAAACTTACTAGTTCTTATCCTTGTTCTGCTGTTGCAAGAAACTGACATAGAGGGTAATGACATCACACTAAACATTCACGTTATGAGATTAATAGAATCATTTATTACTACGAGTGTGGGATAGTGAAATTCCACTGAGGGGACAAGATTCACAGTCTAGGACGAGGCTTTGCCGAGTCCTAGACCGTAAATCTTGGCCCCGAGGTGGAATTTCACTATTCCCACACGAGTATGTGATGAATGATTATTTTTCTCGCATTATTTTATCCAAAATAACGGCCTGTCAATGACATCGCCATAGGGCTAAAAATATATTCTTTTAATTTTCCATCTAATTAAAAATCTAAATACACCATCGGAGAGAGTGTATCTTAATTAATATGGTTTACACGTAGTGTAAACTAATAAAATGAATTTCAGTCCATGTTAATTAATTAAAGAGTGTTAAGAAAGTTCATTCCACATTTTTCTTTTATTTTCGAAAAGAAATACGATGATAAGATAGTTACAATTTATGATATTTCATGTTTACGTAGTCCATTCTTGCTACTAATAAGGTTTTAACTGCCTTTTGTTGAATCAACAAGTGGAGGGTAGGTATTACAACAGATGATGTCTGTGCAGAACAAATAGGGATTACGCATATTTGTAACATGTATTAAACACACAGGTCAACACATCCTTTTAAATATTATGCAAAACTTATATAGTCGGTGAAAAATTTCAAAATTACAAACCTATTCTTTTGAAAAGTAATCAATCGTTCTTATAACTACGCTCATCAGCTTGCCTGATGCAAGATAAGTTATGGAGAACAAAATTAACTTATCCTTAATTTTCACCCAAAATGACCAGCATTTCTATCATTCGGGAGCTTTAAAGATGTTATATACATTTTATATTTTCATATGGAAGAAAAAGCCTATGCTAGAAATGAATTGCTATAAATTTATAGCACATTGTTATTATTTTGTCATACAAAAAAAATTTATCTCTTTAATTAAGCACTACTTTTAAATTTTTGAAAATATTTTATCATGGAACGAACTTTCTTAACACCCCTTAGATAGATTAAAACTGGGAATAAAAAACTTATCTATCCGATAGCGTAAACATTCATTCTAGAAGAAATCTTCCGCGATCTAAATATAGTGCCATTTAAAAAGTGAAAATACAATATTTTGAATGAAAATAAGTTTATTTTAATAAGTTAAATGACAACATTTTAATAATATGTGATATTTTTTAACATTATTACAATTTCTTTATATCATGACGGAATGTTTACTTTATCGTTCGCGGCGTAGTAATACACAGTGTACGACAGAAAAATCTCACACTGCTGTCTCACACCGGACAAGTCAATCTAACACTGGTAATTATGCGAGAATAAACTGTGTCTTGATACTAATGCCCTGTGCACATGATGACTTTAACTCGCAGTAAATAAATGCGAAGTAAACTAATGCAAATCAAACTAATGCAAATTAAACTGCGTTCACACAACAGCTAATGTGAAGTAAACTAATGTAAATTAAATTTTACTTCTACAGTCAGGTGTCAGTAAGGCTATTATGACGTCATTTGCAAATCACGTCACCTTATGCAGAAACAGATGCATCTGACATAATGTCACAGAGTCTGTAAACACATTTTAGTGATTAACACAATTTTACTTAGTTTTTCACTCAAAAATAGCACAAGTACTTGAAGGTGACCGCCGACATGTGGTATTTGACTTAATTTTGCCATTACGCATGCCTCAAAATTTAATTCGAATTAGCTTCGCTTAGCGTTCACACGGAGCTTATGCGAAGTAATTTAATGTGCAGAAAACTAATTCGAATTAAACAAATTCGCATAAAATTCTCCGTGTGAATGCTAAGCAAAGCTAATTTGCAGTAACTTTACATTTAATTCAAATTAAACTCTCTGTGTGAACAGGGCATAAGGTTCTTCAAACTCTAAATCCTCTGCTTGAATTACGTAACTGAATAATTAAATTGTATTTGAATTAGATACCTGAATAATTAACTGTGTGCTTTAATTAATTACCTGGATAATCAACTGTGCTTTAATCAATTACCTGAAGAATTAATTGTGTACTTTAATTATCTGAACAATTAATTGTATACTTTCATTAACTACCTGAACAGTTAACTGTGTGTTTGAGTTAACTACCTGAACAGTTAACTGTGTGTTTGAGTTACCTGAAGTGGTCCAGTGCGTACTCCTCCAGGGTGTAGGTTTTCTCAGCCGTCATGTCCTCGGGGACCTCCTGATGGGTGGGGGCCAGGGTCTGGTCACCCGACTGGACAAACAGGTTCTACAGAACAACACAAAAATCAACTGAGCAAACAGGTTCTACAGATCAACACAAAAATCAACTGCACAAGCAGGTTCTACAGAACAACACAAAAATCAACTGCACAAACAGGTTCTACAGAACAACACAAAAATCAATGTTGTCTTTGACTGAGGTCCAGTTTCTAAGTAATGTTTGAAATGTCTCCCTTCATTTCTTGTGAAATTTATATTTTTACTTGAAATAAATCCTTAAAGCATGCACCATATAACAATAAAATCAGTTTACTTTCCTCTTCCAAATTTAAATTTAGTGAACTACAAATAATTGTGAAATTTAATACTGTATTAAATCAAATTATTTGCAGTTGACTACATTTTTATACTACATGTATTTGTCTATATCCCTTAGATTCATGTATATGTCCCAATGGCTCCTGTGACTTACCAGTATTTCTTGTGGTGGTCGTGTAATGGTAGGAAGAACATAGACACATTCTGCTGGAAAGTCACCCTTCTTCTTGGTACGTACGCACTCGCCAATACACCAGCCTGAGTTCATCACAGTCTCACCATTCTGTTGATCCAGAACAATGAGATCTCCCTTACTGAAGGAGAGGAAAGAGGAACCTTCTCCTACAAAAAAAAAAAGTAGCTCAAAATGACTTCACCGAAGACTACAAATCAGCTCAGAATGATTTCACTGAAGGATAGGAAAGAGGAAAACTCTCCTACAAAACAAATCCGCTCAGAATGAAATCAAGTTCAGAGACGATTTCAATGAGAATCACTGATTATATCTTACCTGGGGAGGAGTAATCTTGTAAAGCTATCACATATTTGGAGCGTTTTTTCAGACCCTCCAGGAACGTCACCACTAGGTCCCTGATGTCCTCAGCGTTAGGGGAGGTAAACGTGTACTCATCTCCCTTAACTGTGGCAAGAGTAAAGCTTTGGCCATGCATTTTTCCAGTTCTGAAAGTTGACAAATTATAAGTTAGGTAACATCAAATCAACTTTTCATTCACTTTGCTAAACATTTCTGAACTGACTTAAAAGGTAAAACATCTAGTGAATCAACAAAAATTAATAAATTATCTCATAAAATGGATAAAAAAGATCAAATTTATAAACATTCTAATGATTTTCAAATAAGATCAGTTTCCATTATCCCACACTTGATGGGAACCAAGATTAAACTTTGAGACATCAAGGTATTGATGATTAATACATAAATAAAAGGTGGTTGGGCCAGCAAAATGACTTTGTTGACACATCCCTGGTGTAGGAGATATTGCAGTTCAATCAATTTTATACGCTTGGTAAAGTAACAAAATATTAATACTATGAACAGTTTCTAATGGAAGGCAGGCAAATAAAAAATATGCTGATGATACAAGATAATCAACCATCCATTCTCAAGTCATCATTGGCAAATTCAATCATTTCAATGGTGTGCACATACAATCTGTCCTTCATATGTCAAATGCAGAATTTTTCCATTTACCTTATTAAGTCAGGGCGAGGAACTTGTGGTGGTTGTGCCCAGTAGACAGTTCCACAACAGCCCCTGATCCTACTCTGTAAGAACAAGTCCTATAAAACCCTGCTGGTTTACTTACCTACTACTGGATACTGCTGTGATTTCTGGGAAGGATAACTCCAGGAGAACCTGTTCCTGGTCGTCCACTACATACACACCAGTCCAATTCACAGCAATAATCACATCATTCTTTGGCAAACTAGGTCCAGCAAATTTGTATGCTTCATAAAAACGAGAAAACAGTAGCGGCCACTTGTATTTGGCATAACTAACAATATCCTCTTTCACTTTTTGGGCTCTGACTTTTTCATTAGTAAAGTACGGTATCTTCATTTTGTTTAATATTGTTGAGAGCCAGAAGTCCATGGCGTTTGGTCGATTTAAAGCATGGTCTGGAATGTACGAAGGCAGCAATGACTGCAAACGCTCAGGGGAGGGGCTAGTGCCATACTCAATATAATACTGCTGGGCAGCAATCATACCCAAGTCATCCTCCTATGCAAAAAATTCAAAGAAAACGATTCTTAATGGAAAGACATCTGACCTGTTGAGTGCATGTCATTTTAAAAGTTGGTGCTAAAAAATATTGCAAAAAAAAAAAAATCATAGAAGGGCAAAAAAAAACAAACAAAACAAGATTGGATTTGCCTGTTATTCTTTAGCGTACCTTATCACATCTATATTCACCAAACTTGATGCCCCGTACAACCTGCTGGTAAATGAGATTGGTAGCAGTGGGGTCCTCTTGAGGATCATGCCAAGGGGCAAAAATTTCTTTCCTAAAGAAAAGCCTCCAGGGGGCATTCCTCTCTTGGGCCCCCTGTTCTTTGGCATACTGCTCACACTGTGAGATTGCATCCATTACGTGGTCCCCTCCACTGCCTAGGGACGACACCTGAAAGAGACCAGCCATTGTCCCTGTTACTCAGACACAGATCAGAATCAAGGTCACAATTTATATTAATTTTCAAATTCAACTAACCTTGTCAAATAATGCGATGTACAGAGAAAATCCAAACTGATCACGTAGGCCGATTTTTTCTGACAACTGTTGACAGAGCTCCCTGGCTGTTGTGGCAGAATCAGCCAGCAGTGTCTTTGTGTTTCCATCCATGAAAGTGATGGGAAGCATGAGAGGTTTCTTAGATTTGGTGGCCTGTAATTCCAGCCAGCTAGGGGGTTGATTTCGGGTTCCATTAGCGAATGTCCTCCGTAATCTTTCCTCGCAGTATGGAGCGTAGCCTGGGGGTCCTTCATGGATGAAGTTCCTCAGGTATTTTATGAACTGCATGATTAAAATATTGTATAAATATTTGTCCTTGTCTGTCTGACATCTTCCTTTCATTTACAAAATGAACCTGAATGTGAGTTGCATATGGTAATGTTAAACTAACATATAGATCATATATGAACACCTAAAAGAATTTTGTATCTCGAACAAAAATTTATGTGCTATGATCTGAAGCAAAAACTGACAGATCATTTCTATAGACTGAAGATTATGATTTTTTTTTTATCTACAAGTAAATTCAAACTCAAAGCAGAATGACCCCGACCTTGTCCGTGGGAGCAAAACATCCGACACAGAGAGACAGAAGGATCCAGCCGCGAGCGTGACTGCTCTTAGTGGGGTTCTGGGTCAGCTGTTTACAGATCTGGCAGTAGATCTCATCTCTGTTAAAAAGGAGTTAACACAGGTCAGTTAATAAACTGTATCACACACTGAGTAACAGAGAAAATCTAACTTCATCTAAAGCTGTCTTGTTCACATGCAACTTTTCTCTGTAGCCACTTATTTATAATTGGTGTTTATCATGTCATACAAGTACATCTGAATAACACATATAACAACACAAAACAAACAAACACAAGTAAATATAGACAGATAGTTTCCTCACCGTAGGTCGGGTCTGAGGATGCCGTGTCCTATGATGAAGTGAAGCTTCTCCAGGTTTGAGGAGGGGCGGTCCTCGAGGAGGGCGTTACTTCCTGTGGAGGAGAAGCTGCTGTCCAGCTCCTGCTGTAGTTTGCGGGTCACCTCCTCTGTCAGTTTGGACTTCTTCTTCAGGGTGAGGGACACCAGCTTCTTCCTCACGCTTCTCTTACCAGAGCCACGAATCCCAGGAATCGGCTCTTTTTCCTACAATAATCAGTTAATTCTTTGAAGACTTTTTTCACATAAATAAAATTTCACTGAAATATACAGTGTATAAAAAAGAAAATGGAATAAAGATTATCAAAGATTTACAGTGAATGTCTACTTACAAGAAAATAAATACTTTTAATAATAGTTCTCAAGATTGAACATGTTGCACAATACAAATATGATTGAGGAACATGAAATGTAATTTTCTGAGGATTTACTTTTTTGCACTGGAATTGAAACATGTCAAAAGCTACAGCAAAACAAAGAAAGCTGTTTGAACTTTAATCTCAGTGAGGCATCTATCAAAATGATGATCTAAAGACCATTTTAAAACCCGTGAACCTTACAATATCGATTCCCATTCTCATGGCTTCCTCCAGATCTTTTTTGTTAAATTTTCGTCCCAGTGTGGAATAGATCTTCGTCATTACTGGTGTTGTATCCTGAAAAAGCCAAGCACAAACTGAAGGCTTTTTAATTCTAGTGAAACTATCAATATAAAAATTTGCTTGTAATTGACATCAGTAATCAGAAGAACCCAGCAAAGGACAGCAGATCCTTATAATCATAACTATTTATACTTATTCCTTGCCATATTGTGTATTCAATTTTAAGAAGCCACAATATTTCATAAATACTGAATTTCACATAAATTCTGCTAAAATTTTCACAAACACCCTTCATAATTAAAAAATAAAAACAACTTGTTAGATTTTTTTGAGGATCAGCTGATTCCAGTACAATAGAATTACCCTTGTTTCAGCTGTAGCTGTGTGGTATTTGGGTTCTGGTAAATCTCCCATAAATCTTAGAATTGTGATCCAGACAGCCAAGGCAGCCTGAAATAAGGTACACAAGAAGATATGAGAAGTCAGATCTCTGTGTCTATCTCTAATTTGTACTATGACAATAAAAAGTGTTTTAGATCAACACTGAAATTAGAAAGTTATCATTAATACATACAAATTTTATTTCCCTGTAAAAATGAATGACAACACATGACAGATAATATTGATAATTAGTATAAATCCTATATCTAACCAGTTTGTCACCATCACTGGCCAGGGGAAGCAATGGTTCTCGAAGGACTCTGCGAATGTAAGTGTGTGAGGCGTTATTCTTGAAATACATGGCTGCGAACTTGGAGAACTTGTACTCTGATAAATCCTCCTCATCGTCTGGGAGAGGAATGGCCATCTCATCTAAATCAAGACCGTTCTCCGATATCATCTTCCTTCGTTTCTCCTCCAGGTCCTAAAATTACAACCATAGGTTAATACAGATAAACAGGACGGACTGCAACTTCATTATTTCAAACTCATGGACATGTTGGAGTTATATGACAGTCTTATTATTTTCAAAACATGACATTTAACAGCAAATATGAGATATTTCACAGGAAAAAGACAAACTACATATGAACTTACCATGAAGGGATAAGGTGCATCTCCCTGTTGTTCATTCCCTTCATCATCAAATATATTAAAAATTTCTTCCACCTGAAACCAATCCAATACAAATTCTAATTTCATTGTGCAACATTTCCAGGACTCTTTCATTCAGTGTTGTTTAAATCTATCTTAAGTAAAAATACATTAAAAAAAAACTAGAACTGTCCAAACGGGACAAAATACCCCCCGCTGGGTTTTTCAGAAGTAAGTTTTTCCATAATAAAAATATGTATCAAACACCAAATATGAAATTTTTATTCCAGTGACCTTGAACTTCCCCAGATAATCTTGGGTCAAGGTCATGACACACCCTTGGGTCATGGGCAATCTTTCAGTGAAATGAGAACCTACCAAGTTTATCCATAAGAAAGATATGGACCGGACACGAATTATGATAAGTGACCTTGAACTACCCCAAATGACCTTGGGTCAAGGTCATGACACACCCTTGGGTCAAGGTCATGACACACCCTTGGGTCATGGGCAATCTTTCAGTGAAATGAGAACCTACCAAGTTTATCCATAAGAAAGATATGGGCAAACACGAATTTCCAGTGACCTTGAACTACCTCAAATGACCTTGGGTCAAGGTCATGACACACCCTTGGGTCATGGGCAATCTTTGTGTGAAATGAGAATCTACCAAGTTTATCCATAAGAAAGATATGTACTGGACACAAATTATGAAATTTTCTTCCAGTGACCTTGAACCTTCCCAAATGACCTTGGGTCAAGGTCATGACACATTCTTGGGTCATGGGCAATCTTTGTGTGAAATGAGAACCTACCAAGTTTATCCATAAGAAAGATATGGACCGGACAGGAATTATGAAAATTTTCTTCCAGTGACCTTGAACTTTCCAAATTGACCTTGGGTCAAGGTCATGACACATCCTTGGGTCATGGGCAATCTTTGTGTGAAATGAGAACCTACCAAGTTTATCTATAAAAGATATGTATCAAACATGATTTTTGAAAATTTTCTTCCAGTGACCTTGAACTTTCTAAAATGACCTTGGGTCAAGGTCATGACACACCCTTGGGTCATGGGCAATCTTTCAGTGAAATGAGAACCTACCAAGTTTATCAATAAGAAAGATATGGACCGGACACGAATTATGAAATTTTTCTTCGTGACCTTGAACTTCCCCAAATGACCTTGGGTCAAGGTCATGACACACCCTTAGGTCATGAGCAATCTTAGTGTGGAGTAGTAGATTCTAATGTCCCTCTGTAAGAAAGATATGGACCGGACACGATTGCACAGACAGACGGACAGACGGACAGACGGACGGACAGACGGACAGACGGACAGACGGACAAGGTGATTCCTATATACCCCCCCAAACTTCGTTTGCGGGGGGTATAAAAAGAAAGTAGACATTTTTTTTCCTATGTTTTCTTCTGAATACTGTAAATTAGATCTCCTTCCCATGCAATTAACCATTAAAAGATTTACAAAGAGGGAGACATTAATTGACAAAGTTTGCAAAAGAACAAACTGTATTTATCAAACACTGGAGGCCTCTCACCAGTTTGGAGTCGCTGACTGTCTCATTCTTCTTTCGCTCGGCCAGATCAATCTGTTCCCTCTTGTGCAGGATCTCTGACTTCTGTTTAAGTTCCTCTTCTGTAACTTCCTGTTCCATCTTCGCCAGTCGTTCCTGAATAAAAACCAAACATCAATTGAACAAATTTTAAATGATTTTTTCCTTTAAATAGTGCTAAATGAGGTCTATTTTGAACCTCTTTATCATATATTGAGGCATACTTGGGAGTATTTTTTAGATTAAACCATTGATCATCTTCTATGAAAAGCCTGATTTTGTTCATACCTTGTAAAGTCTCTCGGCCTCTTGTTTGGCTTTCTTTTCATTCATTTTCTTCTTCAGTCTGTGTTCTTCTTCAAGTCTAAGTCTTTCTGCTTCCTGGATTTTCTGATACTGTAAATATCATGTACAATAACCTCAGTAAATAAAGTAAATACCATGTACATAAACTTACTTTATAATACTCCCAACAACTACGTTCGCTATATTGATGCTTTCAAGTTTGAGATCTTTCATTTATAAACAATCAAAAATAGGGGTTTTTATACATGCAATGAACTTTGAGACTTGTCTGAAAGTAATGCAACAGCATTTATAAACAGTCCCATGCCCAAGTGACTGGTGGATATTCCACTCAGTAATTGCTTCTTTAGGCAATAACTTAAAATTATTGATTAAGCTGGAGACTTTTTGGCTATATCTATCAACAAAAGCTTCTAGAAGTGAATATAGATGGGAAGTCTTTTTAGGAGAGGTTCTTAGCAATAAAGATCATCCTGGATTCATTTCTCTGACTACTCAGAAGTGTGTTGTCAAGGAGACCTGACTTGACTACCACTTTATTTTGTATCTAACCTCTATCTTCTGTCTCCTGTACTTCTTTTTGGCTATCAGAGTTCTGATGCAGGCCTGGAGTTTGACGATCGACGTCATTCTCTTGGATGCCCACTGTCTTACTAAAAAGCCTCGGCAGTACCTCTACAGAAAAGAAAGACATACAATTTATATGCTAGCACATTACCTCTGGTACAAATTCGAGCAAACTACACATAAATATCTCTGTTTACAGTAACAGTATTTAACTCAAATAAACCCTTGCTCTATACCATGACTAGGAACATGACTTCCGTACCTGGAGGTTGGTCATGAGACTCCTGACAGCGTTGAACCTGGCGGTCAGAATCCTGGACCTGATGATGGCCTGCAGTCGCTGGTAACCCTTCTTAATCTGTAAAACAGTAACAACTGACTATTAGTTAATTTACTTAACAGTTTTAGATTGTGTTCAAAAATTGAGAATAAAACATGAAATCCTAGTATGTTAACTGATGAGGAGTCATTAATGATGTCCCTTACCACTAAGAACCTCTTTCTGGCGATATATGCCCTCCATGCGGTCTGCATTGTTATACAGCTGTCCTTCATCTTTAAGAAGCGTCGTCGACAATGCCAGGCGCGGATCGTCTTTTGGAGGATTAGAATCTTCTTTGTCAACTCCTTCTCTCGACATTGCTCCAAATAAACGTCTTGTGCATCCTGAAAATGTGTAATATTATTACCGGTATAAGAAATTAAAACAATACATAAACTGCACTGATATCATTCAGATGTTTCATTTTTTTTTAAGAATTAAGACAATGTACATGAGAATATTTTTCTATTACCCATAGACAATGGATGAGGCATTTAAGTTATCATAAAATACCATTCTATAGGGAACATGCAATGATTTCCAGTGAAGCGCTTTGGAAAGATTTGATAAAACAGACAGGTATTAATTACCTTGAGAAACACTTTAGTTTTTCCTATCTGGTAATCGCCACCACACGGTGGAGCAGCACCAAACACAGTGGAGCAGATTTTATTTGAGGCGGCCCTACAGTCTTCCTTATGAGACGGTCCTATCCCTGGGGCCAAGATTCTATAGCGATCCACAAAGTCTGTAAACTTGTGTCGGATTGGATAACCTGCACGTCGGATTCGGATCGTCTCCATCATTCCCGAGTATCTTAGCTGTTTACAGCATAGTGACCTGTCAAATTCCTAAAATACAATTAAATAATAAGTCACAATATTTGAAGTGGCAATAGCTATTACATTTTTGTGAGTTTACAGTACCTCTTATAGCAGATAAGTGATAACTACACAATAAATAGACAGATAAATCCAGACTTGATTTACCAGAGGTCTTTTGTACTCGTTAGGTTTGACACATCTGACAAAGAATGGCTGACAGGCTCCCAGGGTCTTCATTAGCAGCTCCAGAGATTTCTTAAACTGTGATCCCAGGGTGGGGGCTCTCTTCTTCGTGTCCAATCCCTGTAATGGAGTTAGGTACAATACAGCTCACTTCTTGTCTTAGGGTTGTTGTAATTTTGTTGTAATTTTAAAAACTTGTTTTTTTAATATACATGTATTATAAATTATAACAATACTGGTATCAAAATATTTTTTCAAATAAAATTCCAGATATTAATCGAAATGAAAAGGCTTAAAATATGTAAGAATAGCAAAAATATTTGTCATGAATTTTCCAAACTAGGACTGATATATGTGTAGTTTTCTCCCATTGTTGCTACGTTCTTCAATCCTATACAATGATCTTTTTTTGTCTTCTAACATGTTTTCAGAAAACCTAGTGATTTCTGTTAACCAACTTTTATTTGTGTGCGAGAAATTTTCGCGAGGTTCCCAAGAGCCCCCTCATCGCAAATATTTCTCGTCACGAACAGTCTATAAAGTCTATATACCTCATAACAACATGCAGATCCAAAATAGGCTTGACTGTAAAAATTAATTGTCACGAACTAGTTTATCTCCAGTTAAATAAAGTCATCACGATAAAAAAAGTTGGTTTACAGTACTTTATTGTTACTGTGACCTGAGCAGCATTTGACTGGTTACATCAATGTGATTTGCATTATATTGAATCCAACTTCGTTTACAAATGAACCTTGCTGTATGGAGAATCTAGTTCACAACATATTAACATTGAAGGTATCATGAGTGATATATAGTAATTCTTTACCATGTTTATGTCCTGTGTAAACAGGTTGACCAGGAACTTGTTGGAGGAGGCCTGTATAAGTCCCAGTAAATCTGGACTAAAGGTGTCTCGGTTCTTCTCCAGAAAACCTGTATTATTACAAAAAGATATCATCAAAACTAGCCTATAATCTATCAATATCCAGCACAAAAATACAAAATCATATTGGTAATCAAAGGAAACTGAAACATGTAAATGCCTGACTTAATTGTCTTAACTAATAAGAGAACTGTATTGTTACTTTAACCATCAATAACTAAATTGTGTGGTTACCTTTATGGTCAATTAACAAAAGGTAATTACCTTTACAGTCATAGAACACGACACCAGCAAAGTGATTGAGACCAAACTGTAGGTTGATGTCAGACTTAGGCTGTAGATAATTCTTGTTACTCCTATGGTTGTTGTTGAATTTGTCCAACATACTGCGATCTGTTCCCTATTGAAAGAAAAATCATATTTTAACATTACTTCAACTAAATGCCTCAATCATTAGGCCATTAGTTAGAAGTGAATAAATTTTGAAAATTAATTCCAAAATGCCTGCAACAAAGTTCATTCTTATTCCTCTAATATTAAACATGTGTAAGGTTTAAGATAATTTCCATAAATATCTTTAAAATCTTACTTACTTAGTAATTTAATATCATAAATTCATTGGTTAAATTAAAAGGTATCACATTAAAAATAGCATTTATGAGGCAATAAATATAGGCAAGGAATGAAAATAATGGATTTAACACTTAACAAAACCATAAATGGTAAATATATTTTAAAATTTCAAGATGTAGAAATATTAGTTGTTATAATTGATTGATAAAACATGCATATCCTCAACCTATGTCCCTGATGGAAATGAAAATATCCACAACATCATGCAAACGAGCATGAAGTACCATTTGTATAAACAACTGATACTAAAAATAAAGCTGCTTACATGTAAAAAGAAAATGTTGAATAATGAGAATGTTATTGTTCAAATGTATGCACATACATACATGTACATTCAATGTTTTGATAATTAAGGAAAGCTGTACAAATTTTTGCTTAGCTCATTAAAATTTAGTGTTTTATGAATATTTACCTCTAGATTTCGATTCAAAACAAACACAAGTAGATGTAGTAAAAAGTAAACATTTACATGTATAATAAAAAAATAATGATACTTAAAAAATAAAGAATTTAAAAATAATAATAATAAAAATTTGCTTGAAAAATTTAAAAATAAAAGATAAACAAATGAAAAAAGAATATACATGTATCTAATTCTGCTTGTACAGCAACTGCAGGGGTTTCAACAAAGAACAATTTGGAGTATTTTCATCTTGCTTTAAAACTTTCATCAACTGTCAGAAGAAACTGCTAAGATATATTGGAATTCATTTGTCTAACTGCTAAGATACATGTATATTGGAATTCATTTGTAACCACATCCACCAGTGGTAAATATTCAGTTATTCAGGCCCATAGGAAGCAATCTCAGTTCTGGGGAGGCTGGGGGTTAAAGGGTCACAAGAATAAAATAACTATGTTGTCTTTAGTATTTTATATATCGGCAAAATTATCCCCTCTCCCCCAGTTCCTATGTATGTTTCTATACTTGCACAGGTTTCCTCTGGAACTTTTGTCTTTTTACACTATATATTCAAACAATCAAAGCTGATTTGTACCTTTGGAAACTTGCTTTCTTCATCTACCAGTGAAATCAGGTTCATAGGCCGGGCTCCGATTAAATCTAGTGTGTCTTGGTTGTCCACAAACTCAATGTGCTTCCAGTTGATTCCTTCATTGTCATACTCTTCCTAAATAAAACAGAATGAACTCAATAATATGTAACCTCCATAAAACAGAATGAACTCAATATGTAACCTCCATTACAACAATAATACAGAACCTCCAATTAACTCAATATGATACATTTTGCGTGACAAAGTATAGTGTACTCATAAGTCAACAAATGTAATTTTTTCAACAATAATCATTATAATAGATAAAGAACTTGATGAATAAATAAAGATTAAAAGGTTTATTTGCCAAAAATAATGAAACGAAGAATACAAACCTGCTCTAACTTGAAAATGTGTTGAACAAAAAACTGCTGAAGATTTTCATTTGCATAATTGATGCAGAGCTGTTCAAAACTATAAAAAAAAGTTTCATTAATGAACCCATTCAGTATTTTATTCTTTTGAAACTGTATGAAAAATACACAAGATATAAATACACATAATTGAATATAATTGCTTCTCCACATAAAAGAGGAAAGTAACTTTCAATGAACATTTTATTATCTATGTCTCAGAATCTATTAAAAAAAGCCTTTCTATGTCTAGAACAAAGACCACACCAATTCACAGGACAGGTGTGGAAGATTGGAAGATAATTTAATAAAAATACCTATTCACATCAAAGCTCTCAAAACCAAAGATGTCCAAAACTCCTATTGAAGTCCTAAACTGGTTAGCCTTTGCTGGTTTGTAGATAGCAACGTTAATTTTATTTACAATCCAAATAAACATGCGACCATAGATTCCTTTGACAAAAGCGTCTCGTACATCCCCTGCGTTGTCTTTCCCCATGGTAACGGTGACACTCTCGCCCCGCGTCACAATGGTACGGGTTGTCAGGACATCTATCAAGTCCTGAGCTCTCACCTGTTCATAAATCAAAGACTGTGAACACTGTGAAGAAATTTTGCTTCCTTTTACTTTACATGTATATATGGATAGATGTAGGTATTACTTATCTCTCAATAATGGTGTATATTTGAAAAAGAAAGTCCTAAGAAGACACTGATTGGACCTGTAACAAGTTGCCAATTTTTATTTGACCTTTAACCTCTTTTGTGTAATCTTGAACTGCATTAAAATTGTCTCTTTAAGAGTCAGCTTACTTTGAGCAAAAATCAAACAAGCCACATCAACATACCTATAATCTTTTAGCTTTAAGCTCCCAAAAGAACACTGAAGGATGCAGGAGGTTGAAAATTTATGAAATTTGAACTTTGAGTGAATTTTCAATTTATTAATTTTTGAGTAGTCATGAGACCTGACACATTTTCTCTTTATCTGCTTAAGTTCAGTCATCGATATATATGTAAAGTAGGTAAAAACTCCTTATGCATTTTGTATTGAATAAATAGACAAATACAATCCCAGTGTGTTCTGAACAGGTTTCTGATATAGTGTACCAACTGACAAACTCTAAAAAGAGCATATTATATTTTTGCTTTGAAGGAAACAAAAATCTAAGTACTGTGGAAACAATGTTGATAAAATAATCTGCCAATGTTTTCAGGTGTATGATAACTGACCTCAAATAGGCGAGCTGTCTTGTTGATGTACTGAATGTCCTGGACTTCACTGGCCTCTATGTTGTCCATCTCTATAGCTATAAAAGGCAAAAAAGACACATGATCATCTCTATAGCTATAAATGGCAAAAAGACACATGATCATCTCTATAGCTACAATGGCAAAAAGACACATGATCATCTCTATAGCTATAAAAGGCAAAAAGACACATGATCATCTCTATAGCTACAATGGCAAAAAGACACATAATCATCTCTATAGCTATAAAAGGCAAAAAGACACATGATCATCTCTATATTAGCTACAATGGCAAAAAGACTATGATCATCTCTATAGCTATAAATGGCAAAAAGACACATTATCATCTCTATAGCTATAAATGGCAAAAAGACACGTGATCATCGGTCATTATGTAAGATAACAATAAAACTTGGGCAAATTGAAGAGAAATATGCCACTGACTAAAACCAACAACAAATTTTAGATATCAAAAAATATCTTTTAAAATGACTTAAGGTACTCTGCAATTTTCTTTTTAATTTCTCTTGTGGTAATAGAACTTAATTGGTTTACTGTAACTCTAGTTCAAATAAAAATACTACCATTGTATCTAATGTTTCCAACATGGAGAAGTGCAGCTAGAACTTTGAGAATATCCCACACTTCTGAATCCTTAAACAAAAGGACCTTCATGGCAGATCTAATGTCGGCAAACTCCTTCACATCATCCCGTCCCTCACAAGTTATGGATCCACCCTACAGAAGATACATGTAGGTCTCAGTCATTATCTCTGTGATTCAGCTGTCAGATTTTAGTAAAAAGCTAACTTACTTACAATTATGCAAGGAGTTTGTAAGGTACCAGTAACTTGTGGCATCTATTACCTCTAGTTATATTTTATCTGTGTGAGGTACCAGTAACTTGTGACATTTGTTACGTCTAGTTATATTTTACCTGTGTGAGGTACCAGTAACTTGTGGCATCTGTTACGTCTAGTTATATTTTACCTGTGTGAGGTACCAGTAACTTGTGGCATCTGTTACATCTAGTTTCTTCTTTTCTTCAGCTGTCATCCCAGCCAACATGCAGTAAAATATATGGTAATTCCTTTCGTCATGAGCTTGTGTAACTATTCGAGATTTTTCCAGAAGATATTGTTCAATTTTGGCCCCTTCTATAGATCCTTTCTGATTAAAGTGAATGTCTATATATTTTCCAAATCTACTGGAGTTGTCATTTCTGATGGTTTTGGCATTTCCAAAAGCTACAAAATAAATTCATGGTTTGTAAGTATTATCCAAATAGTTGCCGTGCTCAAAAACATAGATTAAAGATGTTCATGAAGTTAATCCTACAGTATATTTTAAATTACAGTTCAATATTTATATTTTTTCAAAATAGCAGACCCAGAAGAATGTACTCTTTTACAATATGGCCACAATGCCTGTGGTCCCCCCCCCCTTACATTAGACTTCTATTTCCCTCTGCTAATGGTGCTATAAGTATGGACGTACCTTCCATGATAGGGTTTGCCTCTAGGATCTGCTGTTCTATCCAGGAGTGTTGTCCTGAGACAGCTGCCAGGAACTGTAGGATCAGCTTAGTGCTCTCTGTTTTACCGGCCCCCGACTCACCACTAAAACAGAAGTAGTCAGTGTCACTTACAGTCAGGACAAGATAATCTTATAAATAATAAATACATGAAATTATCTATAATATATTATGAAGCATTGTTGAGGTCAATGAAGACAACTTTTGTGTTCTATGAAAGCCTATTAGTCCTATTAGCCAGGCAATTTATCATTAAACAGCAAACTAATTGCAATAATTTTTTTTTCATAAATAAACTCTACAATGCTCAAAATTTAATGTGGTAAAAAAAAAATTATTAACACTGTATGAAGGGAAATACTTCTTTTCTGCTAAATAAAGAAAAGAGTGCTATGAAAAGGGACATAACTCTTCTCATTAGTGTAAATGTTCAGTTTATCCCAACACAATATCAGTAATGTGTGTTTAAATCCAGACACTTTTTAATAAAAAATAATGTAAGCTAGCTTATACATGTAAAAGCACCATTGTTGACATTCTTACTACAATTAGCCTTGCTTTGTTTTATGGATATATATTATACAATTGATCTCTAAAGTTTTATTTTGCTATATTTAGCTAGTTATAAGGGGGTATATAATAAATTTATCATTATAACAGTAACTTGATCCGAAGAGCCGATTTACGTCTCGTTGACAGGCGCTTTGCATCTCGTAAAATCTGATGATCTGCGCCTCTCAACTTGACGTGATACGACCCTTCGGATCAAGTTACTTTTATAATAATATACATGTATATATACCAGTCCCTAAATTAATGTCAGTCATGTGGATTACCTTATTATAACACACTGATCATTGTTATAGCGCTGCATGTTGTAGTAGGCATTGTCCGCAATGGCAAATATATGTGGAGGTAATTCACCAATCTTTTTGTCTCTGTACAGTTGAATTTGCTCGGCAGTGTAGATGGGGAGGATTTGGTACGGATTGACGGCCACAAGAATTGAGCCAGTGTATGTCTACAGCAGAACAAGGAGGTTTGGGATTAGAAACTGAAGTTTGACAAAAATCTTTAAAAGATAAAAACCCACTATCAATTTATATTCAGAACAATAAGTTTAAGATATATGTTGTAAATGTAATAATCAAAATATTCTAAGTATTTTTTTCTCTCTCTCCAATTATAAAATCGAAAAGATTCTTGAAAATTTCTCTCAATTATTATTTTATTTTTGTAGAGGAAATTTCACATTTATATGTATAGATAACATTGGAATTTTTATCCCAATAAAATCTATTTTCAAAATCAGTTTTTCAGATGCTAAACATAAACAGCTAGGACATATCAGCATTGGAAAATACCGAATCAACAAATAGAGGTCCTATTCTTTAAAAAAAACTCAAACTTAAATTCTTTTTAATATTCTATAAAGAAAAGAGCTTTTTTTCCTAATAGATGTTGAAAATTAAAAATAATAAATTGTTACATAGATGAGGTTGTCCATGTATCGGATGAAGAGATTTCTAAGGATTCCGGACTCGTTGAGGTCCCCAAGCAGGATCATGTCTTCCACGCCCTCCACTGATGTCGTGTGCATGTGTCGCATCGGACGATTGAGATCGATCCAGTGTTCCTTCCCGTCATCATCCACCACGTTGATGCGGCTTTTGTCGTGAAGCTTCACACGGGCGCCAATGGACACGGAAAATTCTCCTTTGGTCGCTGGCTCAAGCCAAATATGATCTCCCTTAAACACAGAAATGACACTTTAATGAAATGAACATAATTGTATGCCAAGTCTGATTCAAGGAAATCACACAAAATAACAAGTTTATCAATTTATTCATTGCAGCTTTTTTATTCATTTATTTATAAGTCTCCATTATTTAAAGTGTACAAAACATAAATTTATTTATACTGTAAACCAACTTTTATTCGCGACGACTTTATTTCAACCGGGATTAAACTACATTTAAATTTTTTGATCTGTTCATATAGACATTATGGACTACGGCGAGAAATATTCGCGATAACAATGCCCTCGCGAACTTCGCGAAAATTTCTCGCACGCGAATAAAAGTTGGTTTACAGTAACTCTAGTTCACTTATTGATTAAAGCTTACAATACCTTTGTTAGGATCACCATGGTAACTTTTTGATGTCTAGGTGTCACTAAATTAGAAAGAACATTGTCAAGGTCAAGTGTGACTCTATGAATAAAGCAAAGCTTTTTTTTGGAAATCCCTGGCAAGATTCTTCACAATCCTTTGTATAATGTTACACTTATATAACATACTAAGATATAACAACCTTACAGGTACATAACACATGCATTGATTTTGTATCATATAGAACTGAAGAAATATGTGAATAAATTCACATCTTTAAAAAAATCAAATTATGAACAAAAAGAACTTTATTATCAACCTTTTTATTAAACTAGCTATATGTAACAATGACTGATGAATAATTTATACAATATCTCTAATTTTAAGGATTTCCCCAGTACATTTAATTGGCATAAGGGTAGTACTCCTTAGTGGAAACCAGAATACCCACAGAGCCAGTTTATTGGGCTTAGTGAGCAAGCACCTTGCACTATGGCATTATGTAACACTTGTCAATTCAAGGATTTAACTCTGACAGTATGAATTAGCACATCTCAGCAATATCACCCCACAAGAACACCTATACATTTTATATGTACATGAAGTAACTAAAATGAATTAAAACATAATCAGTCCAGCGCAGTGGTTTAGTAATGTTAATGTACGATTTCTGCTGATTATGATATACCCTAATATTTTTAACTGCATCCAAAATGAAATTCTCAATACCGACCTGAATTACTTGTTATGAAGGGCATATACCTATTTGATTTCCCCTTTGAAGTGACACATACATGTATAACATACCCAAGCTGTCTCCTTCCACTGTAACCACCCTTCCTGGAAGCTAAATCTTCAATTTATATCTTTAAGTCTAAATGAATTATAATTATAGCCTAATTTCAAGACTGAGAAAGGACCAAGGGGGAATGGCTTCTCTCCTATATTCATTGATTTTTACGATAGTGATTTGAAACATGCCATATAAAGGTACAAATAGGCCAATCTGAGAAAATATTCCATTGAACAATTCCAGGTGTACAAAGTAAAACTGTTTATTATGATTTTTTTCATCGACTATGTTAGATTGAAATATTCTCAGACATCTGTAATAATAACAAGTACGTAATAAGTCAAACAGTACAGTATATACCCAACGTGTTCAAAGGAATGTAGATTACGAACTATATTATCAAAACATTCGTATTTAATATACAATGGCATCAATGGCATAAAAGAGGCCTTATCTACCCGGATGCCAAATCCACCATAAAGTTCACCCTATTAATAATATATCAGCGATATAGGTTTACCTTAATTAATTTCAAAAAACGTATTATCTTGGAAATAGTTAGGATATTCCATTGTTAACATATATTCCACATTTTGTACGTTCTGTCAAGCTTCCAAAATGGACACACCCTTGAATTAAAACCTGTCTATACACTATACTTTTAGACGGCACACGTCACGTGACCACTGGTTTTTGTTATCTCACCTGTACAGCTACCTGTGTCAATTGAATGGCATCCCGAACCCGACCATATAAATAAAAGAATTTCTAAACGTTGAATATTTTCAGTTTCCCTGGAATGAAATTTAAACCAATTTAATAAAAATCATATAAAAAAAATACCCCTCTCTCGGTCCATTTACCAGGCTTAGCTCAATGATAGTAACCTCATTCTGTTCCAGATAGGGCCTAACTTGAACAAACTTGCAATATAATTTCAATTTATTAAATTGAAACTATTTTTTAAAAAAAAAGTAGTCTTGGGCTGGGAATCAACCAGATATTTCGTATTGCGATATTTTAACTGTATTGCAATATGTCAGATTGCAATATTTTCAATGAAAATAAAACCAGCATTTTCTAATTATTGTGCAATTTACACGCAGAATTATAACTATATGATAAGTAACCAAAAGGAAAAATACAATTATGCACTGAAGTATACCCATGCAACAGCTTCTTTTTTACTGTCAGACTTAATCACAAACGTTTTTGACAAATTTTCTTTATATTTATTAAATATAAGCATTTTGCCGGTCATCGTCGGAAACCCACGGCTTTTGCCGGTATAATTAGGCATTACAAAAGCGTATTGCAATATACCAAACAATCGATATTCAATTATTTTTGCCCAGCCCTACGATTTATTGATTCATCAAATATGTTGGCATAGAGATACCATATAAAATTTTATTCTCTTGCCCCACCTAACTCCACGGTCTTGTGTGGAACTAGGCTGAATTAAGTATTTAGAGTAAATATCTCATTATTGATATTTCTGAAATGAAATTATGAAAAATACAACTTTTCTGAGAAAAATATAGGTTAAAGTGTTCTTTTTGTGATCTTCGTTGGATTCGAACCTATAAGTAATAAAACCCGAAGTATCTTTTTTTTTGTGTGTGTGGAAACATTGGGGGGGGGACAAAACGCCAACATAAATATAAGCCCCGCCTAATATGCATTTTTTTTTTTCAAGGATCCCATATATTGCCCCTTTAAATGTCTACATAACTAATAATATACTTTTTGACAATGGGATAATCACGATAAACACTAATGCTGACGAGATGGATAAATTAAAGTGCAGGGGTTTTTTTTTTTTTTCTCTTTTCATTAATATAGTGTAATGTGTGGGACAAAGCAACCTTTTTGATGTGGAGGAGGGGCACTGAAAAAAAATAACTTCAAAAGAAAACAAAAATTAGAAAAATGAAAGAAAAAGTGAGCAAGCTCACATACCCCTCGCTCCCCCAAAAACTCAATTTCCCTTCCTGGTAATATGCACATCTACACATTGTGTCCTAATAATGAAAGTTCGTGTGGACACTGAGACAGGAGACCTCCCGCAACTTGTTGACCTTTCCTAATTCGTATACTAACCAAGTATTTTATAATGAATATACATTGTGGAGAGACAGAGAGAAAGACCGTTGCTACGTGCCTAAGCGAATAAACGTTTAACTTTAGCTTTTAACACGAAAAGGTTATTTTTTCACCTACGACCAAGGGCCTGGATAATACGAACTAATAATGTGTGTGGAGAGACAGAGAGGGAGACCCATGGACTTTTATACTAACCAGATAATGAATACGTGTGTAGAGACAGGAGACCCATGTACCTATATACTAACCTGATAATGAATTCGTGTGGAGAGACAAGAGGGAGACCCTTGACTTTTATACTAACCTGATAATGAATATGTGTGGAGAGACAGAGAGGGAGACCCATGGACTTTTATACTAACCTGATAATGAATAAGTGTGGAGAGACAGAGAGAAAGACCCATGGACCTTTATACTAACCTGATAATGAATAAGTGTGGACAGACAGAGAGGGAGAACCATGGACCTTTATACTAACCTGATAATGAATACGTGTGGAGAGACAGGAGACCCATGGACCTTTATACTAACCTGATAATGAATATGTGTGGAGAGACAGGAGACCCATGGACCTTTATACTAACCTGATAATGAATACGTGTGGAGAGACAAAGAGTGAGACCCCTGACCTTAATACTAACCTGATAATGAATACGTGTGAAGAGACAGAGAGGGAGACCCATGGACCTTTATACTAACCTGATAATGAATACCCCAGTACGTGTGGAGAGACAAAGAGGGAGACCCCTGACCTTAATACTAACCTGATAATGAACGTGTGGAGAGACAGGAGACCCATGGACCTTTATACTAACCTGATAATGAATACGTGTGGAGAGACAGGAGACCCATGGACCTTTATACTTACCTGATAATGAATACGTGTGGAGAGACAGGAGACCCATGGACCTTTATACTAACCTGATAATGAATACGTGTGGAGAGACAGGAGACCCATGGACCTTTGTACTTACCTGATAATGAATACGTGTGGAAAGACAGGAGACCCATGGACCTTTATACTAACCTGATAATGAATATGTGTGGAGAGACAAAGAGGGAGACCCCTGACCTTAATACTAACCTGATAATGAATACGTGTGGAGAGACAGGAGACCCATGGACCTTTATACTAACCTGATAATGAATATGTGTGGAGAGACAGGAGACCCATGGACCTTTATACTAAGCTGATAATGAATAAGTGTGAAGAGACAGAGAGGGAGACCCATGGACCTTTATACTAACCTGATAATGAATACGTGTGGAGAGACAAAGAGGGAGACCCCTGGACCTTTATACTAACCTGATAATGAATACGTGTGGAGAGACAAAGAGGGAGACCCCTGACCTTAATACTAACCTGATAATGAATACGTGTGAAGAGACAGAGAGGGAGACCCATGGACCTTTATACTAACCTGATAATGAATATGTGTGGAGAGTCAGAGAGAAAGACCCATGGACTTTTATACTTACCTGATAATGAATAGGTGTGGAGAGACAGGAGACCCATGGACCTTTATACTAACCTGATAATGAATACGTGTGGAGAGACAGGAGACCCATGGACCTTTATACTAACCTGATAATGAATACGTGTGGAGAGACAGAGAGAAAGACCAATGGACCTTTATACTAACCTGATAATGAATATGTGTGGACAGACAGAGAGGGAGACCCATGGACTTTTATACTAACCTGATAATGAATATGTGTGGACAGACAGAGAGGGAGACCCTTGGACCTTTATACTAACCTGATAATGAATATGTGTGGAGAGTCAGAGAGAAAGACCCATGGACTTTTATACTAACCTGATAATGAAAACGTGTGGAGAGACAGAGAGGGAGACCCATGGACTTTTATACTAACCTGATAATGAATACTTGTGGAGAGACAGAGAGGGAGACCCATGGACCTTTATACTAACCTGATAATGAATATGTGTGGACAGACAGAGAGGGAGACCCATGGACTTTTATACTAACCTGATAATGAATACTTGTGGAGAGACAGAGAGGGAGACCCATGGACCTTTATACTAACCTGATAATGAATAAGTGTGGAGAGACAGAGAGGGAGACCCATGGAATAATAGAATACCGTATAAGCAGAATTTTTAGTGAGGATTTAATTTTGGCATTATTAACGAGAGTGCCAAGATCGCTAAAATTAAATATCGCTATAAAAAATTGATTGTGCTTTATTTGTCATAGCTTCTTTAGTTGTTTATTTGTAATAGCTTCTTTAGGTTGTTTAAAATCGCTAAAATTACATTTCGCTAAAAATAAAATACCTATTTTTAAGGACATATCGCTAAATTTGCGTCTCGCTGAAATTTCCACTTCTATGGTATATTTAAAATGTTTCACCTCATACTTGGTCTGATTTGAAAATGGAAAGCTTCAAAATTAAGAAAGTAGGTCAATGTGACCAGTATGATCAAAGGATTTGTGTCCAGCTTTTTTTGTCATAGACTGATGCCTTGAGCAACACTACGATAAATCCCCATCCTTATGCATTTAAGTCTACAATTAATTTACAAAAATAAAGCAAACAGAATGGTTCCAAATTAATATTTTAATGTAAAATATTTAGCAAAAGTTGGGGACAAAAATCAGTCCTGCAAAATCAGTCATGCCAGCATATTACATATTTCATGATATATAAAATAATAAATACATGTACATTATACAATAACCTGTACTGTAAAGCAGTTCACCTTTATATATTGGTAATACATGTATCACAACGCAAGCTTTTTAAACCATTACAGCAGATTAAGTCTGTCTAAGAAGGAGACCCCTTAGAGCATGGCAGTTAAATGTCATCATACACTGGAACTGTCTGTAGGAGAACCTCTGGGACACACCTCAAGTAATACCCATACAGTGACGAGACATCAATAACCAATGGAGAGGAGCCTATTGCTTTTTTGCTGTTTCTTCTGCTCTCCTACAAATAAAAAATTCTATATAAATGCATCCTGAGTAAATTTATATATGATATTTATATAAATATAGTGTGTATGCATTTTGTTTATACTGCATGTTCAAGATTTTGCAAAAAAGTGTAGATTTGTATAGTTTTATTTTGCATAAGTTATTTTTTTCAATTAAAGTAAAAAAAAAAGTATTGTTATCATGGCACACAATATCTGACATAATTTTTTGTCTTTTGGTATTTGGCTCCAGGTGAGCTTAAAAGTTGACAGATGGACATGCCAGACACTTCTTGATCAGGAAGACAAAGTTGAGCACTTGGCTCAAGTGACCTAAAACTATTCAGGATTAATTGTATAACTCACATATCATAACAAGACAACATAAATATAGATACCTGGTAAGGTCTTCTATATCCACGAGCATGGAGTCCTGGCTCATGTGTAACTCATCCCTCTCCATAAGGAGATTCATTAATTCTTCATTTAAATCTGTTTGTAAAAAGATTTATACTTGAGAAAGACGATGATATTCTAGCAACTAAACTTCAGGATAATAGTGATGTGATTCATCTTTTCTATCTTCAATTTCCTTGTTTATATAGTATTATTATCTGTAAATGGGATTTATATCTCCCAATTATTTGTTCTATTCTATTAAATATGAACAATTTTAAAAATGAGGCAGGCTATAGACAAATAAGATGATGATACAATGATATCTACAATTTTGACACAACAATTCAAAATTCTAGAATTATTACAATGACTTTGCAATAATTTATCTTTAGACCAAATGTTGACTGAAAAAATTGTTAGGTCACTATCAGGATTTTAAAACATTGAATATTTTAAAAATTGTGAATATTTTAAGCCTGTCATTTTCTCATGGATACTTTTAGAACAATTCTGTATATTTTTAATGGTGTTAACACAGGATATCTCAAAAGTTTATTCCACCGAGTTCTTATCTCAAGCTTCAAGAATCACCAAGTGTTGAAGTTTTTATCTTAATCAGTTAATCACTTGCACAAAATTATTGGATTCAGAATTTTATTATACAAAGCTTTTTGAGATGATGGCAATGGACTGAATTTGGCTAAATGTTCCTTCACTTACTTTCAATCTGTGTGTGAAGATCGTTCACTAAGACTTGAAGCTGTCCTAAGTTCATCACAAACATGTCCTGCTTTCCCACTCTGCTCTGATGAATTGACTCCAGAAATGAAACTTTGACCTGAAGCAGAAAGAAGAGGTCAATAAACAGAAATAGTTTCTACAGTTCTAAATAGAAAATGTAATTAAGTCAGTAGGTACAAAGTAAGTACCAACTTCCAGGAGTTAGAATCACTCATCTGGATGTAGCCAATAAAACAGAAAAATTCAAAACAAGGGATTCATTTGAGTCACCTTGGCCCAATTGTTCTTCATTCAAAGATTTTAGGATAGAAGAAAAAATCTTGAATCTTGATTCAAGATGAATTGGATTTTTTCTCTCCGTATATTCTTATGCAAAACTGATTCCTTAATAAAACCAAAATTCACCCCCCCCCTTCTTTGAAGTCCTTTGTGCTATCAAGACTAAATGAAAGTCATAGAGTAACACAGTGATTCTGTAAAAGACATCTTAACACAGACAGATAAATGACAAACTTTGATCAGAAAATCTCAGTTGATATTCAAGGTAACAGGTCAAAACTTCATGTAACAATGCTGTAAATCCTAGATCAGTACACCAAAACTGAACTGTGTATGCTGGACAGATCGTGTGGCTTTACTGCTTTATGTCTGCTTTGACACAGAGCAACTGTTGATGATGTTTTCATTCCGAGATAAATTTGAAAAATTAACAAGAAGTACCAGGTAATTCTCTTATGACAACCCACTTACCTTTTCTGCACTAGGGGATTTCTTTTTGATTTGTTTCTCTACTTCTAATTGCATATGGGCCATAGTTCCTGCCTAAGAAAATAAAATATGTCAAAATGACAAATTATGTACATAACAATGATATACTATTTCATCCTTTGGTTGATATGCTTTGATCATCCAAAAATATGAAACTTCCAGTCTTCCATTTTCATTTATATCAACTAAAACAATATTTCAGTTTCGAAAAAGCTCAAGAAATGAACTGATACTTTCCACCCAAACATTTATGATGATTTGCCCTAAACTGAAAAGGACATTTATCCCTGTATTTAGTTTTCACGTTTACACTTGTTGGCCGGTCTCACATTTACATGTTGTGATGATGTACTCACTTGTACAAGGGCTATTTTGACCTCTTGCTGTAGCTTGGCTTGTTGAACTAAAAAATCTCCATCTTTTTTCTTTTCTTTGTCATGTTCTTTACCATTCTGGGTCTTTGGAGGATTGAGGTTAGGCAAGACAAAATCCTGTATTTAAACAAAATTGAAGCCATTTAGTCATTTAAATTCACAATAAGTGACAAATATTTTACATACCTTCTACCCAATTCATCAAAAGAATATGCATGTTCTCAGTTTAACAGGTATTTCATAAATCTCTTACAAGTTGCCTCAGAGAAATCAATTCAATACATGCACATACAATATAAGTGTGAAGGCTTAATTTTGTTAAAAATGAAAATATTCTTGACCTGGAAGTTAATATGAGCAGTCTGATAATTGTGTCCTGTGTTAACTATCCTTTATATATTATGACACATGTATGGCACTAATATTGCTTGGGAGGATTTGTTAAAATAAACAAACATGCATTTCGTTATCAACACAATATCATAATACATTTGGAGATACAATATATTTAGGTAGAAAATATTTAAGGAGTTCATTTATTAACGGGTTACAAATATAGTTATGTAGTCAACTTTATTATACCCGCACTTTCTAAAGAAAGTTCGGGTATATTGTTGTTACTCATGTCCGTCCGTCCGTCCGTCCGTCCGTCTGTCACACTTTTCTTCCCTGAACTCCTCTTACATTTTACACAGTAAGCTAATCATCTTTTGGGAGATGGTTGGTGGTGTCATGTAGATGTGCAGTAAGGTTTCGGAATTTTGATTTTGCCCCAGGGGGTCAAATGGGGGTCGAAAAATGACGTTTTTTATGCAAAAAGCCCCATCTTCCCTGAACTCCTCTTACATTTTACACAGTAGGCTAATCATCTTTTGGGAGATGGTTGGTGGTGTCATGTAGATGTGCAGTAAGGTTTCGGAATTTTGATTTCGCCCCGGTGGGTCAAATGGGGGTCGAAAAATGACGTTTTTTATGCAAAAAGCCCCGTCTTCCCTGAACTCCTCTTACATTTTACACAGTAGCCTAATCACCTTTTGGGAGATGGTTGGTAGTGTCATGTAGATGTGCAGTAAGGTTTCGGAATTTTGATTTTGCCCCGGGGGGTCAAATGGGGGTCGAAAAATGATGTTTTTTATGCAAAAAGCCCCGTCTTCCCTGAACTCCTCTTACATTTTACACATTAGGCTAATCATCTTTTGAGAGATGGTTTGTGGTGTCATGTAGATGTGCAGTAAGGTTTCGGAATTTTGATTTTGCCCCGGGGGGTCAAATGGGGGTCGAAAAATGACGTTTTTTATGCAAAAAGCCCCGTCTTTCCTGAACACCTCTTATATTTTACACAGTAGCCTGATCATCTTTTGGGAGATGGTTTGTGGTGTCATGTAGATGTGCAGTAAGGTTTCGGAATTTTGATTTTGCCCCGGGGGGGTCAAATGGGGGTCGAAAAATGACGTTTTTTATGGATAAAGCCCCGTCTTCCCTGAACTACTCTTACATTTTACACAGTAGGCTAATCATCTTTTGGGAGATGGTTGGTGGTGTCATGTAGATGTGCAGTAAGGTTTCAGAATTTTGATTTTGTCTCGGGGGGTCAAATGGGGGTTGATAAATGATGTTTTTTATGCAAAAAGCCCTGTCTTCCCTGAACTCCTCTTACATTTTACACAGTAGGCTAATCATCTTTTGGGAGATGGTTGGTGGTGTCATGTAGATGTGCAGTAAGGTTTCGGAATTTTGATTTTGCCCCAGGGGGTCAAAAAATGACGTTTTTTTTATGCAAAAAGCCCTGTCTTCCCTGAACTCCTCTTATATTTTACACAGTAAGCTAATCATCTTTTGGGAGATGGTTGGTAGTGTCATGTAGATGTGCAGTAAGGTTTCGGAATGTTGATTTTGCCACGGGGGGCCGGGACTAATGGGGGTCGAAAAATGATGTTTTAAAAATGTCTTAAATCATTTCTTTAAAACTAAGCGAAATACAAATTAAAAAGGATGGAGGTCAAGGTCACAGGAATGTGCAAGGTGAAGTTTTTGATGCAGTTGAGTAGCTTCACTAATACATATCAGCATATTATGTTTGATAAAAATATCTTGAATGATTTAATGAAACTGAGCTTAACACCTTTTCTAAAAAAAAGAGAGGTCAAAGAAAAGGTTGGGGCCAAAATGTTGATGCAGTTGAAAAGCTTACATCAGTATGAATTTACTATTAGCATATGAAGTTTGATAAAACTATAATTAATGTTTTATTTAAAACTTAGATAAACACATAATTTAAAAAGTGAGGTCAAGGTCAAAGGAAAATTCAAGGTCAAAATGAGTTGATGTATTAATATCTCTCAGCAGTATGTATCAGCATATGAAGTTTGATAAATATATCTTGAATTGTTTATTCAAAACTGATCTAGACATTAATTTTAGAAAAGTGAGGTCAAGGTCACAGGAATGGTCAAGGTAAAAAAGAGTGAAGCATTGTAAAGCTTACATCAGTATGTATCATCATGTGAAGTTTCATTACACAACTTGAACGGTTTCTTTAAAATAAAGCTAAACACTAATTTAAAGAAAAGTTAAGTGAAGGTCAAAGGAAAAGTCAAAGTCAAAAAATATTGCTGCAGTTGGATATTTACATCAGTATGCATCAACATATGAACTTTGATAAAAATATCTAGAAAGTTTCTTTGAGCCCGATGGAAAGACAGATGGAAGGGTGGAGGACAGACATGACAAAAACTATACATGTATGTATTCCTATTCATGGTGTGGCATAAAATTTGAACTTGAATCTACATTATATGAGGATGTTTCCATCTATCAAGATTATACAAGCAAATTCAAAGAATTGTGGTCCTCTGCTTTCTGTGTTTTAGTGAATGGGATGCCATAATTTATGGCAGATTGTGTGTCAAATATGCACCCCTATCATATATCAATTTTTGAAAATTAGGTCAAAGGGGAAAAATCATAGCATGCTCTGAAACATTTTGTTACAGGTAATGTACATGTCAAATATGAAAGTCCTATCTCTTTTGAATCAAAAGTTATATACAATATAATATTTTTGAAAAGTAAGTTAAACTTCTAGGTCAAGGTCACAGAGTCAAAAGTCATGATATATTTAGAGAAGTCTTTCTTTTCTCTTTCAAAATGATCAATTTAAAATATTATTTTTTGGAAAGTAGGTAAAACTTTAAGGTCAAGGTCTCACTTCGGTTAAAAAATCATAGCATATTTAGAAAGTTTTGTGGTAATGTACATGTGAAATATGAAAGCACTACATGTATCTCTTATTATTCAAAAGTTATGACCAAGGTTAAATTTATTGCGACAGATGCACATACTAGCTGTAAATAAGTTGGACAGACTGACAGACAAATGAGATTTAATGTCCCCTCCCTTTCCCCAAAATGGGGGACAATAATGCCCTTGCTGTTCTTGAGAAGAAGATTTATGATGGAAAAAATCCCCTGCATATTTCTTAACACAAATCAATATTGTGTTTTTATGTCATTTTGTTTGTTGTTAAACATCCCTCTCAGGGATTTTTCACTCATATGGAGACATCACCACTTGAAAAATAATGAGGACAAGTTAAATTTGAGGTCAACATTCATTTTAGGAGTTTTCAACCATTAAGATGTAAAGAAATATTAACTCGATCCTTCCCCTCACCCCTTCCCAGACCCCTGTTTGTTCATGTATGCAAACTACTACTTGTTTTTACATTAAAAAAAAATGTTTGTACAAATAGTTTAATGTGGTCCATCTCTGAATGAATGAGTTTCATTCCTAATTCTTGAGGAAGATAGGTTGACACAAATTCATGAATAAAATGTCAAGTAATCTTATCATTGATGCACTTTTATTTAATTTAATGCAGTCATATTGTGAACATTTCAGCTCATTAGGAGAGTGGGGATGACCTCTAGTGGTTCATAACCTTTAAATTTACATAACATAATAACACAAGAAACAAAATTATATATAGTGAAATGGAAAAAGTTTCCTACTATTTAGGAGTCACATGATCATTTGTCATTACAGGGACAGGGAAGTGGATTGGGAGATCGCCCCCTCAACAACCCCCCCCCCCCACCCCCGGAATTTGCAGGACTATAATATATAGTGGAGGAAATTAAAATGACTTTGGGTGCCCTAAGTGTCCCTTCACCCTAGAAAACAGACCCAACCTTAACTTCTTCTTCTTCTTCTTTTTTTTTTGCTTCCCAGGAAATTCTGGTCTGGAACCCCCCCCCCCCCCCCCCCTCCCAGAAAAAATTCTGGATCTTGTGACGTTGATAACGGGGGATAACTCTTCAGAATGTGAAATTCGTCTATTGTAAGTTTAAAGGATCAAAGGTCATCCGATGCTAAACCTAACCGTTTGCATTTCAGACTATTTTACCCAAATCTATACCAAAACTTGTACTTACCGATTATCATTATTTAGGCACTGTCATCTTCATGAAATATAATCCAGTTAAAACACAAAATGAAATAGGCCTAATTCCTACTGACATATATGCAATGATGCACACAAGTAGCCTACTGCACGTGCGAAATCTAAAATGATAATGCCAATGGTAAAACTAGCACTTAAGTTGGGTACGTGACGCAAGCCCAATGTGATGCAGGTGTTCAGATACATGTATTGTGCAAGAACAAATTGAAAATTATCATTTACAAAAGAAGTTTTATTTTAACTTTGCCATCTAGGCCTATTTCCAAAAACAGGCAAATAAGGTGTGTTTGTGTGTGTGTGTTGATGGGAGAGGGGTGGGGGTTGACTAAATTGATTGTGTAGCTTTCAAGAAGTTTCTGCCTAATCAAGTATAAACTTTGCACATTTTGAAAAATTCATCAAAAACGCTTTACACTAATTTGAATAATATTATTTGTTGTTAATCTATATGAGAAAATATATTTTAAAAGTTCCAATTATGTGCCAAAAATTTATAAACCCCCCCCCCTTTATCAAACCTAATTTACATCATTAATTTAATTCCGTTGTTTAATTTCCGACTGGTAATGAATTTAGAATATGAAATACCTATAAGATTGAGGCCCATGGGTCACATGATCACTAGCTGCAGATCTGTATAGCGTTATGGTTTTATATATTTGTCTTTGACCATAACGCTACAGATCCCGTAATGCAAAAAAGGTGCAATTTACGGCGCAATATTTTTTGCGCTCCTTTGAGGAGAATTTCTCCACTTTCCAGCATTGATTAATTAACTAACCTTCACTCCCTAATTTTAGGCACATAATTTAACTAATATGCATATTTTATCCATCTCCAATCCTTTTATAGTCGTCTCTACACGTGATAAACTCGCTTGATTAAAATTATTTGTTAGATTGCTGAAAATTCACATCAAGCGAGTTTATTGCCTGTAGAGATGACTATAAATGGCTGAGAGGTGGACAAAATATACATTTTGACGATAGAATGTGTCTAAAATTAGGGAGTGAAAGGTAGTTGATTGACTAATGCTAGAAAGTGGAGAAATTCTGCCCAAAAGTGTGCAAAAAATATTGCGCCGTAAATTGCACCTTTTTAGCATATGGGGGTCTGTAGCGTTATGGTCAAAGACAAATATATAAAGCCATAACACTGCAGATCTGCAGCTACATGGTCACCTGAGCATATTATGCTCAATTTGAAGAATACATGTATTATGTAAATTATTGAATTATATTTACATCCACTGAATATTTTCTTCTTTATTTCTTAAGAAAACCCATTGCGTTCATCACTGCATGAACTACATTACTCATATCACCTGTACAGATTTCTTGATCAGTGGCCGTTCCATCAATGAAACGTACAAAGACGTTCGCATCATTAACACAATAATTAATATTTTTAATCCTACTTAAAATGATATAAATATAAACAATAAAATGTCTTTCTTTGTTTGTTATTACTGGAATGAACAGTCGCAACTATTGCAGAAAAAATTTACATAACCCGCGTAGCGGGTTATGTATTTTTTCTGCAACAGCTGCTTCCGTTCATTCCAGTAACAACAAACAAAGAAAGCATTTTATTGTTTAAATATTGACTTTTTCCCTGGTAAAGCCCAATATGAAGAAGTGTGCATTTAGAGGCAAACACCTTAGTGCGGGTATTACTGTCTCATGACAGCATCTAGTTTTTAAAATATTGTGGATAGATTTATGAAGGATCTGAGTTTTTAAAAAAGATATCCTCCACATTTTATGATGCATACCTTACAAACGTTATGTACAGAAACTGAATAAGTTATCTTGCTCGGACTAACCTATTTGGACAAATCCTATATGGAAATTCCTACATACAAAGAATTTACCTTCTGTGGATATTCCAAAATCATCATGATTCCAATTTCCAAAAGTTATCACAGTCTTTAAAGAGTAAATTAAATCTCATACAAAGTGAGTTACCTGCTGAGACGGAGGATTGGCCACTTCCTGTTCCTCATTCATGAAGCAGATTTGTAGGTTTGAATTAGAAGACTTCGTTACTGAGGGTTTCTTGTAAAATTTCGGACTGTTACAATCATCATCAACTGCAACATCCATGGCTAATTTCTTGCGGATTTCTTCTCTATCATTTCTTTGTGCCTTTAAACATGTTAAAAAAATTAGACAAGAGTGGATTTAATTTCCTAAATAATGAATTGGTTTTTCTTAAAATAACTAAATATCATGACAATATTCATAAAATCATAATGATCTTATAATAAATAAATAAACTGACAATATATATTTTTGTTCTTAATATTCATGTTATTAATAAAACAAATTCACTTCCAAAAGAATTCCTAAACTACGTTTAATGTCCCTTCAAAGAAAAGTGAAAGGAATTACAAAGTACACTTCACACAGCAATAAATAACTGATCATATTTGAATATGTAATTTACTGGATCATAAACTACTACCTACCTGTTTGTTACTGGTCTGTGTAGCTTGTTGTAGTTTCTGTTCTAAATCTTCCCAGTCAAAAGATGGTAGTCCACTATCCATGTTATACACTTCAAAATCCTCAGTCTCCCCTGAATGACCACCTGACCTAGATTTCACTTCCTGATTTGACTGTGCTTTATTTTTAGAACCTTCAGGACCTGAGTTTCCATCACAGACATTTTGACCACCACCAGACACTCCTTCAATGTGACCGTTCTCAGGAGCCACGAAGTCCGAGTTTGTTCTCTGGAGCTCCGCAAACTCCTGAGCCAGACTGAGGTAATTCACTTTACGTCGACGTCGGTTAAAGTCCTCCTCACTCTCCCCAGGGTGTTGTACGATATTCTGATTATTTTCAGTCCTCCCGTTTTCCACGGGTCCGTCCTGTCTGCTGTCGGCTACAGACACCTCAGAGTAAGAGGACGACATGGAGTCACTCTCCTCTGTATGCGTTTGTAGGACAGCCTCCAGTAGAGGGCGCTTACTTTTTTCTGTGGAGTTATCCTTCTTGGTGTCATCTTCATGATCTCTGTTTTTTCTTCTTAGATATGAACGCCATGCTCGCTGTATACTAGATGATAAATATTAATATAAACAGTCATGAGTTCAGTATGTACACCTATGTAGTGAAATAATAGATATAGTGATGATAAATGGGATCCCCAGCAAAATTCTTAACTGTCTTTTTATTTTTACATTTTACTTTTGCCATTATACCTGAATTTTACAACTGTCTTGATTTATTTTATACATGTACTGGCTTTAATTTAAAGTTTATATACGCTTATATACTCACGTTATTATATCGTTTATATACTGTCTGGGTTTATACTCACGTTATTATATCGTTTATATAATGTCTGGATTTATTTCGTCTTCTTGTCCGATTATCATCCAACAGAACTTCAAGACGATGACTGCAAGGATTTTTTAAAAATTACTTCATATCATTTTTATTTGTTAAAAGTACTTTTAAATCATGTGACATGATAAAAACAAGTTGTCTGCAGGCCAAAATACTCACTTGAGCCACAATGGAAAAAAAAGATTTTAAAGTATTTTTTTTCTTTTTATTCACTTAAAGAATTCACTTTTTTGTAATTATTTTCCCTTTAAAATGGTGAGGCCATTCACAATGCCCTTCACACAAAGATGCTTTGTAGCAGTTGTTAGAATTTCGCTTAGTGGTTCTGGAAAAAGGTCAAAATATGAAAAGTTTACAGAAGTATTAACAGAAAGACAGACAGACAGAAACTACACACTGTGATCTGAAAAACTCACCTAAACCATTAGTCCAGGTCAGCTTTGTTTGTTTATTTATCAATTTTAGAAAGCTCAATCAACATCTCCTCAGTGAATATTGTGTCATGTATTACTTTGTGATGGCTTATCTTTGTGATTTAAATATTCAAAACAAAGAATGTAACCTCCCTTACTTTTCTACTAGGAGCTCTCCTTCTTCAACCTGTTCCTTGATTTTAAGCTGCATTATAGACTGATCCTACAACAGGATTCAAACATATCAATATACCTGTAATCATTATCCTGCTTCTCATTGGCAAACATACATTGGAAACATTTTTCACTTCCACATTTTTTCTCTCCTATTTTTTTTTGGGGGGGGGGGGGGGAGAGGGGGGCTGAATTCCTTTTAGTTTTTTTTATCTCCTCTTTCTTTTGCCTAATTTCATTTTAGTTTAACTAAAGCAAAAGCCCAGGAGACTTTTAGTATAATCATTATCTTTTCAAAAAACAGAAGGGTTACAATATACATATATATATAACCGTTTTTGTATAGTGCTGATTCAAGTTTATTCAATGAATGAAGGAAGCTTTTTAAGGAGTTAGAGTAGACAACAAATTGATGCGGGGTCAAGACATATTTCAAATCATACATGGAAAATAACTTTTTAAAATAAAGTGCCACGCCACAGCATGATACGCCCGTCAAAAAATTACAATTATCTTAAACAGTTTAAAGTGCAAGAAAATCTGATGTCAACCTTGATTTTAAGATTTTCCAGGATTTTTCCACTCCTTAAAATACTAGTATTTGTTTATCCATCTCCTGTGGTGTAGGCTCTGATTATAACAAATATTGTATCATTCATAGATTTCTATACTGGTTGTGTTAGACCTTGCCAAATGCCCATCATATTAAAATATATCAAATTAGTCTTAACAACTTAATCTATACCTAATTAATTTTGAAAATAAAAGGCTGGCCGTCAAATATAAACTGACCAGCAGTTCTTCTGTCTAATTCCCAAAGGATACAGATAAGCCGATGCTCTGAAGAAATGATTGAGAGGCCTAGCCTTCCTACATTGAACACATTAATTAATCTTTAACTGGATGCTTGTCTACTCATTACTCCTAATAGATTATTGGATCTGCACTATCTACCATAAAACAATTTTAAAACATCTAAAACATCAATGATTTTTTAGATTTAATGTCAAACAGGTTTTAATATGCAATTTGTATGGACATGCTGATTCCACCCCCATCCCATAAAATTAGTTTTTAAATGCATAATATTATGTAATATCAAAATAGCTTAATATGCAATATCAAAAATTAATTTTAATTACTTTTCATCAGATTCATTTTAAAACTTGGGCTAGCCAACAAGAGCTATTTTTAATCCAACAGGCTAACCACATTTGCCCAATGCCCAGGGGGATATAGATAGCACTGATGCTCTACCAGCTACTCCTCACATTAAACTCATTAATTTATCTCTCTAATTTGACGTGCAATCTTCTGTTATCAAAATTCTTCTTGACCAGTGCTTGATAACTACACTCATGGGAGTGGTGGAATTTCTCTAACACACATTATATTTATTATAGATTGCTGTCAAGAATATGCTAAAAAAAAAAGTATTTTCTTGATTTAACATTTTTTTAATAAGGATAGTGCAATACTCTTACATTTGTTGGAGTGTGTTAATGAAAAGAAAAAAAATACACATTTTTTTTTAAATTTCACTTAAATTAAAGGTCACAGTGACCTTGAAATAGGTCGCGACACACCTTCTACCTAAGATGCATAAACTGGCCAAGTTTAATGATTCTAAGTCTAACAGTTTTCTAGTTATGGACCGGACAGGATTTTTCCATATTTGGCTATAACTTTTTAATCATAGGTCAGAGCGACCTACTTTTTGTGCGCGACACACCCTCTACCCAAGATGTATCAGCTGACAAAGTTTGATAACTCTAGGCCTTATAGTATTAAAGTTATGAGCCGGACACAAGAAAAGCTAACAGACGGACAGACGGACGGACACGAAGCCTATAACAGAATACGTCCCGTCTTAAGACGGGCGTATAAAAATCATAAAAAGTATATGGAAGATAACATTGATTTAGGACTCAATATAGTTCAAGTGATAATATTGAAATCATAGACTTTAATATAGAAACAACAATCAGAACACGTCTATACTTCTATCATAAAATGACTTATCATGGCTTTGCTGTTCTCATGAAAAAGACTTTTAATTAAAGACATGTCCTATATATTATTCGTAAGTAAATGACCCCCTTTTGTGGTCTGATTTGTTTATTGTACAGGGAACCATACACATAGAAAAAATACTATGAAATAAACATTTACAATAACAAAAGAATTTTATAGTTGAAGTCTTACTTTCTCAAATTGATCACACAGTAATTCCACATATTTCTTCCTTCCCAGATAACCTCGGGCATACTTCTGTATTGTTACAGCAGCTTTTTCTGTCTGACTATTGGGTTTACAAAAATCCTAAAATAAAAAAACAAAACATTAGGCCCATGGTCCACAATGCTCACCTGAAACATCTACAAAGATTTTTCTTTGTAAAATGCTTATACTTATTAATGAATTGAAATTGCAACACACCTTTAATTCTATTCTTGAGAATATCTTAAAACATTATATTTTGTGTCTCATTTTCCTAAACCAGTTAAATTAACTTAGATCTCCTCTTCATGAGTAGTGGCTAGCCCTAGCAGTATTTCATTAATAATTCAGTTTACCTGATAAATTCATGTCTTGAATTATTATGAAGAAAAATCACTTTGTTAAAGGATGAATACATTAAAAACATTCATTATAGCTGTGTTTTACTTCACTAGTTTATCAAGTCAATATACTCTTACTTGTGGAAACATCTTCTTAGCAATTTCAGAATCAGCAGCCTATAATAAAGAATAATATATCAACATAGATTAATACCACTGTAAACTGCACAGAAACCATTTAAGGAAGCTAGGAAAAGAAATGCTTCTCAAAGTCTAAAAAAACAAGAGATGTTTGTAAAATACTTATGCTCCACAGGTACTTGTGGACAGGACCCCCCAAACCCCCGATATTCAACCCCGGGGCTTATTGGACATTTTTTTCAAAAATTATATTTATTACACTTACTCATCATGTGTACAATATGAAAAAATCGTTAAAACCCTAAAACAATCGCTCCACAAAAAAAAAATACCCCTTTATACATTATAAGGGAGAAGGTATGCACTCCGGGGGGTGGGGGGGGGGTGGGGGGGGGGTCCTGTCCACAAGTACCTGTGTTATGCTCCCCTCCCCTAAATTGGAATTTTTCCCAAGTCCAAAGGGCATAACTCTCTCCAAAATGGCACAATCATACCCAAAACAGAACTTGACCTAGATATTTGTCTGATAAATCTGTAAACTAAATTTCATTTCAGTTTGTGCAACAGTTGCCAAGAAAATGAACGGAAACTGCAAGTCCAAGAGGCATAACTCTGTCCAAAATGCACAACTGTACCCAAAACTGATCTTTAGTAAGACCTAGATATTAATCTGATAAATGTGTAAACCAAATTACACTTCAGTAGGTGCAACCTCTGCGAGGAAAATGAATGGAAACTGCAAATAATTAGAAATTTTCTAAGTCCAAGGGGCATATTTCTGTAAAATATGGCGCGATTGTACCCAAAACAAAACTTGGTCTAGATATTAATCTGATAAATCTGTATACCAAATTTCATTTCAGCACGTGCAATGGTTGTGAAGAAAATGAACAGAAACTAAGTGGACCGACAGACCAACCAACAAACAGCAGCAAAGCTTCTTCAAAGGGGGGCATAACAAAATGTATCTGATATGAACATGATGAAATACAATGTGATGCAAACCACCCAGCACTCTTTAATACTTTCTATGCATTAGAGATATTGATCATGTTTCTCCTAAAAACGAATCAAAGTAACTTACCATCATTGTTTGTAAATTTCTCTCATGCCGATCATTGCGAATTTTATTGGGGTCTATATCCGCCAGAGTTGAACATTTTTCCTCTGCATTCATTAACTGGGAGAGGAAATCCCGAGCATCATCTGGCTGTTTTGGAGAGGTTTCCATTATCACACATCACTTTCATAAGCTCTGAAATATTCTTTAAGACCTGAAATAGGAAAAATTAATGTAAATTTTATTGCAATATTTGCTACGTTTAACTGTATATTTATTACTACGTTATAGATAAAACTATTTAGCCATGAAGTGCACTGGTTTGAGATCATTCCCAATAATTCCAATCTGATTGACAGGCCAGCTATTCCTGCTGCAAAAAATAAGAGAATTTATGTTTTCATAACATGACCTAGATCCTGCTGTCAAGCACTTTCATGTACTACAAATTAGGCACAAATACTGTACATCTGAATAAACAAGCCAGTGTATGTAATCTCTGTATGTGTTTCATATAATGATGACTGCATGAACTTTTCAATGAAATTATATAGCCAATTAATTAGAAACACTGCAATTCAATAAAATTACACTGAAATTACATCTTCATTCAATAAAATAACACTGCCACTCAATGAGATTACACTATCAATCACTGAAATTTAATGACACAGCACTCTATAAAGTTCTTGAAGCAAGAAATTTTATCAAAAATTAAAAAACAATAATGGTCATTACATTTACACTGCCATTCCATGAACTTTAGCTGCAATTCAACACATTGTCAATTACGTTGCCATTCAATTAGACAAATCAACCACACAAAAAGATTATATTGCAATTCTTTAGATCACATTGCCATTCTAACAAAGAAATATCACTGCCACTCAATGAAATTACACTGCCATATTCAATGATATACCATTGCCACTCAATGAAATTACACTCATCACTGCCATATTCAATGATATGCCATTGCCACTCAATGAATTTGCACTGCAAAATGACATTTTAAAAAATTAATCTGAATCTCAATTTTTTGCTGTGATTCAATATCTTTTTGCTGTTTCATGCATATTAAGTCCTTAAAATACTTGTTTACTAGTTGAGTCCAGTGTAGAATAGGACTACTTTTTGTCAGATCAATCAGTACAGTTTCCAGAATTGCCTTCTCTCTTGTAGATGAAATACCCAATTTTTTTTAATATTCTTAAGTAGGCCAAACAAGCTCTTACAATATATAGTTAATTTGTACCTGTAAAAAAAAAAAAAACTAGAACTGTCCAATAGGGACAAATACCCCCCGCTGGGTTTTTCAGAGAAGGTGCCAATTCAAAAATACTTTATGGATCTAGAGGTGTTCACTATTTACTTACAAAAATTTGCAGTGAAATATAATCCATTGTAACATTTTTTTTTCTGATTAAAGAAATATATTGCAATTACATGTATGTGTCATGACACTCTGCAAACTGATTGTTGAAAAAAAAAATCATTATACAAAATCAAATTAATCTTGATATATCAAATTCATTTTGAAAATAAAGAGCTAGTCATCCAGTAATGAAGTGCTTTGACAGACAATAAATTACAATTAAGAGAATAAGAGAAGAGAGATCTTTAATTCTTGTGCCTTATTCCCTGGAGATAAGATAACACACACGCTTGCTAAGAGATGTGCCTTAACAACTTCCAACACCAAACTCATTAATTTATCTTTAACTGGATGCATGTCCAGTCATTATTCCCAAGAGACAAATGAATTTACATTATCTTCTGTGTAATGTAAAAAATGTTTTAAACACTTGATAATGTTTCTTTTTTTAGTTTTAATGAGTTGTTTTAAGCTGTAGTTCACATTTTGTACAGATATTCTAGATTCTATGTCTCAAACCTTATACAAGAGCCCAAAATGAACAAGTCAATTAAAATAAAAAAATAAAACCTGTAAAATGCAGAAAAATGGACAAATAAAGTTGAAAATTCCAGGTGCACACCTTCATATGGTGAATAATAAGTGTACAAATTTTCAGATAGGTTTCAGCTGGGTTTAGCAAATCGAGCACACTCGTGTTATGTACACTTGTAAACAGGACAGGAGTTCTGCTTTTGTTTATGTTTACAATTCACCGGTGCGTTCTAATTCATCACAGTCTGCTTACCACAACTGCATGGACTGACAATATATTGTATGTTTATTTTGCTTACGAACATGTCTGTTCTGAATTTTCTGGATTATAGTATAAATATTTTTCATTTATACACAACTAGATTACCACTTTTCCTAAGGATTAAGAATAGAATTAGTTTGTAAAAGTGCAAGGATGTGTAAATCAAACCCGCATAAAAATTTGAAATTTTAATATCTTTACAATGAAATAAGATTTTTAATTAATTTTTGTGTGAAATGCTATTAAAATATATAAGTCATAATATTATTGAGAAAATAATAACTTCAAATCTGTGTCCAAGTACCTTTAAGCAATCCCATGCTTAAGTAATTTGCCAGCTATATTTGTACTGAAAAAAGGATCACAATACATGTACAATTTTTTGTTAACAAACTGCATTATATCAGATTATCAATATTATTGCAAAGACCTAGAATAAATCATTTTATTATATACCTAATGGTATCACTTAATTTTACTGTTGATTTTAAGCTATCACGTTACGTCAATCGTGATCCGACTTTCTGGATCACCACACTGTGGTTTTCTGAATCCATATCACCACTCTCTGAAACTGATGTCGTAGTACACAGAAACATGACGTTATTTTTCTGTCAACTCGATGAATTATGGTTAGAACGACACCAAGTGAAAATGGCACCTGGTGAAAACGGCACCTGGAATATGCAAAACGGCACTTGGTTAAAACAGCACTTAGCGAAAACGGCACTTGGTTAAAACGGCACTTAGAGAAAAAAGTATATAATAGTGTTATGATATATATTTCACATAAGTTCTTTTTAAGTCAAAATTTAATTTATTGACTTTAGAATTTTTTGTGGCTTCAATTTTGCTTTATTTTCAATCTATTTTTAAAGGTAGTATTTTTAAGCTATAACACAACAATATGTGGGATTTAGAATAATTATATTTGTAGTGTAGTATTCATAATATGAAAAAAGAAATGGTGTAAATGATTTAAAAAAAAAAAAATTTACAGTAAGAGTCACTTTATCTCACATTTCTATCTAATTCTGTAGAAATTATTTTAACAATATCAACATTGTATATCTTCATTATAAAAAAACAAATGTTTTGTTCTTGTATGTACATGTTTATTATATTATTAAATGTTGTATGGCTACTCATATTTTATGTACAGTTGCGAGAGGATTATCTAAGTTTTTCTAACTTGTGTACAATCCATTTGACATTTTGTCGAGAAATACACAATAGTAGCTGTATATGATTGCAAATTGATGATCAACAGATTATTGAAGGGGAGGTGTGAAATGGTCTTTTGTTTCCTAAACCTACAAGTGTATTCTTAGTAAACATACTCTAACTGGCTTCTAATTAGTCAACTGTGACTGGCAACCCCCAAAACAGAGTAGTATACATATTTGCAACACTATAAATTTTTCAATTTCAAAGGATCATAATAATATAATTGGGATTTGATCTCTTTTGTAGTAAATAAATATATATGATTTAAAATATAAATACATTTTAAAAATCTAACCCCTGTACAAAAGTATAATAATTTTCAAATGAATCAGTTTAATTTTTTTCCTAAAATATTTTTTAAACTTTTTATCAATAATAATATACACATTTATTACTATAAATGTAACATTAAGATCCATTTTCTGTATAAACAATATCAAATTCTCAAAATAAAAAAAGTACCGTTCTGACTTTTCTGAAGTGCCGTTTTGACTACTCTCAAGTGCCGTTTTGCATATTTCCTACGTGCCGTTTTCACCAGGTGCCGTTTTGACTTGTACCCAACTCGATGTGATACAACCCTTTGGATCAAGTTACTAGCTATTATAATAATACATATGTATTTCACCATTAGAAATGTAATAAATACTGTTTATTTTATATCTTCATGTCTTAATAACAATTTTAAACCATGTAATATTCCCTTCAATATTTCTAGGATTGTTTTGTAACTTCCACTTTTTATTTTTCTACTTGCTGTAAGACTGTTTATAAATTTAACATTAGCCTTAGGCAACACAGGCTAGATTTATCTATTAGACAAACAAATAATGCCAAAAATGTTGTTTTATCCTTATCCAACATTAAAAGTTCAACAGTAAGACTTGGCAGTAGGGTTGTAGTGACATAATATTGCGAACAAACAGAGATTGTTGCAACTTTTCTTTTGTCATGCCAGACCATCCCAGCAAAAACACTCAATTGTTCATTCATTTCAATGTAAAGTACTTACATATTCCTGTTTCACATAGAAATACGCGAATGTTTTCCCGATGTAAAGTTTGAGTTACGACTAAAACGAAGATGAGGTTCTGCCTCGAGTCTCCCCTCAGCCTCCAATATTCCAATCCCAATTTCTCTGGCAATTAGTAGTCTAATAAAATTGAGAATATCGATCCCGACCTAAATAAATCATTCTGTTTGGAAAAATTGTTAAAATTTGCAAAATAAACTATACCTTAAAAAACTGCACATTGAAATACATCCTTCTGAATTGTTTTAAAAAGAATAAAACATTTCAAATACATATATATCTCCGCTAGAATATGATATTTATGCAACAACACCCCCCCTAAAAAAATAAAACAAAAAACAAACAAACAAAAGAAGTGCAAAACAATAAATTTTGGGGGGAAGGCAGGTCACCCCCTTCACTTTTTCAAGTATGACTAGTAAGGTTAAATCCTGCAATGATAAACAATCGGAAAATAATAATGTGATTATTAAGTTTAGCCCCCTCTCCTACTCACCAAGTACAGGTGCTTTGGGACAGCACCTCACCCCACCCCATATATTTATGACCTTCTCAGTTGGGTTTTCTTTTTCATTTTTGTAGGCATTTGTTGATGTCATTCCAATTAACGTGAGATAAGCGATGTATAAAAGATATATATAGCACTGCTATCATTGGCGGATACAGGAATCTTGAAAAGGGGGGGGGGGGGGGGGGGGGGGGGGGGGGGGGCAGTGACCAGTTTGGAGTCGGGGTAAGGGACCACGACCACACCCAAAAATAGATTTATTAAATCTTATGAATATTTTGGACACAAAGGGGGGGGGGGGCTCTCTCTAAATCTAACTATAACTATAGAGAAATTATATCATTTATCAGACAACATATTTTGAGTTTGAATATTTTATGTATGGTTTTAGTAAAGAACGTTGTTGAAAAACAGTGTCTCCATTGAGCATGTTATCTTTCGAAATTTGAGTGGCCTTTAAAAATATATCGTTTGTTTGAAAAACACTTTGATAAGTGAATGAAACTCAATATCACAATAGCTTTTTTTTTTGGGGGGGGGGGGGGGTTAAATAATTTATTCAGCAAATACAAATTACATAATACGTATATTTAAAACAATTACATAAACAATAACAAAGTTATTTTACAAACAAAGTATAAATTAAAACATAGGAATCAATGTGAGACGATGAACATTGTATATTGCATTTTGAATGGTTTAATCTAATGTATGAAAAGTCTTGCTTTTATTTTCCTGAGAAAACATTAAATTGATGTACAGAATATTGTTTTTATATTGTAATTTAGAAATACTTTATTCCATGAACACATATTATGTTATATAGATTGTTGTATGTGAAATTATTAAACTGATGGACATAGTATTCCGTTACGAGAGAATGTTTCAGAAAAGATTGGTGAAATTTTCTGACAAGTACTCAAGGTATACAGCTGGTATATGTACTGCTCTTTTATTGACTAAATAAAGCCTTCTTCGGGGAAAAAATGACGGTTCTTGAGCAATGGTGACTAAGAAATTGCATAAAACCATCAAACTGAAAGTTAGGGGAATTCGATAACTTACTCACTTGTAATACAAAGATTTCAAAAATAATCTTCACACAATAGCAGATAGATATTTTTAATACATGTAAATGTATTAGAACAATTTCAAGGCTTGTAGTTGCTCTTGTTCTCGATGAGGGTTAATCAATACATGAAAATCAAAACGTTTTTTCGAAAGATATAATTATTAAAAATTGATTCTCTCAATTACTAATATCTAAGTCTAGAATTTTTGTTGTACACATATTTTTTTTCAAAGTGCGTTAAATGTCCACATGGTAAAATTGTGGATGTACACTCTTAACGCACTTTGAAAAAAAATTACAAAGTGCGTTGAGTGTATCCAAAATTTAACGCACTGTTACAACGCACTTTGAAAACAAAATTCAAAGTGCGTTAACTTTAGGACCAAATCAACGCAATTTGAAAAAAAAAATTCTTTTCAAAGTGCGTTATATGGCACGCCAAATTAACAAAAATGAGCTAAACCAAGTTTCAAAATTGATAAACTAGGTTTATCGACTTTAAACTATAGTTTACAAACCGTAAACTATAGTTAACGATTCGTTAAGTATAGTTTTCATCTCTAAAACTGTATTTAACGGTTGTTAACTATAGTTTACGAATGCTAATCTTAAGTTTATCTGTCTGTAATAAAACGTTAACAATAGATTTTGTTGATAAAATAGATTCACGTCTGTAAACTATAATTTACGATCGTTAACTATAGTTAAAAGTTGTAAACCATAGTTTACAAATCGTGAAACTGTATTTATCAGATAATCTATGTTTTGCGATCGCAAATGATTGTTTTTGGTGTGAAGTATAGTTTACGGTTGTGAAACATAGATTTTCGCGTTAACTATGGTTTACAGATGAAAAATATAGATTAACGTTGTTAACTATAGTTTACAGTCCGTAAACTACAGTTTACAATCGATAAACCTAGTTTATCGACTGTGAAACTATGTTTTGCTCATTTTTGTGAATTTGGCGTGCTAAACATAGTTTCACAATTGAGAAACTAGGTTTATCGACTGTAAACTATAGTTTACAAACCGTAAACTATAGTTTACAATTCGTTAAGTATAGTTTTCATCTGCAAAACTATATTTAACGGTTGTTAACTATAGTTTACGAATGCTAATCTAAGTTTATCTGTCTGTAATAAAACGTTAACAATAGATTTTGTTGATAAACATAGATTCACGTCTGTAAACTATAATTTACGATCGTTAACTATAGTTAAGAGTTGTAAACCATAGTTTACAATCGTGAATCTGTATTTATCAGATAATCTATGTTTTGCAATCGCAAATGATTGTTTTCGGTGTTAAGTATAGTTTACGATTGTGAAACATAGATTATCGCGTTAACTATGGTTTACAGATGTAAAATATAGATTAACGTTGTTAACTGTAGTTTACAGTCCGTAAACTATAGTTTACAACCGATAAACCTAGTTTATCGACTGTGAAACTATGTTTTGCTCATTTTTGTGAATTTGGCGTGCCATAGCGTTAATATCGACCATATTAACGCACTTTGAAAAAAAAATGTGTATGCTGGATATTCTTGTAAATCTTAGGTATAATGAATATTTGAACCTGTTGGATCACTTTTTAGTGATAAGGTCACTCCAGAATGTGAAAGTGAGCGATTTTGATTTTTCCATACTTTGAAAATTCTCATTTTCTTAAATGTTGTATTGTACTGAGTTAATTTTTTCCTGTTTGCATGCATTTTATGTAAAACTAAAATTTATTGAAGTTTTTCAACGTCATATCAATACATATATTTGAGTGTAGCATAGGCATCGGAACCGGGGGGGGGGGGGCTTAGGCACACAAATGTTTTGCAAAGATATACATGTACATAATATAGGCACTGGAAATTAGGGCTTAGCTTGGGGGGGGGGACGTTCAATTTGCTACAGACGGCTATGTATGAGAAAAAAAAGTTGGGCTGAAAGACCTTCTACTCGTTTCTCCTTGTTCTCAATGAGGTTAAATCAATACATGTAAATTATAAAAAGTTTTGCGAAAGATAATTATTACAAATTGATTCTCTCGATTACTAAAATCTAAGTCTAGAATTTTTGTTTTAAATATATTTTTTCAAAGTGCGTTAAATTACCCCAAGGTAAAAAATGTTGATGTACACTCTTAACGCACTTTGAAAATTTTTTTTAAAGTGCGTTGAGCATGTCCCAATTTTAACGCACCTTGAAAAAATATTGCCACAACGCACTTTGAAAAAAAATTCAAAGTGCGTTGATTTTGTTCCAATTTGACGCACTTTGAAAAATTAATTTTTTCAAATTGCGTTGCCACAGGGCATATTTTTATAGTTGGGGGTACATTTAATTAAATCAATTTGTATGACTGTCTGTCCGTTGTGCGGACCGTTTTTTGAAAACTATTACAAGGATTTCTCTGAAAATTCTGGAAATTTGGCAAAAGAATGAAAGATCTTTGTTCTCTAATTCTCTTAAATGTCTGTCAAAGTGCTGGATGACCAGCCTTTTGATTTTAAAATGAGTTTGATATCAAGTTATCAACATTCATTTGATTTTGTATAACACAACTTTAGAGTAGGATTTCCTTTACAAAAATCCCAAATCAGATTCAATTTTTTTGACGTGTGGAAATCCCACTCTTTCTAATGCATGTAATTTTAGAGTGCGATTTCCCCGAGTGTCAACTTCACCCTCCCCCTTCACTCAACATATTTTGTATGTGAACAGAAGAGGCCGACATACTCTAACCAGTGTCTACTCTAGCTTCAAAATGGCGATCAATTGTATTGAAACTATATAAAGCATGAAAAATGAAATTTATTAAGTTTGTTAAACATGGAAATCATGTACAAAGTGTCTCTCCACAATATTCTCGGTGTTTGTATATTGCCATGAAACTAAACATGGGTCTTTTTTTAAATGATGTGTAATTTTGCAAAAACATTTAAAGAGCATTTGCTCTCTGCTTTCAAAGAGCCACAGCGCATTTGATAGTCACTTTCGCCTACTCTAGCAGTGATTTTTTAAATACATTGTTTAACCAAAATTTTGTCATACAACGTTAGTTTATACATACTGTCTTCTACAAAAATTTGAATTTTTTTAATTAAAATACAAATTTTAATTAAAAAAATACAAATTTTTGTAAAGGACAATACCTAAAAGCAAATCACACAAAAATAATATTTAAATATTAATAGTTTCCTCATATGATAGATATAAGATCGTTCAGTTTATATGGAGAATATAGTAAATACTGAGGTACCCCCTAAACAATGACAAACTGTAGCTAAAGACCACCCTTAACCAGAGAAACAACTTCTGAATAACTTTATTTGGATATGAATGCACTGCACTGCATTTAGATAATTTTGGTTAAAGGTGGTCTTCATATTGAAAATGTTGAAAAATGATAAAAAAGAATCTTCTATACACATATTGTACCATAGGACTGGCGGTAAATTCAGATTTTACTTTGATGTTGCTGTGGTGTATTTGTCAGAAGAACCACAGTTTTTAAGTCACGCCCACAATTTGGCATCAAGCCATAA